GTTGTAACTATGTGAGGAGTGAACCAGCAAATGGAAGATCTCTCTTTTCTTTCTGTCTCATCCTCTCTCTGTCACTCTGCCATTTAAATAAATAAGTGAATCTTTAAAAACAAACAAAAAAGTAGGACTGTGTTCAAGACATACCAAAAAAGATAGTCTGCAAGAAATATATGCAAAAAAATCATTTCTTGCATTAGAAAAGTCTCATTTTTCTAGTGGTAAAATTTCTGATTATTTAATACTACCCTATGATGGCTTTGTATTGCTACAAAATAATTAAATGTTTAGTTGCCGGCTAAACTAGGCTAATCCTCTACCTAGCGGCGCCGGCACACCGGGTTCTAGTCCCGGTCGGGGCGCCGGATTCTGTCCCGGTTGCCCCTCTTCCAGGCCAGCTCTCTGCTGTGGCCCGGGAGTGCAGTGGAGGATGGCCCAAGTGCTTGGGCCCTGCACCCCATGGGAGACCAGGAAAAGCACCTGGCTCCTGGCTCCTGCCATCGGATCAGCGCGGTGCACTGGCCGCGGCGGCCATTGGAGGGTGAACCAACGGCAAAGGAAGACCTTTCTCTCTGTCTCTCTCTCTCACTGTGCACTCTGCCTGTTAAAAAATTAAAAAAAAAAATTAAAAAATGTTTAGTAAACACATTTATTGGAATAACTCTAGATATCACAAAAAGACTACATGAAAAATGCAAAATATGCACTTTAATCATAATAGAAAAACATGAGCTTTGATTTGAAGCATAGTTTGCCTGAGATTGCTAAGATGAACTAGAAAGAAGGACTTGTATATCTTCTCCAGGTTTAACTCACATAATAAAGTTTTTCCCAAGCAAGACTCACCAAATAGAATGCAGTAATTGTGTGCTGCTTTTAAGTGCTGTTGCAAAGATCTGTAAAGCTTCTTGAGATCCATGAGGTACCTGGGACTGCCGGTGCTACTGTATTGCTTCAGGTATTTCCAGTTTGATCCAGCGTGAAAGCAAGAGAGTGCTGATAACTGTGTATATCTGTGTTTAGGGAAGGGAATTCCTGTCTCCTCTGTCTCCAGTTCTTTCCCCTCCTCCCTCATCTGCACTCACCCTCCTCTTCCTCTTTTTTTTTTTTTTTCACATTTGAAAAAAAGATTATGTATGTGTGAGAGAGCACACACACACAAGTATACTGCCATCCACTGGTTCACGAAGATACCTGCAAGTGAGTGTAAGGAATCCAACTACTTAAAAAGGAACACAAACTTCAAAAGTTTAAAATCTGTTTAAACAACCTTATAAAGAGTTAAAGTTATGACTTAGGTATTGTTGTTGAAAATGAGAAATGTGCGATTTTTGCACCTCTAAACACTGAAGGTTCCTAATGATCTGGTTTTAAGTAAATATTTAGAGAAATCAAGAGCCTTGAAGCTGTGCTTGATTAAACAGCCATTGTTGAATGCCTGCTGTGTGCTATCAGATATTGATAAGAATAAAGTGTTCTCTGCCTCTTTGTAATTTAAGGTCAAATTTCCCAGAAATTTGTAAGGAAAAATGAATAGTTTCAGCAGAATTAACGGCCAGATTTACAAGCCATAAGGAGAAATCAGAGAAATAGTTTTGAAGGACTGTTAATTATTAACTAATAATGAAGCAGGAAGCTCTCCTTAACTTTGAGGTTTTAGTGGGTTGGGTAGTATTTTTTTTTTTTTTTTTTGAAATAATGGTGCTATCTCTGTCTAGAAATGGTAAAATAATTTGTTTTCATATACCATGTAGTTAAAATTACTTCATTAGTGCTAGAACAAAGTCTGTACATTGTAAATTAAGGACTTACAGTTGTAAAGAGAATTATTTTTGCTAGGCTGTAAGTAGCATAAAAATAATCTCCAGACTTTTAGGAGATCAAATAGTATCAATCCATACATTGGAAAAGAAGTTTACAAATTTAAAACATTTTAAAAACCACACAAAGTAATATAATGTAGAAGAACTAAAGTTAATGAAAGAAAAAGAATGAATGACCTAAGATAATAGTATTAGAAATGTAAAATGTATTTTCAGTTTTACATGAAGAGGGGAAAGCTTCAGACAAGGGAATTCCAGGGTCTTGGGTTCTACCGCTGGTTCTGCTACTTACAGGTTTGTGAGACAGTGTTTTCATTTCTTTGGTTCAGTTACCTCAACCCTAAAATAAGTATTACGTTTAGCCATCTATAATACTCTACTCCTTGGAGCATGTGTGCTTATTCTTACATTAGCAAGAGAGTAATTTCTGTCCAGAACAGTGAAGCCAAATGTGAAGTTTCTTCTAATAGCATATTGTTAAACTATAAGAAGTCCAGTGCTTTTATCAGAACCATAAAATGAACCACCCTGGGCCTGGCACCATGGCTCACTTGGTTAATCCTCTACCTGCGGCACCGGCATCCCATATGGGTGCCGGGTTCTAGTCCTGGTTGCTCCTCTTCCAGTCCAGCTCTTGGTTGTGGCCTGGGAAGGCAGTGGAGAGAGTTAGCAAGCCTAATTTTTAAAGTTTTTATTCAGAATAAAATCTTCTATGTCCATTTATCCCCCTAAAGTGAAAAGCTCAGAAAATAAAGATAATTTTTAAGATGGAAACAACAAAGGGTACTTTGAGAGAAGAAATACAGGTGGCAGAAAGAAATGTCTTCCGATTTTTCCCTTAAAGGTTTTCTTATAATGTAACATGGAATTTATTGCAAGAAAAATTCCTCTCTGTCATAAAATCAATGTAATGCTATATTTCTAAAAGACAAAATTGAAGATTTTAGCAGTTTGGTTTTGTGTGGTTTAAGAATTTATTTCGTGGCTGGCGCCGTGGCTCAATAGGCTAATCCTCCACCTTGCGGCTCTGGCACACCAGGTTCTAGTCCCGGTCGGGGCGCCGGATTCTGTCCCGGTTGCTCCTCTTCCAGGCCAGCTCTCTGCTGTGGCCAGGGAGTGCAGTGGAGGATGACCCAAGTCCTTGGGCCCTGCACCCGCATGGGAGACCAGGAGAAGCATCTGGCTCCTGGCTTCGGATCAGCGCGATGCGCCGGCTGCAGTGCGCCAGCCGCGGCAGCCATTGGAGGGTGAAAACCAACGGAAGGAAGACCTTTCTCTCTGTCTCTCTCTCTCACTGTCCACTCTGCCTGTCCAAAAAAAAAAAAAAAAAGAATCTATTTCCCTACTATTTAGAGTAGTGCTTCTTTTTCAGTCCCATAACCCCTTTGACCAATAAAAAAGTTCAATATTCTTGAGTGTTCAGATCTTTTTCAAAACAGAATTAAAGCACATGCAATTGAATATCTTTTTCACAATTCGTCTTTTCTTCCTCTTCCCCAGAATAGGGTTTTATGGCCCCTTCCCTTTTAGGGGGGACATCCCCTCCCTCTCTTCTGCCAGAGAATATACCAATTAGAGATTACAGTTTTTACTCACAGCCCTCAGTTACGGAAAATGTAGAATGTTTGTTTTCTCTATAAATGAGAGCTGGTCACACAAAAATTTAAATAAGACGTTACATTTCCCAAATGAGTTTGGCCCTATTTTCATGGAATCATATATGTTCTTAATGTACACTTAGTACTAACATTCTATAAAGATATTTCAATTTAAAACTGAGATGTAAACTGGCAAAACAAAAAATGTTTCATCTTTCACAGCTGTGACTCAGTTTCACGTCATATTGATATGCTCTTCTCAGTTGAGCAAAACAAGTGCAGGGATGTTAGCTCCTGTGGGCTTTATTTATTGCACTTGTAATTCTGCAGCAGAGTTACGTGCGTCATGGAGGAGGAGAACTTAGCTTCGAGGCCCTCTGTCTGAGCTACACGTGAATGCATTAAGAATCAAGTGCTTCTGACCTTTAAACTTTTTTTTCTTGTGACATTCTAGATCAGGGCAGGGAGTAAAGCTGTGTCAGAGTTGGGCAGGTTTACATCTGACTGTAGCCCTTACACGTGTTTTCTCTTCATATTCTGGAGTGTGACTAAAACAGAGTGAGTTCTTTCACACTGTGAAGAGTAACAGAAATAGAGTGATAGAATACTGGTACAACTGAAGTTTCTGAAATTATTTTCATGTTATTTGTTTTCATTACATCTGCAATAAGATTCATGCCTTTGTGATTGGTAAACTAAAAATAAGTGAATTTAAAAGGATCACTTTTTTTGAGAAACATGCTAGTCTCATTTGTGTTACATAGAAATATAATATTTCATTTTTATAATGTATTTAGTTTTTTTAATTTCTGCTGTTGGCAGGGCACAGTAAGGTGGTTTTACCAATAAAAACAGAGCTTAAAATTATATTTCTCATTTTTGTTTGCAAATCAAGACAGGAAAACAGGGTCTGAGAAGATAAAGATACTGTTTAAATAATTCTCTAGGCAATATATTTAATAGAAGCTCATTGATTTAGAATTGAATTGAATTCTAACTTTATGTGATTGTTTTCACTTAATTCTAAGATTCCAGGTTTTACTTTACTGATTATTGTCATTCAGATGCATAAGAATTGAATTTTCCTTTAAGTTGATTACATATAAAGATAGTTGGTATGATGTATTTAATTGATACTCATTTGTCCTATTTAAAGTGATTCTGTGTGTCTGTGTTAATAGTTATGTAAATGTTCCACATTAAAGCAGGTTAGATGTTATCATAACTTACTGACTTGCTAGGACAGTCTCTATCATTTTTAATGTAACTCTAATCCTTAAAAAAATTATTTTATTATCTGCACATGGCTGTCATCATAAAATGTTTAATGCATTAGGCACTATAGTAACCAGCAGAAGTGGTTCCACGTGTTGGCTTTTGCAAGGAATTATAAAAGTCATTGTGTACACCTCTCTTGGTGCAGCATGTCAGTTTTGAAAAGCCACGTGCGACTTTGAGATTTTGAGATTGGAATTCACGTAGAAAGCTTGGGGGCAGCAAAATATTAAAAAATTATTCTCTGATGGCCTCAATGATAATATCTTAAAAGTATTTAAAGCTTTGAATCCTCTTTTTTAAACAGACTCTGAAGATTGCTGAGAGAGACACTTAGTCCAGTCACATAGGCATAATAAAGAAATATTGGTCCTCATGGAAGAAGAGCAAGATTTACCAGAACAGCCAGTAAGTATTTCTTTAACAATTTAAGTTCATTGTAGAAAAGCTATCATAAAGAGATTCTAATATTATTCATTTATACTTGTAGGTTGCAAATTAGAAATTAAATAAGGAAAAGATTACTTAACAGTTCCCTTCTGAAAAAAAGTGTTAATGTTATAAAATTCATTTTGTCTAACTTAATGTTAAAGTCTGTTTATAAAATTCAGCAGTACAGAGTGAATAGTGCATTTGGAAATGTCATTTTAAAACAATCAGTGGCTAGTGTTAGTTTTTAGAAAATGAAGGAGGATGTGTTTACTGGTCAGATCGTATATAACCCTTTATGCCATAAAACTTATTTTTACCTAAATTTCCCTGAATGACTTAGTATTTTGTAAGTAGTAGTAGTAAAGAAGGTATAGTTTGACAATTGGGCAATTTAAAAAAAAATTATTTATTTATTTGTAAGACAGAATGTCAGAGACAGACAGGCAGAGAGAGAGAGAGCTTCCATTGACTTGTTCACTCCCCAAATGGCTACAACAGCATGGGCTGGACCAGGCTGAAGCCAAGAGCCAGGAACTCCATCCAGGTCTCCCACATGGGTGACAAAGATTCAAGGACTTGACCCTTAACTCCTACTTCTTAGTGCATTAGCACAGAGATCCATCAGAAGCAGAGTGGCCATACAGGCGTCCCAAGCCACAGCTTAGCCCACTGTGCTATAACGTCCTCTCTGACAGCTAGCTAATTTTATAACAGGTGGGACCTTAGATATGAAATTCAATTCTTAAGTCCTTTTAAATATTTAATATATATAAATTAATTAATCTTAAATGTCCTCAAGTGATATGAGTTTCTTATCTTGCCCTGGCCTCGTTTTGGCTTTTGACACTTGACATTTTTAAAAAAGGAAATTATCTTTTAAGATAATTTTTATGTTAAAGGGTCTTCTGTTTTTGTCTTATGTGCCTTTTTCTGAAATTAGATAAATATTGATTTGATTTGCTATCTTAAATGGCCTCTTGGAATTCGTATTAAGAAAGAATAGGAAGTGGTACATGTTACTTTTCTTTATGAAAATACAGCCTAGAAAATTTTGCAAGCATGTAATAGGAGCAGGATGTGTTTTTCATGTTCTAGTTGTATGTGTCCATAGCCTGTAATACTTCTGCTAGAATCCTTAATCTCCTTGTTTTATAAATTCTCTATTAATTTTCTTTCAACTAGACTACAGGTTCCTTGAGGTCAAGAGGTGTATTTTGCTTATCATTGTGTTTCTTATCAGGAAGACTTGGTAAAGAACACTCTGTTGAATGATGATAGGATGAATATGAGCTTGAATTCCCATTTACAGGTACTTAACATTGCAGAATCCATAGTAATTTGCTAGTTGGGGAAATTTTACTAGCTACTATGACATATAACCCTTCAGTGTCTTGGTAGTTTAATACAAAAAAAAAATTCGATTTTTACTCTCACATTAATCTCCCATGGATTGGTAGCATTCTTGAGCCAATCTTTTGTGAAAGCTTCCTTTGTCTCGTGATGCCACTGTCTTCAATTTGTGGCCTCTGTGGTTTCCAAAAGGAGAAGAGAGGATTGAAGGATCACAGGGGATGTTTTTAAGGGCTATTTCTGGAAGTGACTTACATCACTTCTGTGCCCTTTCCATTGACCAGAATTCACATGGCTCTGCACTGACAGCAGGGGTGTGTGTGTGTGAAAAATGCAGTCATCCCGTGTGCTTGGAATGGGCAAGAAGATTGTTAACCATGTATCAGTGAAGCTACTATGATATTCCTTTTGGTTCACTTAACTGTTCCATTTTCACAGAATAGGGACAGTATGTGCCTCCCTTTCCCAAAACTCCTCCCAAGGGAAATGACCGCAAATTCCATGAGTTGTTCCATCCAGGTTAGATTCAGGATCTCTGATGCCCAATAATTTATACTAGGCCCGAATGTGACTTCTTTCAGTCTAATAGCCCATACACTTAAAGGATATAATTTTGCCTCTTTTACAAGTCAAACCCAGGATGCAGTGGCACAACATGAAGTTGTTTCTTCCATAGGTATTTACCTTTCTAGTAATTAGGAATGTTTATCTCACTCTCTAGATCCTAATTTCTCCATGTCAAATTTTTGAAGTCAAATTAATAATTGGATGGATGTTAACATGCATGGTCAATGAATAGTTGATAGTTTTATGTGTGAAATTTTATCTATAAATTACAATCAAGCCCTTTCCCTCTCTAGTGTATAGAATATGATTTTCTAGTAAACAGAACAGTATGCTTCTCTTTGTTGGACTGTTTGGATCAGTCCTGACATAAACGTTTCCTTTTTATAGCCACTATAATTATATACTTGTAAGTCATCTCAAAATGATTTCAGATTTCAGAATGACATTTGAGATGCATATTACAATTTTTTAAAAAAATTTATAGAGTAGTATTTCTTTTTTTTTTTTTTTTTAAGATTTATTTATTAGAAAGGCAGAGTTACAGAAAGACAAGGAGAACCAGAGAGAGAGATCTTTAATTTGCTGGTTCACTCCCCAAATGGCTGGAGCCAAGAGCTTCTTCCAGATCTCCCATGTGGGTACAGGGGCCTAAGCACTTGGGCCATCTTCCACTGCTTTCCCAGGCACATTAGCAGAGAGCTGGATCCAAAGTGGAGCATCTGGGACTTGAACTGGCACCCATGAGAGTTTTTAGCACTGCAGATGGCAGCTTAACATGCTATGCAATAGTGCTGGCCCCTCCCCTTTTTTTTTCTTTTTCTAATTATATCTCGTAAACTGTTTGAAATCCATCCATCTCCCCCCCCCCCTTTTTTAAGATTTATTTGAAAGTTAGAGGGAGGGACAGAGATCTTCCATCTGCAGGTTCACTCCCCATGTGGCCCCAATGGCCAGGGCTGGGCCTGGCCAAAGCCAGGAACTTCATCCTGGTCTTCCAATTGGGTGACAGGGGCCCAAGTACTTGGGGATATCTTCTGCTGCTTTTCTCAGGCCATCAGCTGGGAGCTGGATTGAAAGTGGAGCAGCCAGGGTTCAAACCAGCATTCATATGGGATGCCGGCATTATAGGCAGCAGTCTACCCATTGTACCACAGTGCTGGCCCCTAGAGTAGTATTTCTTAACCCTGTCTAGAAATTTTTAGGATTCAACTATATTTTTACTATTTGGTGCTAACACTGAAATTCAGTAATTGTATGGCACTTTGTTTTTTATAAGCAGTTTCCCCTCTTTCTTTCTCTTTAAATTTCATCTTTATAGCAGGTAGGTAGTTGTAATCTTTCTCTTACAGAGATGGAAAGGGAGAGACAGAAAAAGAGAGATTCCATTCTCTAGTTCACTCCCCAAATGGCCGTAAAAGCCAAGGCTGGGCCAGGACAAACCAATAACCTGGAACTTTATCTAGGTCTTCTATGTAGGTGCCAAGGGCCCCAGAACTTGGACCATTGTCTGCTCTTTCCCAGGTGCATTAGCAGGGAGCTTAGAAGAGGAGCAACCTGGACTCAAACTGGCACTTGTATGGGATACTGGCATTTTAGGCAGCAGTTAACCCACTGTACCGCAGTGCTGACCAACCTGAATCAACTTTGGAATACTTTTATCATTCTGGGGAAAAAAAAAAAAACATAAGCAGTTTTCCCCCAATTCTTTTTTTTTTTTTTAGATTTATTTATTTGAAAGAGTTACACAGAGAGAGGAGAGGCAGAGAGAGAGAGAGAGAGAGAGAGAGAGAGGGAGAGAGGGAGGGAGGGAGAGGCCTTCCATCCGATGGTTCACTCCCCAATTGTTCACAACGGCTGGAGCTACCCGGATCCAAAGCCAGGAGCCAGGAGCTTCTTCCGGGTCTCTCATGCTGGTGCAGGGGCCCAAGGACTTGGGCCATCCTCTGCTGCTTTCCCAGGCCATAGCAAGAGCTGGATTGGAATTGGAGCAGCCGAGTCTCGAACTGGCGCCCATATGGGATGCTGGCGCTTCAGGCCAGGGCATTAACCGGCTGTGCCACAGCGCTAGCCCCACCCCCAATTCTTTCAGGTTCCCAAATCCTGTACATTGACTTATTTGTGTACATTTCATATAAATGCAACCATACAATATGTGATTTTTTTTGACTGACTTTTCACTTAGCATAATGTTTTTAGGGTTCTTCCATGTTGTAGCATATGTCAATACTTCATTCCCTATTATTGTCCAGTAATATTTCATTATATGTTTACACCATTTTATCACTTAATAGACACTGAGATTGTTTCTGCTTTTCAACTGTTTTGAATAATGCCATTGTGAACATTCATCTACAAGTTTTTTCCATAGATAATGTTTTCGTTTCTCCTTTGTATAAGTAAAATTCCTGGGTCAAATGATAAATCAGTGCTTAACCTTTTGAGAAAGTGCTTGACCATTTTACAGATAATTAGTAACATTAATAAAGTCAGATAATTTCCCCCTCACCTCTTTCAGTGAGATTGTATCTTAAATTTGTGATACAATTAGATTATTTTAGTCTGCATGCCATTCTTTGATTCTTCACTATTATCTTTGATTTTTGGTGTCTTGTATCATACAGAAGTTTTAAATTTTTGTATAATGAAGTCTGTTTATTTTCTCCTTTATGAATTTTGGATTTACTGTCATGCTTACTAAGGATTTACCCACCTAAGTTTTTTTTTTTTTTTTTTTGACAGGCAGAGTGGACAGTGAGAGAGACAGAGAGAAAGGTCTTCCTTTGCCGTTGGTTCACCCTCCAATGGCCGCCGCGGCCGGCGTGCTGCGGCCGGCGCACCGCGCTGATCCGATGGCAGGAGCCAGGAGCCAAGTGCTTTCCCTGGTCTCCCATGGGGTGCAGGGCCCAAGCACCTGGGCCATCCTCCACTGCACTCCCGGGCCACAGCAGAGAGCTGGCCTGGAAGAGGGGCAACCGGGACAGAATCCGGCACCCCGACCGGGACTAGAACCTGGTGTGCCGGCGCCGCTAGGCGGAGGATTAGCCTAGTGAGCCATGGCGCCAGCTAGTTTTTTTTTTTTTTTTTTTTTTTTTTAAGATTTATTTATTTATTTCAAAGGCAGAGATATATAGAGAGAGAAGAAATGAGAGAGAGAGATATATATATCTTCCATCCCTGGTTCACTCCCCAAATGGCCACAATGGCCAGGGATCGGTTGAGCTGAGGCCAAGAGCCAGGAGCTTCTTCTGAGTCTCCCACCTGGGTGTAGGGTCCCAAGTCCTTGGGCCATCTTCTGCTGCTTTCCCACATGCATTAGCAGGGAGTTGGATCAGAAGTGGAGCAGCCTGGACTTGAACTAGTGCGTGTATGGGCTGCCACGGCACCAGCCGCTTAGGTGGTTTTTATGTTTGTTTGTGTGTTTGTTTTTGACAGACAGAGTGGACAGTGAGAGAGAGAGAGAGAGAGAGAGAAAGGTCTTCCTTTTACCGTTGGTTCACCCTCCGATGGCCGCCACAGCCGGCGCACTGCGCTGATCCGATGGCAGGAGCCAGGTGCTTCTCTTGGTCTCCCGTGGGGTGCAGGGCCCAAGGACTTGGGCCATCCTCCACTGCACTCCCGGGCCACAGCAGAGAGCTGGCCTGGAAGAGGGGCAACCGGGACAGAATCCGGCGCCCCGACCGGGACTAGAACCCGGTGTGCCGGAGCTGCAGGCGGAGGATTAGCCTAGTGAGCCGCGGTGCCGGCCTGTTTTAAGATTTATTTATATGCCGGTGCCGCAGCTCACTAGGCTAATCCTCTACCTAGCGGCGCCGGCACACCGGGTTCTAGTCCCGGTCGGGGCGCCGGATTCTGTCCCGGTTGCCCCTCTTCCAGGCCAGCTCTCTGCTGTGGCCAGGGAGTACAGTGGAGGATGGCTCAAGTCTTTGGGCCCTGCACCCCACAGGAGATCAGGATAGGTACCTGGCTCCTGCCATCGGATCAGCGCAGTGCGCCGGCCTCAGTGCGCCGGCCATGGCGGCCATTGGAGGGTGAACCAACGGCAAAGGAAGACCTTTCTCTCTGTCTCTCTCTCTCACTGTCCACTCTGCCTGTCAAAAAAAAAAAAAAAAAAAGATTTATTTATGTATTTGAAAGCTAGAGTTACAGAGAAGAGAGGCAGAGACAGAGAGATCTTCCATTTGCTGCTTCATGCCCCTAATGCCTGCAACAGCCACAACTGGACCAGGCCAAAGCCGGTAGCCTGGAACTTTATCCAGGTCTCCCACGTAGGTGTGGGGCCCGAAGTACTTGGGCTATCTTCCACTGCTTTCCCAGGTGCAGAAGTAGGAGGGAGCTGGATCAGAAGTGGAGCAGCATCCTATATTGGCGCCAGTTCAAGTCCCAGCTGATCCAATTCCGACCCAGTTCTCTGTTGTGGCCTGGGAAAGCAGTGGAAGATGGCCCAAGTCCTTGGATCCCTGCACTTGCGTGGGAGACCTGGAAGAAGCTCCTGGCTCCTGGCTTCAGATTGGCCCAGTTCCGGCCGTTGTGGCCGTGTGAGTAAACCATCAGATTGAAGACCTCTCTCTCTCTTTCCCCTCTGCTTCTCTGTAACTCTGCCTTTCAAATAAAATAAATAAATCTTTAAAAAAAAAAAAAAAAAAAAAGGAAGAAGAAGAAATGGAGCAGCTGGGACTTGAACTGGCATCCATATGAGATGCCAGTGTAGCAGGTGGTAGCTTAACCTGCTATGCCACAATACCAGTCCCCTAAGTTTTTCTTTTTGCTTTAAATGCTTCTTTGATTTTATTTTTAAATTGACAAGTATTTTTTTTAACTTTTTTAATTTTCAAATTCGTTTAAAAGGCAGAGAGAGAATCAAATAGAGATCTTCCATCTGCTGGTTCACTCCCCAAATGCCCATAATAGCCAGAGGCGGTCTAGGCAGAAGCCCAATGCCTGGAACTCATTCTGGATCTTGCAGAGGCAGTAGGGTAGCAGTGACCCAAGTAGTTGAGCCAGTACCTGCTCCCTCCTAGCTGGAAGCTGGAATCAGAAGCTGAGCCAAGACTCAAACCCAGGTGCTCAGATGTGGGTTATGGGCATTCCAAGTGGTATCTTAATCACTGTGTCAAATGCACATCCCCTTTTTTTCCTTTATTTTACTTGTTTTGGTACCTGTGAAAATTAAAAGCAGCATTGGATATAATTTGTTGTAAGCGAAGAACGAAGAGTGTTTGGTTTTATTTATTTTGTGGTATGTATTCTCATGAGCAATAGATGCCCATGAGAAATTTTATGGGCCTTATATTATTTACCTTGTCTGAAATGCTAAATTTAATCTTATTAAATAGCTTTGCTTCTACCTGATATGTTTGTTCCAAATTGTCTAGCAAAGTTTCTGCCTTCTTGGCTTGGCTTGAAATATTTTAAATATTTATAATTTGAGATGGGCATTATGGCACAGGTTAAGCCATCACTTGTGATGTCTGCATCCCATATTGGAATACCTGGGGTTGAGTCCTGCCTCCGCTTCCTATTCAACTTCTTGGTAATGGGCCTGTCAGGCAGCAGCTGATGGCTTCTGTACTTGGGTTTCTACCAACCATGAGGGAGCTCCAGATGGAATTCCTGGCTCCTGGTTTCAGCCTGGCCCAGAGCCATCTGTGCAGGCATTTGGATAGTGAAGCAGTGCTTGCTGTTTGATATTGCCTTTCAAATAAATAAATCTTTTTTAAAAAATTATAATTTGATGGGGCCAGTGTTGTTACATAGGGGGGAAAGCTGCCACCTGTGTGGCTGGCATCCCATTTGGGCTACTATTCAAGTCCCAGTGGCTCCACTTCTGATTCAGCTCCCCGCTGATGTCCTAGAAAAAGAATCAGAAGATGGCCCAAGTACTTGGTCTCCCAATACCTGGAGAGTGAACCAGCAGATGGAAATCTCCCTGTCTTGAATTCTCTCTGTAACTCTGCCTTTCAAGTAAATTAAAATCAATGTTTAAAAAAAACTATAATTTGAATAACTGAGAATACTACTCAAGTTTCTACCAGAACCAATTATTATTATTATTATTTTATTTATTTATTTATTTATTTTGGACCGGCAGAGTGGACACTGAGAGGGAGAGACAGAGAAAAAAGTCTTCCTTTTTTCCGTTGGTTCACCCCCCCATGGCGGCCGGTGCACCGTGGTGATCCGAAGCCAGGAGCCAGGTGCTTCTCCTGGTCTCCCATGCGGGTGCAGGGCCCAAGCACTTGGGCCATCCTCCACTGCACTCCTGGGCCACAGCAGAGAGCTGGACTGGAAGAGGCGCAATCAGGACAGAATCTGGCACCCCGACCGGGACTAGAACCCGGTTTGCCGGCACCACAGGTGGAGGATTAGCCTATTGAGCCGCGGTGCCGGCCTAGAACTAATTATTCTAATGAGAGCTCTAAAATCCCATCTTTGTAATATGAAAATGAGGAAATCTAACCATAGTATGAACCATTGATCTTCCATCTGTGGATTCTTTTTTTTTCCTTTTTTTTAAAGATTTATTTATGTATTTGAAATGCAGAGTTACAGGCAGAGAGAGGTCTTCCATCCACTGGTTCACTCCCCAGTTGGCCGCTAAAGCTGGAGCTGCACCTATCTAAAGCCAGGAGCCAGGAGCCAGGAGCTTCTTCCAGGTCTCCCATGCAGGTGCAGAGTCCCAAGGACTTTGGCTTTCCCAGGCCATAGCAGAGAGCTGGATTGGAAGTGGAGCAGCCAATAGGCTAATCCTCCGCCTAGCGGCGCTGGCACACCAGGTTCTAGTCCCGGTCGGGACATCAGATTCTGTCCCAGTTGCCCCTCTTCCGGGCCAGCTCTCTGCTATGGCCGGGAGTGCAGTGGAGGATGGCCCAAGTGCTTGGAACCTGCACCCCATGGGAGACCAGGAGAAGCACCTGGCTCCTGGCTTCTGCCTTCAGATAAGTGTGGTGTGCTGGCCGCGGCGGCCATTGGAGGGTGAACCAACGGCAAAAGGAAGACCTTTCTCTCTGTCTCTCTCTCTCTCTCTCTCATTGTCCACTCTGCCTGTAAAAAATAAAAAAAAAAGGAAGTGGAGCAGCCAGGACTCGAACCGGCGCCCATATGGGATGCCGGCACTGCAAATGGCGACTTTACCTGCTGTGCCACAGTGCTGCCCCATCTATAGATTCTTAAACTGTTTGAATGCTGTAAGAAGTAGAAGAGGTGAAATGTGTGTTTGGGGGGGTGGGGTGCGCGGTGGAATAATATGAAAAATAATTTTTATATTACTGGTAACCTGATAAGATTTTATCTTTATTTTAAATTTTTTTTTTTTTTTTGACAGGCAGAGTTAGCCAGAGAGAGAGACAGAGAGAAAGATCTTCCTTATGTTGGTTCACCCCCAAAATGGCCGCTATGGCCAGTGCACTGTGCTGATCAAGCCAGGAGAAAGATGCCTCCCCCTGATCTCCCATGTGGGTGCAGGGCCCAAGCACTTGGGCCATCCTCCACAGCACTCCCTGGCCACAGCAGAGAGCTGGACTGGAAGAGGAGCAACCGGGTCAGAATCGGGCGCCCCAACCGGGACTAGAACCCGGGGTACCAGCGCCGCAGGCAGAGGACTAGCCCAGTGAGCCGTGGCGCCAGCCTTATCTTAATTTTAGAGATGGACTTCTCTAACTTTAAAATATAATGGGGGTTCAATTAATCTAAACAGAACAAAATGAAACAATTATTCTGTAATGTGTTGATTAATGTTGGCCTGCTAAAGTGTTCCTCTAGGTACTTGGGTTCCACATCCATGGTTCAACCAGCAGTCAATTAAAAATATGGGCAGGGGTCGGCACTGTTGCATAGCGGTAAAGCCACCGCCTGCGGTGCCAGCATCCCATATGGGCGCCAGTTTGAGTCCCAGCTGCTCCACTTCCAGCCCAGCTCTCTGCTATGGCCTGGGAAAGCAGTAGAAGATGGCCCAGGAGGTCCTTGTGTCCCTGCACTTGTATGGGAGTCCTGGAAGAAGCTCTGGATTCCTGGCTTCAGATCAGCTTAGCTCCAGCTATTGCGGCCAATTGGGGAGTGAACACGTGGGTGGGAGAGCTGTGTCTCTCTCTGCCTCTCTTTCTCTCTGTGTAACTCTGACTTTCAAATAAATAAATAAATCTTTAAAAAAAGATTGGACAAAAAGTTGCATTTATACTAAATGTGTGCAGGCTTTTTTCTTGTCATTATTCCTTTGACAATATAGTTTAACAGCCATTTATGTAGCATATATATTGCTTTAGGCATTATAAGTAATCCAGAGATAATTTAGAATATATGAGAGAGTATGTGTGGGTTAAATGCAAATCCTGCTGCATTTTACGTAAGGGACTTGAGCATTTGTTGATTTTAGTGTCCACGAGGGTCCTGGAGCCAGTCTCCCACAAATACCAAGGGCAAACTGTATTCAAGTAGTTATATATTTTAAAAATCAAATCACTGTGTTGATACTTTTGTGTGTTTATTTTTGCAGGTGAAAAAAGCCAAGATGCAGGAATCGGGAGAGCAAACTTTGAAGTATGTAGAGTTAAATTTCTTTGTAATGATGTACTTGTAATTTTTTTTCATTACTGTAGTTAGTGTATGGGTATGCTTTGGATTGACCGCTCTTTTTTTTCTGACCTTTATGTTTTTAAATTATTTGGCTTATGATTAAAATTTCCCTCCAAAATAGTTTCTCCTCAGAATACATTCTTTTTTTTTTCTTATGCATTTGTTATTTATTCAGCAATGTGTACTGAACTCATGTTATATATTAGGCACAATACTGTGTAAGGGAGATTCGATGACCAAGATGGTACAGTATACAAAATGAGGATGTTCAAGGGATTTGTCATTAGTTACCTAATGGGTATAGGTCATTAGCTTCGCTACCCCTACAGAAGAGATAGCACCTCACACTCCATGGTTTTCCACAGTTCTTATGTGCTATTTTGCCATCAACCATTCACACTCTCATTCCAAAATCGTCACACAGGCCATATGATGTCTTACACTTCCAGGTAAATATTCTGTTACATTTTCACTGTCACCCACAGACCCTTAACTCAGAAAGAACTTCAGTTTCTTCCACATGCTATTTAAATGATAAAATCTGCTTTAACCAAATTACAAACATTACAGCCATATTTAACTTTCCTGTTTTCGTGTGTCACATTTGCCTAGTAAAACCACAACCCTGGTTAAATCCAACTCATTCACCTGTTCCATACTTATTTCTAAAACTCTCAAACATTGTAAGAGAACAAAAAAAAACACTGTGCTGCTGGTCTTAGTTTCCATTCACTGTTACATCTCAGAGAGGCATTTAAATACTCCTTCCTGGTATGTCTGATTTCCCACTCTCAAATTGTTTCTTTTATATATATATATATATATATATATATATATATATGTATGTATATATACATATATACATATATATATATTTATTTGAAAGTCAGAGTTGCACAGAGAAGAAGAGGCAGAGAGAGAGAGAGAGGTCTTCCATCCGCTGGTTCACTCCCCAGTTGGCCGCAACCGCCGGAGCTGCGCCAATCCAAAGCCAAGAAGAGCTAGGAGCTTCCTCTGGGTCTCCCATGCGAGTGCAGGGGCCCAAGGATTTGGGCCATCTTCTACTGCTTTCCCAGGCCACAGCAGAGAGCTGGGATTGGAAGAGAAGCAACCTGGACAGAATCCGGCACTCATATGGGATGCCAGTGCCACAGGCGGAGGATTAACCTGCTGGGACACAGAGTTGTTCTTGCCCGAGGTCGAAGAGCTGTTAGTGACAGAATAGGATCTGCACTTTTTTTTTTTTTTTTTTTTTTTTGGACAGGTAGAGTGGACAGTGAGAGAGACAGAAAGGTCTTCCTTTTTCCCGTTGTTTCACACCCCAGTGGTCGCCGGCGCACCGCGCTGATCTGAAGCCAGGAGCCAGGTGCTTCTCCTGGTCTCCCATGCGGGTGTAGGGCCCAAGCACTTGGGCCATCCTCCACTGCACTCCTGGGCCACAGCAGAGAGCTGGACTGGAAGAGGAGCGACCGGGACAGAATCCAGCACCCCAACCGGGACTAGAACCTGGGGTGCCGGCGGTGCCAGGCAGGATCTGCACTTTTAACCACTATGCTGTACTATTTGGGAATAACTGGAGAATGGGAAGTAGAAGGCAAAGAAAACATTGTGAGGGAAGAAAGAGTAATCTCTACTCCAGGGGAGTTTTTCCAACATTAAAGTATCTAACATAATGACTTTTCCTCCCAGTTTACATTTTTTACCTTTTGAAGTTTCTTTTAATTTTCCTTTTACATTAAAAAAGAAAAACAGATGCTCATTCCTGTATATAACAAGTACAAATTAAGGGTTTTTTAAATTGAGACAAGAAATACAGTGGAATAAACCATTTTAAGAATTCAGAACTCATACTGGAAAGAAGCAAGTAGTTATGATTTATAGCTGATTAAGAGCCACTGTCTGGGGGCCGGTGCTGTGGCCAAGCAGATAAAGCCATCACCTACAGTGCTGGCATCCCATACGGGTGTTGGTTCGAGTCCCGGCTGCTCCACTTTCGATCCAGCTCTCTGCTATGGCCTGGGAAAACAGTACAAGATGACCCAAATCCATGGGCCCTTGCACCCGTGTGGGAGGCCCGGAAAAAGCTACTGGCTCCTGGCTTCAGATCAGTGCAGCTCCAGCCGTTGTAGCCATTTGGGGAGTAAACCAGCAGATGGAAGATATCTCTCTCTCTCTCTCTCTCTCTCTGTCTCTCTCTCACTCTGCCTCTTCTTCTTTCTCTGTGTAAATCTGACTTTCACGTAAGTAAATAAATCTTAAAAAATAAATAAATACTGTTGCACAGAGTGGTGGTGACTGTAATAAATAATTCATCATATATTTCAGAATAATTAAAAGAGTTTTTAAGTGTTTCCACTATTCCAAAAAAACAAAGTGTGTTAGGTGAGGGATATGTTAATTAGCTTGTTGTGATCATTCCTGTATTAAACATCAAAGTGGTCGGCACTGTGGCATCGCAAGTAAAGCTGCCACCTCCAATGCCAGCATTCTCACATGGGCGCCAGTTTGAGACTCAGCTGTTCCACTTCCGATCCAACTCTCTGCTGTGGCCTGGGCAAGCAATAGAAGGTGGCGCAAGTCCTTGGGCCCTTGCACCAGCATGGGAGACCCAGAAGATGATCCTGGCTCCAGGCTTCAGATATACCCAGCTCTGGCTGTTGCAACCGTTTGGGGACTGAATCAGCAGATGGAAGCTCGATCTCTCTCTCTCTCTCTTTCTCTCTCTCTCTCTGTCTCTTTCTGCCTCTCCCCTCCTCTCTCTAACTCTCCCTTTCAAATAAATAAATAAATAAAAACACATAATATTGTACCTCATAAATATATATACATTTTTTTAAAAAAAGATTAACAGGACAGTGGAATTTTTCTTTTACCATAGAAAATTTTTTAGAGAAAACTTTGACTTGCCTGTGGCTTCCCTGGAGTTTCCGAGAAGGGATGTCAGAAAGAACAGTGGGGTGCTGAGGGTTCCAGTCCTGCCCATAGCTCTTTGCAAGCGATTGCTAAACACCAAGAATAAGGATATCATGAATATTTACCTTGCTTCTTACTTGTGTAGCCTGGGAGGCAGTGGGTTTGATCACATCATTTTTAGCAATGCAGTGAATTAATCAGAGCCTGATGTATTCATTTTGGTTCTCCTAGTCCAGTAAGCAACCCGGACACCAGTGATCAGAAACCTGAAACATCAAGCCTTGCTTCAAACCTTACCATGTCAGAGGAAAGTAAGTACCATATTCTGGGCCCAAATCAGGAGGCTTTGCTATATGCTGTTCTGGTATAATTGGTTTTCACTGACTGCCTTTGTGTTCCAGAATTTCCAGAAGGCTTTTGTGTGTGTGTGTGTGTGTGGTGTGTTCATCCTTGTGTGTGTGTGTGTGTGTGTGTGTGTGTGGTGTGTTCATCCTTGTGCTCTCCAGCAGTTTTACTAATAAACATACCAGCTGAGAAAAAAAATTGATATTGGAATCTGCTTATCCAAAAAGTCACATCTAATTTTATTTCTGTTTTGAGGATGGGCATTCTAAAGGTAATAAAGCCTTACTCAGGATCAGAAAAGTTTGTGAACCAATCTGGAGGACTTGATATTTTTTTTTTGTCTTCCTAATAAAACCAAATGACCCCAACCATCAATGTCCGCCAAGAAATACAAGCAGTCCCTTGAACCCAGGACTGCCGGGAGGCCCTGAGGGAGATCTGTACACACCAACTCACACTTTCCTATATAACAGTTATAGTTATGCATCAGACCAAAAAAAAAAAGTGGTTTTCTTCTGGAGACATAGGCTTTATCCAAAATGCCCATTTACTCCCCAAAATTTCCTCCACAGGCCAGGAAGTACCCCCTGAAATTAAATGTATCTTTCCATATTTTATCACACACTTTAAAAGAACAGATTTGGTATTAGGCAGTTGTTTGGGGAATATTTCTTAAGATAACTTTATATGTTTTCAATGTAATAAAAAAAAAAAGATGTGAGTCAAAAGCAAACAAGGCCGGCGCCGTGGCTCAATAGGCTAATCCTCCGCCTTGCGGCGCCGGCACACCGGGTTCTAGTCCCGGTCGGGGCGCCGGATTCTGTCCCGGTTGCCCCTCTTCCAGACCAGCTCTCTGCTGTGGCCAGGGAGTGCAGTGGGGGATGGCCCAAGTCCTTGGGCCCTGCAACCGCATGGGAGACCAGGAAAAGCACTTGGCTCCTGGCTTTGGATCAGCGTGATGCGCTGGCCGCAGTGTGCCGGCCACAGTGGCCATTGGAGGGTGAACCAATGGCAAAAAGGAAGACCTTTCTCTCTCTCTCTCTCTCACTGTCCACTCTGCCTGTCCAAAAAAAAATTAATATATATGTATATTTTGAGTACTGTATGTTATTTCCTCAAAAGTGATTCTGTTCCCGTGGTTATCAGACTTTCAGAATACATCTGGGATGCCTGTTTGTAAAGTGGAATTCTAACCTTACTTTCAGAGATTATTATTCAGTAGGTCCAATGTGGATGATGGAATAGCATTTTTAAGAAGTTATCTAGGTGATTCTGGTACATATAGGGAACTGCCCATACTGGGGGAAATGGCTCTAATTAATGAAGCATCCCACTAATTTCTAGAATATCTCATTCATCCCTAAAAAAAAAAAAAGCTATTCCTTATACTTTGGGGACTGATGCTGTGGTGTAGCCTCTGTCTGTAGTGCCAGCATCTCATGGACTCCAGTTTGAGTCCTGGCTGCTCTACTTCTGATCCAACACCCTGCTAATGTACCTGGGAAAGCAGTGGAAGATGGCCTAAGTGTTGGGCCCCTGCACCCACGTGGGAGACCTGGAAAGAAGTTCCTGGTTCCTGGCTTCAGCCTGGCCCTGGCCCTGGCCCAGCCCCAGTCATTGCGGCCATTTGCACTTGGGAATGACCCAACTACTATAAGATCTCTGTCTGTGTCTCCCTCTTCCTTTCTGTAATTCTGACTTGCAGATAGATAAGTAATCTTTTTTTTAATCTACCTTTTTGAACTGAGGGCCAGAAGTGAATTAAATCTTCTTGCTTCTTAATCATTTCTCTTCCTTTTTTCCATCAAAAATTCTAGTTCCTTTTAAGTCTATAACTGTATCTTCACCTACTTTTCATTTTTAACTTTGATTTCCTTTTTTTTTTTAAGATTTATTTATTTATTTGAAAGAGTTAGAGATCTTCCATCTGCTGATTCACTCCCCAGATGGCCACAGCAGCCTCCTTTGGGTCTCCCACATGGGTGCAGGGCCCAGGCACTTGGGCCATCCTCCACTACTTTCCCAGGTGTACCAGTAGGGAGCTGGATCAGAAGTGAAGCAGCCAGGACTTGAACCAGTACCCATATGGGATGCCAGTGCCACAGTCTTTACCTGCCATGACACAGCACTGGCCCCCATTCTGTCCTTTAAAGACTAGATTCCCTCTGTTTCTATCTCCATCCACACTTTTATGATTGTTGGTAATTTTAACATTCTGTAGGTGACTTATCCAATACCCATTCTTCTTGTCTTCATTTTCCTTCTTACCCAGCATAGATTCTCTAGTCCTTTATTACTATTACTCCTTTACATATTCCTTCAGTAGTTTTGTCCTTTGTACCCCTTCCCCAAACTTCAGTCTTAATTTAATCCAACTCTCCTCTTTTTCCATAAATGCATACAAATAGCTAAACATTATTGGATAAAATTATGTATATGACTGTTTATGCCTTGTCGAAAGCAATAATGGGGGTTGAGTTGGCACTCAGCACACTTGGGAATCCTACTGCATTTCTCTAATGAGTTTTGCCTTTTAATATTTCATCTCTTTTCTCAAAGTACCACTATTTACTCACCTTAACTTAGTGATATGCTCTAAGATAAAAGCTGTCAGTGACACAGAAGTGTGGCACAGTGCTTAGAATGTTGATTGGGATGCCCACATTGCATATCAGAGTACTTTGCTTCATTTCCCACCTCTGCTTCTTTCTAATGCACACCCTAGGAATCAGCAGGTGATGGCTTAATCATTTAGGTCACTGCCACCCATGTGGGAGACCTGTATTGAGTTCCAGGTTCCTGATTTCAGTCTGGCCCAGCCCCTACTCTTGTGCTTTTATGGGCATTTAGGGAAAGAACCAGCGGATAAGAGATCTCTCCCTCCCTCTCTCTCTCTCTCTCCCTTTCAGATAAGTAAATACAAATTTTAAAAAGCTATCCAACAGGAAACTCCCTTATCATCTACCAAGAAATCTTCAAATCTACTTGTATTTTGTGGCCATGTTTCCTTGCTTCCTTCTTCTCAGAATGAAAGTAGTATTCTTATTCCTGTCAGATAGTAAGACCTTTCATTTATGCTCTGTATCCTTCCCCAAGAGCTTTGGTACTATAGTTATCCTACCACCACTCCAGCATCATGACATTCCCCTCTTCCTGTCAATAAAGAGACATGTTCTGGGGCTGGCGCTGTGGTGCAGCAGGTTAAATTCCCGGCCCGCAGCTCCAGCCTCCCATATGAGTGCCAGTCTGAGTCCCAGCTGCTCCACTTCCAGTCCAGCTCCCTGCTGATGTGCCTGGAAAAGCAGCAGAGGATGGCCCAAGAAGAAGCTCTTGGCTCCTGGCTTCAGATCGGCTCAGCTCTGGCTGTTGTGGCCATTTGGGGAGTGAACCAGCGGATGGAAGACCTGTCTCTCTCTCTCTACCTCTCTTTGTAACTCTGTTTTTCAAATAAATAAAATAGATTTAAAAAAAAAAAAAAAAAGAGGGAGAGAGACATATTCTGATACCTACAGTCTTAAAACAAACAGAAGTCCCCTTTGAGTCCACATCTCCCTTTAGTCATAGAGTTTCTCTTTGTTCCATGACTTTCAGAAACTCTGAAACAAGTTGCCCTCAATTACTTTCTCACCTCCTATATCTTTTTTTTCTTTTTGTACATGTAGAGTGGAAAGTTGACAGAGTTAGACAATGAGAGAGAGGGACAGAGAGAAAGGTTGTCCTTCCTTTGGTTCACCCCCAAATGGCCGCTATGGCCAGAGCTACGCCGATCCGAAGCCAAAAGCCAGGTGCTTTTCCTGGTCTCCCACGCGGGTGCAGGTACCCAAGCACTTGGGCTATCCTCCACTGCCTTCCTGGGCCACAGCAGAGCTAGACTGGAAGAGGAGCAACCGGGACTAGAACCGGCACCCATATGGGATGCCGGCGCTGCAGGCGGAGGATAACCAAGTGAGCCACGGCACCGGCCCCCCTATTTATTCTTCAGCTCTCTGAAATTTAGCTTTCATCTCCACTCTTCCAGTGAAACTGATTTTGTCAAGGTCTTCAGTTACTTTCTTTCTCTTTATTTGAACAACTAACAGAGAGGCAGAGGCAGAGGCAGAGAGAGAAGTCTTCCATCCTTGGTCCACTCTCCAAATGGCTGCAATAACCAGGGCTGGGCCAGGCTGAAGCGAGGAGCCAGGAGTTTCTTCTGGGTCTTCCACATGGCTGCAGGGCCCAAGTACTTGGGCCATCTTCTGCTGTTTTCCCAGGTGCATTAACAGTGAGCTGGATCAGAAGTGGAGCAGCTGGGACTTGAACCAGCACCCCTATGGGATGTCAGTGCTACAGATATCGGCTTAACCCAGTATGCCACAGCACCAGCCCCGTTACTTTTATAGTGCCAGTTCTAGTAGACATTTCCCCATTTCCCCCTCTTCATATTCTCTTGCTACTTTTTCTTCTTCTCTCTCTGAACTCAATGTTGATGGACCTTGGGGCTTGGTTCTAGGCTATTGTCTTTTCTCTTTTTGGCTCTTCCCACCCACTACAGTACTTCAAATAACATATATTATTAATGAATTCCAAATTTGTATTTCCATTCTAAATTCTCCTCCGATTTCATTTGTATATCAAACTGCCTTTTGACATCTCCACTTAAGTGTCTGAAAGTCGTACTTAGAATGTGTGCAAAAGAGCTTTTGATTCCTTTACCCCTCATCTTCACCCCATCAAATCTGTTCTCCTAAACATGCTTGTCTTAGGAAGTGGTAGAACTATCCTTCCTGTTGCTGAAACTGAAATGCTGGAATATAGCCCATACTCATTCTCTGTTTTCCTAATTCCCTTCATTCAAATCCATCAGAATAATTCCATAGTGTTACCATCAGGGCCTGTGTCAAGGTCTTTGTATCATCCCCATTGTTACTACTCAAAGTATATTACTTACAGTAGCCCCCTATTGTATAACAGCAGATGAGGCCTTGACTCTTCATAATCCTTTTATGGTTTCCAAATACTGCCAAGATCAAGGCTCATTCATTGTTTAGAGGAGTAAAAATTGATCTCCCAAGATATTTGTTTGATTTCTTTCAGGATTAAATTAAATTGGAGGAGGAAGAGGGTTTAGTTTAAGTTTTTTAAGTACCTGTCAGCAGAGAAGGAATCATCTTGTAAAATTTAAGTGAATTTACTTTATATCCTGTGTGATAGGATTTAAGAAAGAACTTAGATCTAATTGAGAGCCTCTTTTTTTTTTTTTATAGCTTTATTTATTTATTTATTTGAAAGGCAGAATTACAGAGAGAGAAGGAGAGAGAGAGAGAGGTCTTCCATCTGATGGTTCATTCCCCAAACAGCTGCACCAGCCAGGGCTGGACTGGCCAAAAGCCAGGAGCCAGGAACTTCTTCCAGGTCTCCCACATGGGTGCAGAGGCCCAAGTACTTGAGCCATCTTCTACTGCTTTCCCAAGCACATTAGCAGGGAGCTAAATCTGAAGTGGAGAGCTGGGACTGACACCCGTATGGGATGTCAGCACTACAGGCGAGGCGGTGGCTTTACCTGCTGTGCCACAGCACTAGCCCCCAAAGCTCTTTCATTTGGACCAAAATGATAATAGATTAAATATAATCCTTTATTTTCCAGTAATTAACTTTTTAAAGACCTCTAACAATAACGTTGGGCCAGATCGTCTGTGGTAAGCTCATAGGTGTTGATTTGTGTTACTCTTGGGCTTTTGTTGAACTTTGTCGATTCTTGACCTGGAATCCCTTTTTGAATCAGGCACTTTTTCAAGGAACTTGACTAGAGATAAAGTTTCCTGGTTGACTGTCATCCCTGTTCACAGTAGAGCTGCCTCCTTCATGGATATTGAAGGAAGTTCTTGAACAGTTCAGGAGTCTTGTGGAAGGTCTTTATGAGGTATCTCCATCTACAGCATAAACTAAGACAGTGCCTATTGATAGGATTCAGCTACCTGTCCAACTTGTGTCCATTATTTATAGCCTTTATTTCAGATATAATCACAAGAGTTAAGCCTTTGTAACAGCTGTGCCAGAAGAAGTTACGGGAGTCAAGAGGAGACTAGTTGGAAAAGTCCTTACTTGACTATATGTCAGAGCATCACATCAGTTTCTCTAGTCTGTCTCTGCTTCACCCAACCTCAGGCTTTCACCATACAGTGGAAAAAATAGTAGTAGAGGAGTTTACCTGGGCCTGTTCCGCTGCTGTTGTACACAGAACGGTTTTTTCATGGATTAGGTGTCTCCCCCACATCTGTATCTCTGCAAGTCATTCTTATGGCCTTTTATTCTGCACAGAATGAGCACCCATAAAGTGAATAAACTGAAGAAGCATAATATTATTTACTAGATGAAGGTGTTGCTTTTTCAATTTGCATGGGAACACAACCGAGAGCTTAGGAGGCTGCTCCGCTGTGGTTGTGGACCGGTGATGGGTGAAGGTAGGGAACAGTGGGTTCCAGCCTTCAGGTCTTTTCCATAGCCTTACACTCTCCATTCTTCTGCTGTCTCTGAAAGTCTACATATAGATCTATAAAGACAGAAATGAAATATTTTTAACTGCATAGTCTTTCTTTTATATACAAGCTGTATTATTTTAATTAATTTTAAAAAATCACAGTGAACTATAACGTTTTCTCATTTCATTTTTGAGATGTTCTAACTGTTTTTGCCTTTTCTTTCTTTCAGTTATGACATGCACCGATTACATCCCTCGCTCATCCAATGATTATACCTCACAAATGTATTCTGCAAAGTAAGTTGAATAACTGTTTCCAAAATCTATATGTTTTTCCTCTAGGTTCACTGCAAAATTTAATTTTATATTTAACTTTCTAGCTCTCATTCTCTCTGTCTTTATTTCAATTTTTTATCTCCTCTCAATATAGTCCTTTTAAAAAGTTGGTGATTGCATGGACTAGATCATCACTGTTACACAAGAAGTTACTCTAAGAGTCGTCACTAAAATTGCAAAATCATGTTAGCAATCAAAGCATATTACTGATTGACCTCTGATCATTCTCTCTTTCCTGTACTTTGAGAAGACACTTCCAACAGCTCAAGCTGGCCCTAGACTAGGATGTCTCAGCCTAATCTGTGTTCTGTTTCTTGTTTGGGAATGTCCTTAGTGTGGAATGGGACTTAAGTTATACAGGTTTGATGGGTTGAAGTTACTAAAAAGAAATATTTGGGCCTTCACAGGGTAAGATTAGCATTTAACATCAATTAGGTTACTCATCTTCAAGATGGGTAAGCACAGAACTATGTATATACCAGGTCACCAACTGTGCATTAATAAAGAGTGGACCTGTGCATACATAGAGAAATATAAGTGTGTTTATTAAACCAAGATATATTCTCATGCACTTAAAAATACTTGATACTTAAAGAAATTAGTGGAACTGGCGTTGTGGCACAGCGGTTTTTCAGCTGCGTTACTTCTGGTACAGCTCCTTACTAATACACTTGGGAAAGCAGCAGAAGATGGTCCAAACTTTGGGCCCCTGTACCTATGTGGGAGTTCCAGACTCATGGCTTTAACCATTGTGGCCATCTGGGGAATGAACCAACAAATGGAAGATCTCTGTCTCTCCCCCTCTCTGTAACTCTGACTTTCAAATAAGTAAAATAAATCTTTAAGGGGAAAAAGAAATTGGTAACAGAGAGAAGAGATGTCTGTGGAGCTGCTTTGAAAACAAAACCTTATTCTACTCATTTGTACTTTTTAAATATTAAAAAATAAACTAATTTAAAAAATCAGCTCAATGATTTCTCCAAATTCTAATCAAGTATTAACATTAATGGTGTCTTTAGGCCATAGTCACACAGTTTTCTTCTGTGAAATGGCTAAACCTGTTCTCTAGGATCAGTATGAAAAAATTAGATACTAAATGTGAAAACACATTTGAGCTTTGAACTATAAAGCATGAAAAAAGAATATTAGATTTTTTTGTGTGTGACAGGCAGAGTTAGAGAGAGAGAGAGACAGAGAGAAAGGTCTTCCTTTTTCCATTGGTTCACCCCCCCAAAGTGGCCGCTGCAGCCGGCACACTGCACCGATCCGAAGCCAGGAGCCAGGAGCCAGGTGCTTCCTCCTGGTCTCCCACATGGGTGCAGGGCCCAAGCACTTGGGCCATCCTCCACTGCCTTCCCGGGCCACAGCAGAGAGCTGGACTGGAAGAGGAGCAACGGGGACAGAACCGGCGCCCCAACCAGGACTAGAACCCAGGGTGCCGGCGCCGCAGGCACCACAGGCGGAGGATTAGCCCAGTGAGCCGCAGCACCAGCCAAGAATATTAGATTTTTAACATCTGGAAATTAACCCATTTGAGGTCAGTAAGATTTTAAATCATTTCCTTGTGACTTGAGTAACAACTGTAATCTGAGCTGTCTGCCACTCGGATCTGGCTAAGAATAGACATTTTCGGATTCAGTGTCAGAATCTGCTGAGATGTGAGTGAATATGTCACATATATTCATTCATTCAAAAAGTATTTAGAGACTGATTGTTTGACCCAGCATTTAAGATGCCAGTTAGGATCCCCATATCTCATGTGGGAGTGCCTGCATTTGATACCCACTACTGGCTCCTGACTCCAGCATCTGACTGTCAAAGACCCTGGGAGGCAGCAGTGATGCTTAGATAATTGGGTTCCTGCTGCCCTTGGAGAATTGGATTGAGTTTCTGATTCCTGGCCTCAGCCCAGCCCAACCTCAGCTATTGTGTGCATCTGGGGAGTAAAACTAGTGGGTAAATTTTACAGAGAGAATCTCATTTTAAGAAATGGAGTTGGGACCAGTGTTGTGGTACGTGGGGTTAAGCTACTGCTTGCAATGCCAGCATCCCATATTGGAGAGCCAGTTTGCATCCCAGCTACTCCAGTTTTGATCCAGCTTTGTACTAATGGGCCTGGGAAGGCAGCAGCAGATGACCCAAGTAATGGCCCCTGTAACCCATGTGGAAGACCAAGATGGAGTTCCTGGCTCCTGACTTTGGGCTGGCCAGACCTGGCTGTTGATTCCATTTTGGGGAGTGAATCAGTAGGTGAAAGATCTCTCTATCTCTCTCTCTCTGTCTCTCTCTCTTCCCTTCCTCTTCCTTTCTCTCTATCATGCTGACTTTCAAGTAAGTTAATAAATCCTTTTTTTTTAATGCTTCTTTAAAAAAAAAAGATTTATTTATTTATTTGAAAGGCAGAGTTATAGAGAGGCAGAGAGAGATCTTCCTTCCACTGGTTCAATCCCCAAATGACTTCAGTGGGCGGAGCTGCATATGGGTGCAGGGGCCCAAAGAATTGGGCCATCTTCTACTGCTTTCCCAGGCCATAACAGAGAGCTGGATCGAAAGTGGAACAGCCAGGTCTTGGACTGCCGCCCATGTGAGATGCCGGCAGTGCAGATGGCTTTACCCACTATGCCACAGTGCCACTGGCCCCTCTTTTTTCTTTCTTTCTTTTTTTTTTTTTTAAGACTTATTTATTTGAGAGAGTTACAGAGAGAGAGTGGTTTCCCATCCACTGGTTCAGTCCCCAAGTGGCTGCGACATCCAAGGCCTAGCTAGGCTGAAGCCAAGAGCCAGGAAACGCCTTGTATCTTAATTCAGACCACCTTCCCACTCATCTGAACCATTACATTATAATCACTTTTTTTAAAAAAAGGTTATTTATTTACTTGAAAGGCAGAGCTAGAGAGAGGGAGAGGGAGAGAGAGAAAGAGAGAGAGAGAGATGTTCCATCTGCTGGTTCACTCCCCAGATGGCCACAATGGCCAGAATTGAGTTGATCAGGAGCCAGGAGGTTCTTCTGGGTCTCCCATGTGAGTACAGGGGCCCAATGACTTGGGCCATCTTCTACTGCTTTCCCAGGCCATAACAGAGCCAGATCAGAAGTGGAGCAGCCGGGACTCAAACCGGCACCCATATGGGATGTCGGCACTGCAGGCAGCAGCCTCACCCACTATGCCCAATACTAGCCCCTATAATCACTTTGTTAACTAGACCTCCATTTTCAGTTTCTCCTCCTTTGAATCCGTTTTACAAAATATGAGAAATTAATTGTTATTTAAGAATAGTCTGATCTTGTTACTCTCTTAACAGTAATTTCAGTGGCTCCCAGTTCTTTTAGATTTGTCTGATCCCTTTTTGCCTAGCATTCAGTGTCTTTGCTATCTTTTCTTTCCTCAGTTCATTACTTACTTTCTCTTGGTATATTTCCCTTCACACCATCTATGCTTCTTGGAGGCTGAAGCCTTGCTCTGTTGGCCGAGAATACCCTTTCTTTCCCATTTCTGTATACCCTTTCTGCTTATTTCACACGCCATTTTGTAGCTTTCCTTTATTTTCTTCTTTCCTCAACACTGAAAAATAAAACTTTTCTGCCTTCTAAAATAACTCCTGCTCCCTGTATTTTGTTGTGATGACTCATGTGGTATTTATAGCCCTTTTTTTCAAAGTATGATATAATTCACCAAATAAAATAACTAGTCTCTAAAAATTCAGTGCAACAGCACAGATGAACTGACCAGATCAGCTAATCAGTATACAGTCCCAAGGGGTTACCTGATGGCCTCAAATCGCTAGCTCTCCCTGATGTGGTTGGTATCAGTGAGTGGCAGTGTGCTCTGACTTAAATATCAGCAGGGAGGTGAGTCCTGTCTAGGATTTATTCATTTATTAGTTACCCTGGCTCCTGTTTGGTAGGTTTAATATTGGGGCTCACTGCCTGTTTTCTGATTCGATTGCTTGCATTTTCTCCTCTAGCCTCATCCCTTTTTCTGGATCTCAGCTTTCCTCTCAGAACTTGAGTTTGGCCCAGGGACTTGGATAGGTAGTGAGAACCAATTGCAGTCCTATTCTGTACAGTTTTCTGATATTTTAGGGTTTTATTCTATATATAGTAGACAAAAGGACATAAGCTCCTTACTTTTTTTTTTAAAGATTTATTTTATTTATTTGAAAGAGTTACAGAGAGAGGTAGAGACAGAGAGGTCTTCCATCCACTGGTTCACTCCCCAGATGGCTGCAATGGCCAGAGCTGCGCTGATCCGAAGCCGGGAACCAGGAGCTTCTTCCAGGTCTCCCACGTGGGTGCAGGGGCCCAAGGACTTGGGCCATCTTCTTACTGCTCTCCCAGGCCATAACAAAGAGCTGGATTGGAAGAGGAGCAGATGGGACTTGAACTGGCACCTATATGGGATGCTGGCGCTTCAGGCCAGGACTTTAATCTGCTGCGCCACAGCACCGACCCTGAGCTCCTTACATTTCACATAGAGCCTTGCATGTAGCACACCACAAATGTTTGTAGAGCCTGAAAGGAGATAGGGGTTCTACTTTGTGATCATAATAGAAACATTTTACATGGAAGATTAGTGTCCTTGTTGCTGATTCTTTGCTGTTATTTACTTTCTTGAATTTTTCTAGACCTTATGCACATATCCTCTCAGTTCCTGTTTCGGAAACTGCTTACCCTGGGCAGACTCAGTACCAGACACTGCAGCAGTCTCAACCCTATGCTGTCTACCCTCAGGCAACACAAACATACGGACTACCTCCTTTTGGTAAGGCAGCCTATTGTAAGCTGTTTCTAAGAATGTTGAATTCATACCTAGAATCTTCTGTCTTTTTCCAGAAAGGAAAGGTGGCTGATTAGGAAGCTGAAGGATACATTGTTCTTCATAGAGCATTTGCTGAGTTACAGTGTGTTGAAATTGACCAATTTCTAACATTACGCTTGATGCATGTGATATAAAATCGGGGTTTTTCAATATTCATGTGTTATCCCCGAAAGTCAGCTCTTTCCAAAGTATTAAGTCTTGACTCTGAAACTTACTTAGTATCTTTGGCAAACTGAGGAATTACTGTTGACTTGAACTTAACAACCTTGTATACATGGTTGGATGAGCATAATAAACATACTTTGAGTTAGTCAATTTCTTGCTGAAGCAGGTAGTTAATATCCTAATAGAGTTTGCCTCCGTGTGTGTGTGTGTGTGTGTGTGTGTACGTGTACGTACATAGATGTGCACACTGATTTCTCCTCCCCCCTCCTCCTTCCCTTACCTGAAACTGATAAAATTTCTGGTGAACCAAAGAGTCATCTTAGGATGGGTGAAATCCCCAATTTTCTGTAACCTAATCCTGTTCATAAGGAATTCTTATTGGTTTTAAGTATCTTGACATGATCTGTAATTAGAGTGGTTTACAGTGTGAGGTTCTTTGGGTACATGGTATCTCACTAGTTTTCTGTGTGTAATAAATTGAGAGATATGTATAGTAAGCTTTGTTGCCCCTTCTCTGCTTTCCTAGAACTGGTGTCAGAAAACTGAGAGAATATAGAATTATTTTAAAATATGCAATGTTAATAAAATTATATATTTTTATTTAAACAAGGTAGGAATTAGAAAAATTTTTGAATAGATTGCCACAAAATTCAATTCTGGGTGTATTAATGTTGTCTGCTTTGGGTTTCTATATTCCTATTTCTCCTGGCACATTTGGTGAGTCTTTTATGATAGTAAAAGTTTATGATAGTAACAGTTTCCTTACTTTAGGTTGTTAGCATTCTTTAACTACTGGTAACTACCAAAAACAAAAATTGGGGTTATATTTAATGATAGTAATAGTTGATAACTATGAGGGAAGGGAAACTCAAATTCCCCATTTGTACATCCACGCCTCTGTGCCTGTTAGTATCAGCCAGTGTACTGCAGTCTTTTAACCATTCAAGACTGAATAATCCTTTTGGAAGGAAAACCTTCTCTGAATATCTTTGTGTGTTTTTCTTTTTGTGGCTACTAAAGCAAATTTTTCAGGAGTTGGCTGGCTAATCATAGGTTACCAATTGTTTTCACTTTTTTTTAACATCTATTTCAATTTTTATTTATTGTTAGTAAGTGTAAACCCTTTATAGTGTTGTTAATCAGTTTGTCAGTCTGCTATTGAATATTAAATAATATGCTTATTACCTCTGAACTCATTTTATGGGATATCTAACATAATGCCCTGGCAATGTGGATTTTGTGGTATCTTATGATTGTTTCATTTCCCTTGTATTAAAAAAGAAAGCTCTGTAGGATAAATAGATCTCTGTTAAAAACAGCATTTCTGTTAGAAAGATACTTTGGTAATAAAAACCTCAGTCTATTTTTGTCTAATATTTGAGGGCAAGAGAGACTTTTTTTAGTAAATTCTTCTATCAGTAATTCATAGAAAAAGATCATCATTAGCGTAATTTGACTTTGTCATATATGAGACCTACTAGAGAGAGATTTAGATTCAAATGATATGAACAATAGATATGGCATATTCTCAGATTTTACCAGAGAAATTTAAGAGATGTTTGCAATGCTTTCAAAGGTGACTGTATTTTTTAAAACCATTTTCTTTTGTCTTAACACTTGGCCTTTTTATTTATTTGTTTGTGTTTTTTTTTGTAACCAATTAAATATCAGAAAACACTTAATTTCTTTCTTTTGGAATCAAGATTTTGGTACATTTTGTTATGTTAATACTGCCTATTTTTGTATTACCTAGCCTGTTATTTCAGATACAATTAGAGCTTGGAACACATCATTACAATAACATTATCTTCTATTTATTGAGTGGTTATCATAGCAAGCACTATGCTAAGAATAAGTACTTCACACTTAATATTATTGTCTCATTTAATTCTCAGAACAATTATAAGAGTAGTGTGTAGGGGGCCGATGTTGTGGCTTAACAGATAAAGCTGCCACCAGTGATGCTGGCATCACACATGGGTACCTGTTCGAGTCCCAGCTGCCCCACTTCTGATCCAGTTCCCTGCTAATTGACTGGGGAAAGCAGCAGAAGATGGTCCAAGTACTTGGGTGTCTGCTACCCATGTGGGAGACATAGACTCCTGTCGTAGCCCAGCTCTGGTCATTGTGGCCATCTGGGGAGTGAACCAGCAGATAGAAGATCTCTGTTTCACCCTCTCTAACTCTGCCTCTCTCAAAAGAAAAAAAAAAAAGTATATAGCATTATCATTTTTTTAAACTTTTATTTAACAAATATAAATTTCCAAAGTACAGTTTATGGATTACAGTGGCTTTCCCCCCCCATAACCTCCCTCCCACCCGCAACCCTCCCATCTCCTGCTCCCTCTCCCATTCCAGTCACATCAAGATTCATTTTCAATTATCTTTATATACAGAAGATCAATTTAGTATATATTAAGTAAAGATTTTAGCATTATCATTTTTAATAGATGAAGAATCAGAGACTTAGTTAAATCGCTAGCCTAGGGACATATACTTAGTAATGCCAGGCATAAGAATTGAATCCAGTTCTGTTTAGTTCCAGAGGTCCTCATAAATTTAGGTCTTTATCAAAAAGGTGGTTTGAGTTTTTTTTTTTTTTTTTTTTTTTTTTGACAGGCAGAGTGGACAGTGAGAGAGAGAGACAGAGAGAGAAAGGTCTTCCTTTGCCGTTGGTTCACCCTCCAATGGCCGCCGCTGCAGCCGGCGCACCGCGCTGATCCGATGGCAGGAGCCAGGAGCCAGGTGCTTTTCCTGGTCTCCCATGGGGTGCAGGGCCCAAGCACCTGGGCCATCCTCCACTGCACTCCCTGGCCATAGCAGAGAGCTGGCCTGGAAGAGGGGCAACCGGGACAGAATCCGGCGCCCCGACCGGGACTAGAACCCGGTGTGCCGGCGCCGCAAGGTGGAGGATTAGCCTATTGAGCCACGGCGCCGGCCCAGGTGGTTTGAGTTTTAAATTAAAAACCTTCCCCCTCTTGGAGAAAGAAGAAAAAGCTAGAAGAAATTTGCAAAGGCTATGTTATGAGTGATCTTTAAAAGTAAAGGAATATCAGTCATATTTTCCATGCGAGGTAGGGTGGCAGAAGGGGGTTAGAGGTTTAATTTCTAGTGATCTGAAGGATTAGGTGAGGGAAAGGATCCTTATCTGTTTTTAGGGGTCATAAAAATATGCCCTTAGCTGCCACTGATCAGATTTATTTTAAAAGAACTTTAATGTGAGATTGAAGATTTGGCAAAATATATTAAGAACCTAAGGATGTTGATTCCCTTTTCCTCAGTAATTTTACTTATGGTAATTCTTCCTATGGAACTATTTAGAGATACGTTAAAAAATTTATTAACCAGAATATTTACTGCAGCATTACTTATAGTAGGGGAAAAGGGAAGCAGCCTACATATTAGATCAAAAGATGTGTGTTAAATGGCAGTGTACCCATAGAATTGAAAACTTTGTAGCCATTATAAATTGTGTTAGAGTCTTGAGCAAATAGTATTATTCATTGAAAAAAGCAATATGTAAAACTGAAAACACAATATATAATACCAACTTAGTGCTTTTTAAAAATATGTGCACGGGACCAGCACTGTGGCATAATGGGTTAAGCCGCTGCCTACAATGCTGGCAGCCCATATGGGCACTGGTTCGAGAGCTGGCTGCTCTGGTTCTAATCCAGCTCCCTGCTAATTGACCTGGGAAAGCAACAGAAGATGGCCCAAGTAGTTAGACCCCTGTACCCACATGGGAGATCTGGTTGAAGCTCCTGGCTCCTGGCTTCAGCCTGACCCAGCCCCGGCCATTGTGGCCTTTTGGGAAGTGAACCAGTGGATGGAAGATCTCTCTATCTTTCCTACTCTTTCTCTATCTGTAACTCTGCCTTTAAAATAAATAAATATCACAATATATATGTATGTGCACAGAGAATAATTTGGAAGAAAGAATGTGGATTTTAACAGTACTGAAGGCACTGCAGATTTGATCTTAGTTACCACAGATTTGTACAAAACAAGGAGACAGTTCCAATATGAACAAGTTTCAGTTACCATAGTCGCATGCAGAAGAAATTAACAGCCTGTGTTTTCTTTGTGGTAAGAATGTATGATTTTTTTTCTTTGTACTTCCTATATTTTCCTAATTTTCTATAATAAATATCTTCTTTTATAAATGGGAAAAATACTGAAATTTAGCTACAGTGTACTGTTAAGTCAACAAACCAAGACATATCCCTTTTTCTAGGATTGGTATGCATTTCTATTTCTAATCCAACTAATCTAAAGATCCACTACTCTGGTTAGTGTGGGTTGTGGCTAACCAACAGAAGCGCTTGTACTGAGAAACTTTGGTAGAGTTTATTTTATGATCCCACCTGGGACATAAGAAGGATAGACTTCCTTTCCCATTGGTAGGCCAACAGTTGCTCCACAGCAGGCTCTGGGTGCTTAAGAGTACTAGAAGCTTTGCAGTTGTAGGCAGAAAGTAATGCACTAAGAGTTTAGAAACCAGGGTTTGATTTTCTCTTTTGCTATAGAAGTAGTACAGTGGAGTCAGAGCATTTGATCATGACATCTATTATCTGGAATTCTGGGAAGTGTGCTTTTAGGAGAAGATATTTACGTGCCTAAAGAGCAAGCCACAATGATGCTAGTGGAAGTGTCCATATTGCCTTTTTTATTTATTTATTTATTTATTTATTTATTTATTTGACAGGCAGAGTGGACAGTGAGAAAGAGAGACAGAGAGAAAGGTCTTCCTTTTTCTGTTGATTCATCCCCCAATGGCCACTGCGGCCGGCACACCGCACCGATCTGAAGCCCAGAGCCAGGTGCCTCTCCTGGTCTCCCATACGGGTGCAGAGCCCTAGGACTTGGGCCATCCTCCACTGCATTCCCGGGCCAGATCAGAGAGCTGGACAGGAAGCGGAGCCACCGGGACAGAATCCGGCACCCCGACCGGGACTAGAACCCAGTGTGCCAGCGCCGCAGGCGGAGGATTAGCCAAGTGAGCCGCGGCGCCGGCCCATATTGCCTTTTATTCCTGTGTTCCTCCTAAAATAATAATTATCAAATACCTGCTTTGCATTTCTTGCCAGACATTCAAAAGTAGCCATCCTCCTACTTGTCTTGGACATTTGTGCCCTAATTTTTTACCTTAAATACGGATCAATTTTTTATTTGTTTATTTATTTAAATTTATTTTTATTTATTTGTTTGTTTATTTTTGCCGTGCAGAGTTAGACAGTGAGAGAGAGACAGAGAGAAAGGTCTTCTTTCTGTTGGTTCACTCCCCTAATGGCCACTACGGCTGGCACTGCACTGATCCAAAGCCAGGAGCCGGGTACTTCTTCCCGGTCTCCCATGCAGATACAGGGACCCAAGCACTCAGGCCATCCTGCACTGCCCTCCCAGGCCACGGCAGAGAACTGGACTGGAAGAGGAGCAACCGGGACTAGAACCTGAGGTGCCGGCGCTGCAGACGGAGGATTAGCCAAGTGAGCCTAGGCACCGGCAAGAAGGACCAGTTTGTAGATACTTTACAGTTTGAAACTTTCAGAAAATATGTTAAATAAGACTAGCAAATGCTTTCTCAGTTGACTATTGTTATTAATAAGGTATTATTTCAGTATAGTGAAATAAACATTCACAAATCCAATACCTCAGGGTTTAAAACTTACTTGGGAAAAGGAATCACATTGATTATAATAAATTTAGACATTGTGACATTTAAATGACAGTTTTCTTACCAAAAAATGTGATATACTACCACTAAGAATGATGGCACTGATGTGCACATTTCACATCATAAATAATTAAAACAAGACATTCCCAAATCTTTTATTTTGTTGAAAATCAAACATAGCAAGGACCTTAGCTCTGATTAACCTGGACAAGACATTTAAATGATCATGAACTAACGGGAAGGGATAACCTCATAATTCATGTTGGAGATGTTAGAGATGATACTGTTCCTCCTTTTGTGTGGTTAATAACAAAAGACTATGACATTTTCTTTTTTAATGCATTAAGAGTTTGGGACAAAGCAGTTATTATGTCCCATTGTCAAGATCTTAAGATTTTCACATCTCTGTTACTGTTCTTAAATTTACGTAATAAATTTGACAAATCTGAGTTGCACTGCTGTGTCTTGGTGCCCTGGTGAAGCAGAGGTCCTCATTACCAAAGGATTGCACTTTGTATTGTGCATGTTGATTGACTAGAAATTCCTTATCAAATTAGAAGTAGAATTAACGTTGAATTTGAAGCCCTGGTTATTAACGTTTAGATTGATTTAGTACAATGGAATGTGTTTGTTGCACTTTCTTAGATCAGATTCTCTTCTTAGCTACACTGATCCAAACAACCATAGCTATTCACAACACAGTAAACAAGTGGGTATTCCATATATGTGCTTTGCATAGCTTAATTATGCGCATAGTATTTCCCTTATAAAAATATGCTTAAGCTGTCACAAAAATAAAGCTTTGTTTATAGCTTCCTGGTGTATTGCAAATTATAAGGGAGGTACAGCCAGAGATGGGAGATTATCAAGAAGTGATATTTCACAGAGAAGAAACAGGTATAAAAACAACTGTTATTGGCCGGCGCCACGGCTCACTAGGCTAATCCTCTGCCTGTGGTGCCGGCACCCCGGGTTCTAGCCCCGGTTGCTCCTCTTCCAGTTCAGCTCTCTGCTCTGGCCCGGGAAGGCAGTAGAGGATGGCCCAAGTGCTTGGGCCCTGCACCCGCATGGGAGACCAGGAGGAGCACCCCGCTCTTGGCTTTGGATCCGCACGACGTGGCGGCCATTTGGGGGGTGAACCAACAGAAGGAAGACCTTTCTCTCTGTCTCTCTCACTGTCTAACTCTGTCTGTCAAAAAAAAAAAAAAAAAAAAGGAAAGAAAAGAACAACTATTATTGAGCCTATTTGATACAAATATGTTTTCACACAGCACAATAGCTCTGCAGGTAACTCTGTGATATGTGTAGTACAGCACTGTGTTGATCTTTTATAACAGTAAATCTCAGAAAACCTTAATGTGTGTTCACTATTTCTTCCCTGCTAAGAAGACAAGAAAGAATATGAATATACTATCTGTGAGATAGATTTATAGGTTCTTTCATGGAAAGATGCCTCTCAGAGGTATTTTCTAGAAAAGCAAATTAATAAACAGTATGTGTAGCATGATCCCATTTTTATTAAAAAGAAGATGATCCATACATGCATAAAAGAAATCTAGGTAACTCTTCTGTACACTGTCAATAGTGCTTAAGTCTGACTGTTGGAATTATGCATGACTTCATTTTTAAGTTGTGTATTTCCAAAATGTTTTTAATTTGTAAAAATAAGCCTGTCTTCCTTAATCAGAAGAAACAAAGGTAACAACAATAATCAGTGTAAGATAACTGAAGTATTTAGTACATTTTAGAAAAAATTTGCTTGTTTAATGGGTAAGTGAATTTTAAATATTATGAGAATGTCTCCCACCTTGACAATTCAGATAAATGTTTTTTATCACTGCACATGAATGTCAGGCACTCTTTATGACAAATAGTCCAGTTGGGTGTCAGCAGCTCATTCTCTGAACCCTGCTCAGTTCTCCGCAGCCCTTGAAGTGACCTTACACACATACCACTGTTGGGATTTTGACAAGATTTTGTTTTCATTGCCCCATCCCCTAATTCTTTGAAAGTGTATTTGCTTGGGGTATATTATTGATGGGAGACTCAGTAATTTTCTCTTGCAAGCAAATTTGCAATGTTTTAAGATTTCAATTTTGAAACTACTGGCTGATATTTGAAAGCATAACTCTGCTCCTCAGTCCCAGTGTGTTGTTTGTAATTGGTCCAATTTATCTGATTCAGGTGCATTGTGGCCAGGTATGAAACCTGAAAGTGGTTTAATTCAGACTCCATCTCCAAGTCAACACAGTGTTCTTACCTGCACTACAGGGCTAACCACAAGCCAGCCAAGCCCAGCACATTATTCTTATCCCATTCAAGGTAAATAGGCATGGTTGTGTGTGTGTGTTTTTAAATTGTTCGTTTTTAATCTACCTGTATCTCAAAATAAACCGGGTGATATAGGAGCTCTGTCTTCTAAAATAGAAGGGGTGATATTTGCATTTCTGCATGCTTTTTGTGTTAGGTAAAATAGACCCAGAGGTGTGGCTTATAAGTAATTTAGCCTTTGAATGTGAGCAGCTCAATAAAATTGAAAGCTTTCCTTTTGCATGTTGGTGTCCAAAAAGCCCCTCTAATTTGGTTCTGGTCTGATCTGAGTGGCATTTTGCCCTATGTCTGAAGACGCCATGGTTCAGAATCTTGCTGACTCCCTAACAGTGAATTGTCAGAGTGGAATGCGTGTTGCGTGCTGCTTCCTTGCTATGGCTTTGTCACACCTATACCCCGTTTACTACTTGCATTTCTTTTGATCAATAAGTTTGTTCTTGTTTCTATTTCAGGATGAAAAGCATAGCATTAAACATAAACTTTGTAAAACAACCTTAACTTCCTGAGTTTTTCCTCTGAAAGGTTAGAATTTGACAGGACTTTTAAGAAAGAAGACAACTTAGGCCGGCGCCGCGGCTCACTAGGCTAATCCTCCGCCTTGCGGCACCAGCACACCGGGTTCTAGTCCCTGTCGGGGTGCCGGATTCTGTCCCGGTTGCCCCTCTTCCAGGCCAGCTCTCTGCTGTGGCCCGGGAAGGCAGTGGAGGATGGCCCAAGTGCTTGGGCCCTGCACCCCATGGGAGACCAGGAGAAGCACCTGGCTCCTGCCTTCGGATCAGCGCGATGCGCTGGCCGCGGCGGCCATTGGAGGGTGAACCAACGGCAAAAGGAAGACCTTTCTCTCTGTCTCTCTCTCTCACTGTCCACTCTGCCTGTCAAAACATCCTGTTGTTACTGAGTCTCTCCTTTTCTTATTTTCCCTTCTTTCTTTGTCCTCTCCTGCTTCTTTCCTTCTAAAATGGGAACAAAGTATGAGGGAAAAAACTTACTTAATGCTGTGTCTTCTCCACCAATCCCTTTTCATTTTTATAGTGTTTTTCTGGGTTGATAGGTCCCAAAAGGCAAGTCAAGTTCCAGGGGTCCCTCCTATACAGATACAGCTGGGCTGTGAAAGAAATGCAATGATTCTCTTGTTATTAGCCCTCTGCCAAGGGTTACAACCTGTCCTCTGCACCCCTCTACCTCATTCCTCTGCAGTTGTATCCTGAATTTGAGGAAATGATGGCTATACCTACTTCTTTCCTTGTATACCTACTTCTCTCCTTTGGGTCTGTAAGGACCCTTTGCTTTAGAAGCATCATGAAAATATTTTTTACAAGTCACTAACCACCATTCTTAGCTTATTATCTAAGAATACATGTTCTCTTTAAGTCAGTTAACTTGGTTTCCTCCATTTTGCTGTTTAGGATAATTGCCGATCCTCATTAAGTACTTACTGTGCTTTTAGCATTGTCCTAAGCAGTAGGTAGGTGTTAGTTACATAATCTTCACAACAACCTAATGAAGGAAGTTGATAGAAACCATTTTACTGATGTGGGACCTGAGGGACAAAAAGCCAAGTAACTTATCCTAACTCACTAAGTTAGTAAACAATTAATTCAGCATTTGAAATAGACATTCTGACCCCAGGACATAATTGTAGCAACTCTCCCATATTTGAGAATCTGTGCTAACAAAGTCCAAATCCTTTTTTTCTTCCCCTTTTCTTCTTGACCTATTGGTCCATTTTGTTGTCCATTAGCACTTTAGCACAGAGTAGAAATTAAGGCAGAAATTAACCATCAAGTTACTGATTTTTGCTATTTATTCTGAAGAAAAATTTTATAGAAAAACAGTTGACTAACATGATACATGAGTATTACTGCTGGATTTGAATTACCTGGGTTTGCTACCAACACTCACCTTGCCTTGACACTCCGTTTCCTTTAACAAGGGTAGTAACTCAGCTTCCAGGGCTGCTTCCTTATCCTTGTGTATTGATTTTATAAACTGGTCAAACAGCAGCACCCGTTCTTCCCACTCCCAAGCATGATGCAATTGGCAGCAACCCATCTTTCCTGGAGAAGTTAGAGAAATTATCTAAAAGCAAATTCCACTTCTGGGGTTTTGTTTTTTAAACTGTCAATCTTATATTTTTTTAAGATTTATTTATTTATTTGAAAGGCAGAGTTACACAGAGAGAGAGGTCTTCCATCTGATAGTTCACTCCCCAGATGGCTGCAACGGCCGGAGCTGCACTGCTCCAAAGCCAGGAACCAGGAGCTTCCTCCGGGTCTCCCACGCGGGTGCAGGGGCCCAAGGACTTGTGCCATCTTCTACTGCTTTCCCAGGCCATAGCAGAGAGCTGATCAGAAGTGGAGCAGCCGGTCTCGAACCAGCGCCCATATGGGATGCCGGCGCTTCAGGCCAGGGCGTTAATCCACTTCGCCATAGCGCCAGTCCCTTGTTTTGTTTTTTTGACAGGCAGAGTTAGTGAGAGAGAGAGACAGACAGACAGAAAGGTCTTCCTTTTTTTCCGTTGGTTCACCCCCCAAATGACCATCACGGCTGGCGCACTGTGTGGATCCGAATCCAGGAGAAAGATGCCTCCCCCTCATCTCCCATGCGGGTGCAGGGCCCAAGTGGACAGTGAGAGAGAGAGAGAGACAGAGAGAAAGGTCTTCCTTTGCCGTTGGTTCACCCTCCAATGGCTGCCGCGGCCGGCGCGCTGCGCTGATCCGAAGGCAGGAGCCAGGTGCTTCTCCTGGTCTCCCATGCGGGTGCAGGGCCCAAGCACTTGGGCCATCCTCCACTGCACTCCCGGGCCACAGCAGAGAGCTGGCCTGGAAGAGGGGCAACCGGGACAGAATCCGGCGCCCCGACCGGGACTAGAACCGACCGGGACTAGAACCCGGCGTGCTGGCCCCCCCTAGGTGGGAGAAATAGCCCAAGTGAGCCGGGGCGTGGCCCCGTCCTACAAGTATTTCTTAAACATCATCTACTTACTGTATGCCAGAATTTTGATAGATACCAGAGACGATAGATAACAATATTCTGCCTTCATGAAGCTTGCAGACTAGTAGAAGAGAATAGAAAACAAGATAGAAATAAATAACAAGGCCGGCGCCGTGGCTCAATAGGCTAATCCTCCGCCTTGCGGTGCCAGCACACCGGGTTCTAGTCCCGGTCGGGGCGCCGGATTCTGTCCCGGTTGCTCCTCTTCCAGGCCAGCTCTCTGCTATGGCCCGGGAGTGCAGTGGAGGATGGCCCAAGTCCTTGGGGCCCTGCACCCGCATGGGAGACCAGGAAAAGCACCTGGCTCCTGGCTTTGGATCAGCGCGATGCGCCGGCCGCAGCGCGCTGGCCGCGGCGGCCATTGGAGGGTGAACCAACGGCAAAAGGAAGACTTCTCTCTCTCTCTCTCTCACTGTCCACTCTGCCCGTCAAATAAATAAATAAATAATAAATAAATAACTGAGAAGTTCTCTGAAAGAAAAAAATATATTGCTACAGTTAGGAAAATAAGAAGATTTATAATAGAGGACAGAGATAGCCTGCCCAGGGAAGTGAGACATGCTGAGGAGGGCATCATGCCAGGAAGGGGAGAGAGGCAGGGAGAACAGCTTCACAAGAATGATAAAAAGCTTGTGTTGTTTTGAATAAGTCAAAGAAAGCCAGTCTGAGCAAAAAAGGCAGAATGATGTGGTATAAAGTTAGAGGTGGCGAGAACTAAATCCTGCACAAGCTTTTATGTGCCATTAACCCTTGGGTTGCCTTCCAGCTTTGGAGCAGTGTTGTTTAACTATGCCACACACCATTCTGTAACCATGTTCTGATCAAAAATGTATGTGTATATTGACTATATTAAGTTGGATCTCTAGTGAGGCATGGTTCTGAGAAGCTTTGTCTTTCAGTGATTTTGTGGTTTCATTGTCAAAATAGGAGTGGGGACTGTCCAAAAACAGTTGGCCACACAGTTGGGAATTGGAGATCTTGTAACCTTCAGATAAAAGACAGTAGGAATTACCACTTAAGTTTTATTTGATTCTCAAATTTTGTGCTTTCCATTACATATTTCATTGCCACTGCTTTTGCTTTTTAAACCTTCAACTGGATATTACTTTTGTTGACACCGTGTGTGTGTGTGTGTGTGTTTGTATGGGTGATGAGTGCAGTTTTTTGTTTCTTTCCAAAGTGCCTGGCTCTTTAGTCATGGCTATATGGTAGAATAGGGCATGCAGTGATTGTGTACATTTTTAGGTGAGTTTAGCTGTTTATAAGAGCATAAAAATATATTTAATTATTGACAAACTAATCTTGCTAGAACTAAAACTCCCTGAGGAGTGTCTGTACTATCCTTTAGTGACTGGAACAGTTTCTAGGCCTATAGTAGACCCTGACACTAATGTCCTGAATAAATGAATGAATGAATGACGTGTTAGAAGTGATTTGGTTGAGTACAAGGAATTTTATTGAGCCCTGTGATCTTCCTAGGTGCAGAGTAAGGTCTCATATAATAAAAACCACTATTATTTAGAAAACTATGGTTTTTAGGATGGTGCTTATTAAAAACTCAGTTATCAGGGCTGGCATTGTGGTGCAGTGGGTTAGTCTGCCACCTGTAACATCAGTATTCTCTGAGTTCAAGTTTGAGTCCTAGCTGCTCTCTCCACTTCCAGTGTAGCTTCCTGCTAACACAGCTGGGAAAGCAGCAGAAGATGGCCCAAGTGCTTGGGTGCCTGCTACCCATGTTAGACACCCATCGGAGTTCCTGGTCCCTGGCTTCAGCCTGGTACAGCCAAGTCTGTTGAAGCCATTTGGGGAGTGAACCAGTAGTGGATGGAAGATCTCTCTCTCTCTCTCTCTCTCTCTCTCTCTCTCTCTCTGTAACTCTCCCTTTCAAAAAATGCTGATCATATCATTAAACTTCCTACCAGGGATAATAGAGTACATGGCCAATTAATTGTTTGTAAGGTCTTCTTTTTTCCCCCCAGCCTGAATCAGTAATTGGTATGGGGATTGTTAACATTTCTAAAACTGCCTTGTCAGTCAGAGTCCATTTTCCCTATGTGAATAGAAATCAGGTATATGTTAAGTTGTACCTCTAACCATTAGTAAGTTGAGAATATAGAACAGAATTAAAGGTCAGTAGAAGAAAAAGGATATGCCAGAACCAGGGCCAAAGGAAAACTGAACCAGAAATGGACTTTACTCGGTAGATAAACTTAACAGATTAAATTCTTCATTTTATTTTCCATCTTAAATCACCCATGTTCAGTCTGTTTTGTGGCTGGCCTCTGTAGGATAATGTGCTGGGCAAGAGAATCTAGCAACCATCCAAATCCCCCCCCCCCTTCTTAAAAATGACTAAAACTACTTACAGAGTCATTTATATAGTGTATGTCATTTTTTGCTACTTTCTATTAGAAAAAATAATAGGTTTGGCGACAGTAGGAAAGAAGGTGAACATTGGTGGAAAGAAAATATCAACTATGAGGTTATAAAGTTTATTTCATTTTTTTTAAATAATAACAATAACAGTAATAATAATAATAAGCTCTAAGAGTCCTCTGGTTCCCCTGGGGCGGGGAATACTGTAGAGAAGAAATCTGATCCCAAGCTCATCTACTGACTCTGAGGAAAGAGCTGGGAGATTCAAGTGGTCCTCTTGATTCTCTGCCACTAGCTCCATGCATGGAAACAAGTTACTTTAACTGTTCTTTGCCCCCCTTTCTTCATCTGAAAGCTGGTTGCAGCAATCACTGTAACTGACCTTAATCCTTTCTAGACTGTCTCCTAAAGCAGAGTTCCCCTGAGAGAGGGAGAAAAATTCTCTGTGAACAGTACACTTGGGCTTCTGCTGCATTTACTTTTCAGGTCTGTTCTTGGTGGAGGTTTTCTTACTAACTTTTCCTGCACAGAACTTTGTAGCTAATGGATAGGTAGGCAGGTCCGCGTGATGGTGAGCCCTTACAGTATGTGTGACTGCAATAAGAACCGTATCTGAATGTGTTTCTGATAAGTGAGGGAAAGGAGCTCAGGACTAGTAGTATCAGTTACATTGTCCACCTGAAAAAAAGTCACAGTGATGAATCTTGTGTCAGGTTTTGATCAAAACCCTGCTGGAATCTATGACAGGAGTATATAAAAGTCCAAATTTCTGATTTTAATACAGGTAGCCCAAATAGCTTATAAAATGCACTCTAACTTTACCAGAATAATATTTAGTATTTTCTGAGTTTTTCTAGGCTTGTTGGCTAAATCTCCAAATGCTAAATCTTGATGTTTGCTAATCCACATTGATAATACGTTATTTGCATAAAGCTCAGGAAGCAATTTCAAGCATGTTAGAATTTGGAATTACAGCTCTGTTTCTCAGCGGAATTATGTGGCACCAGAAAAGGCATAATTTGGACAAATAAAAATAAACAGTATTATAGTGTAGGATATATCAGAGCTCTGCTGAGTCAGGGTAGATCACATTGCAGGTGAGTCAGCATTTTTTAGTTTCTGTGAAAGATTTGAACAAAATGATTCGGATTAATTTTGGTATCATGAGTTTCAATAGTATGAGCTATAGATTGTATCAGTATCCTTGTAGGAGTTTAATGGGAAGTTGAAGACAAACTGGAACAGGTGTTTGAAATGTTTTTGTTTCTAATCAAATCTAAATGAGGTATGGCATACAAGAAAAACAAATAAATGTATATATTCCTTATCTCCTTGTAGATCTGTTCAATAAGGTAACGTTTTCCATTTCTTCCAGCCTTTTACATATTATTCTTAATGCTTTTAACACTTCAATCTTACAGCTTCAAGCACAAATGCCAGCCTGATACCCACTTCATCTACAATTGCCAATATCCCAGCAGCAGCGGTTGCCAGCATCTCAAACCAGGTAAAGTGGTAACTTTGGTTCATCCTGTTTAGTAAGACTCATCAGCCTGCTCTTCCTCTCTTCTGTGCATGGTCTTTCTGTCCATCCAAGAAGCAATTAGGAATGGTAGGGGCTGTGGATACCTTTTCCTGGGTGCCTGCAGGATGGGCCCCCATCCAGTTTCTCTGGTTCCTCTGCTAACCCTCTCTAAAATCTGGCTGTGTCTACTGTGATCATCTCGGTTTCCTGTTCTGCCCCCTCTGGAGTGTAAGTTCCATGAAAGCAGGGACTTATTTTCTGTTGTGCTTGCTTATGTATTCTCCAAGTCTAGAAAAATGCCTCACATCAAAGGTACTTGATAAATTTTGTAGAATAAATGAATAAACATTACCTCCACTTTAAACCACTCATTCTTTTGTGAATTCTTTGTGGTCTGGTTGTGACTACAGTTACATGAACACTTTGCACTGAGAAAATCACCAGTAACACCTTAAACATTTTTTGTTGTTGTTTTGTGTTTTGCATTGTTTTCTCTGCAGCAGTTAATGTTTTTACACTGTATCCCTGGATCTTGTTTTCTGGCCAGTTAATATTACTATTCTGGTTCATTTTTTATCTTAAACTGTTCTTGTATTTCTCCATTCTTGTACTCCACAGATAATTTTCTACCTATAACATAGTACTCTTCTTGGAAGTATCTATTTCTTTCCCTTTCATAGCTAGCTCTTATTATTTATTAATTTGGTTTATTTGAAAAGCATGGAGAAATAGAGAGATCTCCCATCTTGTGGTCTGCTCCCCAAATCCCTACAATAGCCAGGGCTGGTCCAGGCTGAAGCTAGGAGCCGAGAGCTCAGTCTAAGTCTCCATGTGAGCAGCAGGGACCCAACGACTTGAGCCTTCACCTGCTGACTCCCAGGGTAGACATCAGCAGGAAGCTGGAATGGAGAGTGGAACCAGGACTCAAACTCAGGCATTCTGATAAGGGATTTGGGTACCCAAGTCATGTCTTAACTACTGTTCCAAATACCCTCCCCTCAAAGCTCCTTTTCTAATTCTGATTCTGTCTTCTAATATAGACGATCTTGATTTAATTGTTCTTTTTTTTCTTCTTTTCTTAAGACTTATTTATTTGAAAATAGAATTACAGGGAGAGAGGGAAATACAGACAGAGAGAGAAAGATCTTCCATCTGCTGGTTCATTCCCTAGATGGCTGCAACAGCCCAGACTGGCCAGGCCCACGTCAAGAACCAGGAACTCTACTGGTCTCCCATATGAGTGGCAGGGGCCCAGCCACTTAGGCCATCTTCCACTGCTTTTCTGAGGCCCTCAGCAGGGAGCTGAATCAGAAATGGAGCAACTGGGATGCGAGCCAATGCCCATATCAGGATGCCCGCATCGCAGGCAGTATATATACCACATGCTGTTATACCTGTTACACCACATGCTGGCCCATCAGTGTAATTTTTCATATGTTTGTTATTTCACCCACAGTAATTTTTAAATTTTTTTTTTTATTTAAAAGGCAGAGTTACACAGAGAGAGGTCATCTATCTGCTGGTTCACTCCCCAAATGAGCAGAGTGACCAGGGCTGGGCCAGGCTAAAGCTTAGAGCCTGGAACTCCATCCCGGTCTCCTACATGAGTGCAAGGGCCATCTTCAGCTGCTTTCCCAGCCTCATGAGCAGGGAGCTGGATCAGAAGTGGAATAGCCAGTACTTGAACTGGCACCCATATGGGATGCTGACATCATAGGAGTGGCTTAACACACTATGCCTCAACACCAGCCCCAACCACAGTAATATTTAACCACACAGAATATTATTTTCATTATTTTTAAATGAAAATTTTAAAAATTTGTGAAAGGCAAGAGACAGAGAAATATTTGATTAAATATTCCAAATGCCTACAACAAATATTTGGTTAAATATTCTAAATGCCTGCAACAGCCAGGACTGGGCCAGGAACAAAGCCAAAATCCTGGAACGCAATCCAACTCTTCTATCTGAGTGACAAGGAACCTGAGTACTTGAGCCATCACCTGCTGCTTCCCAGGGTGCACATTAGCAGGAAGCAGAAGCAGAAGCAGAATCAGAAGCAGAGGAGTTGGAAGTCAAACCAGTCACTCTGATACAGAATGTGACTTAACCTCTGCACTAAACACCTACCCCTATGTTTTATTTTTAATTGCCACATAATAATTATACAGATTTATGGAGTATACTGTTGCATTTCAGTACATGTATATAACTGTAATGATCAGATCATATCAGAGTAATTTACATAATTATCATCTAGGACATTTATCATTTTCTTTGTGCTGGGAACACTCAAAATCCCCTCTGCTAGCTGTTTGGAAATATACAATTATTTATTGTCAGTCATAGTTACTCTACTTACTATGCCATAAAACATCAGAAGTTATTCCTCCTATGCGGCTGCACCACTGTACTGAGGATTAACCATCCTCTTTCTCTCTCTCCACATCTAGGAAGTCAGCTGAGAATATGTAGTAGTTGTCTTTCTGTATCTGATTTATTTCACTTCATGTCCTCCAGTTCTACACACAAATGACAGAATTTCATTCTTTGTGTGTCTGACTGTTATTCCATTCCATTTTCTTTATCCCATTGATAGACTCCCTAGGTTGATTCCGGATCTTGGCTATTAGGAATATTGCTGCAGTAATCATGGGAGTGCAAATGTCTCTTGACATTCTGATTTCATTTCTTCCAGACACATACCCAGTATTGGGATTGCTGGATTCCATTTGCTCTTTCATTTTTTTCCTCTAATGTGGCCATTTTTCAAAGTTTCCACTCCCTTTTCATTTTTACTATAATTTCCAGTATTTTGGGTTTTTCCCCTTTAATACTGAATTACCTTATTAATTGCACGTCTCATTTCCTGTTGTTTTTTCATGCTTGTCCATTCTCTAAAATATTATCTGATTACATTGTATAGATGCACTTTTTATTATGTCACTTACTTCTGTAGAATCTTTTCATGTTTTTATTTGTTACTTTGAATTTAAGAGTCCCCATTTCCTGCCCTCACACAAGCTGTACACCATTGCCTGAAGAACCTAAGTCATATTACTTAATTAGTTGTGTATTCTCATAGAGATTCTTTGTTTTAACCAGGTTGAACATTTGTGGGCCTTTAATAAAACATTTTCAGGACCTGTTCATGTTTTCACTTCCTCTGCCTTTTAATCTGCCTGTTAATCTCAGAAAGCTCTCTCAGAGCACATTTTGTGGTACAGCAGCTTAAACCACTGCTTAGCATCCCCACATCACCTATTGGAGTGCTGGTTCAAGTACCAGATCCTTCATTTCTGATCTACCTTCCTGCTAACATACCTGAGAAGGCAGTGGGTGATGGCCCAAATATTTGGGTCCCTGCCACCCATATGGGAGAGCTGGATTGAGTTCAGCCTCCTGGCTTCAGCTTGGCCCAACCACAGCTGTATAGGGCATTTGGGAGTGAATCAGCAGATGGAAGATATCTCTGTCTCTCTCTGCCACTCTGCCTTTCAAATAAAAAGTAAATCTTCAGAAGAAAAGAAAAGAAAACGCTCTCACCACTTATCCTTTTCTATAATGGTCCCTTCTCGGGCCGGCGCCGCGGCTCACTAGGCTAATCCTCCGCCTAGCGGCGCCGACACACCAGGTTCTAGTCCCGGTTGGGGCGCCGGATTCTGTCCCGGTTGCCCCTCTTCCAGGCCAGCTCTCTGCTGTGGCCAGGGAGTGCAGAGGAGGATGGCCCAGGTGCTTGGGCCCTGCACCCGCATGGGAGACCAGGAAAAGCACCTGGCTCCTGGCTCCTGCCATCGGATCAGCGCAGTGCGCCGGCCGCAGCGCGCCGGCCGCGGTGGCCATTGGAGGGTGAACCAACGGCAAAGGAAGACCTTTCTCTCTGTCTCTCTCTCTCACTGTCCACTCTGCCTGTCAAAAAAAAAAAAAAAAAAAATCATAATGGTCCCTTCTCCTGTTCATGCCCAGATACTCAAACACACACACCGTAAGTCTGGCTATTGGTAGATACTGGCTGTTTTTAAATAATTGATCTGGTGAATTGGCTTCTTCTTACTTGTCATCAGTATTATTGTCAATGAAATTTTTTTAAATGTTTGCTTTTTTTTTTTTACCTACTTGAAAGGCAGAGCAAGAGATTTTTCCCCAAATGCCTCAGATGCCAGCAACAGCCAGGGCTGGACCAGGCTAAAGCCAGGAGCTGGGAACTCCATCCAAATTTGCCACATGGGTGGCAGGAGTTCAAGCACTTAAGCCATGAATTGCTGCGTCCCAGGATGTTTTAGCAGGAAGCTGAATTGGAAGTGGAGTAGCTGGGACTTGAACTGGAACTCTGGTATAGAATATGGGCATCCCAAGTGGCAGTTTAACTCACTGAGCCGTATCACCAGCCTTATCAATGGAATTTTTAAAAAGTATACATTTGAGCTATGTCATACCCAATGTTTTTTATAGCATTATTAAGTTATAATTGACATAATTGCATAGATTTAATTTGTACAACTTGATAAGTCTTACTGTATGTGAGAATGCTTCCAGAAGTTCATAGAAGGACAGACATGTGGCCTAGCATTTGAGATGCCACTTCCTGCATCAGAGTGCCTGACTCCTGATTCTTGCTTCCTATTACTGCAGACCCCAGGAGTCATGGGCATTTGGGGAGTTCTCGAGCAATGGGAAGTCTCTGTATCTGTTTGTCTGTCTCTCAAGAATAATTTATGGAAAATTAGATTTAAACAGTTTTATTTGCATGTGAAAAAAATTTTGGCCTATGCATAATTTTTAATAATATGTATTTTCCATGAACTTTTTGAAGGCCCTTCATATGTACTTATGAAATGACCAGGAATCCTCCCATTATTTTAAGGAACTTTCATTTTTAAAGACAACTGGATTGGTTTTTTTTGGTTTTTTTTTGTTTGTTTGTTTTGTTTTGTTTTTTGTTTTTTTTTTTAAATAATCAGTTTTTAAACTGGGTAACTTTAATGTAGGATATGTGCTTTCTTCACTTAACCTCATCTGTCCTTATAAGCACTGCTAACTAGTGCAGTGGTTTATAAACCTTTTTTTATACATAAAGATTTATGTATTTGTTTGAAAGGCAGAGTTTACGGAGAGGCAGAGAGAGGGATCAAACTAATTAGAGTAGAATCTTTCCTTCAGAATTTTCTGAAGAGGGGCCAGTATATGTGGCATGCAATAGGTTAAGCCACCACCTACAATGCCAGCATCTAATGAGTGCCGGTTCAAGTCTCAGCTGCTCCACTTCTAATCCAGTTCCTGCTAATGTGCCTGGGAAGACAACAGAAGATGGCCCAAATGCTTGGGTCCCTGCCACCTACACGAGAGACACAGATAGAGTTCCAGGCTCCTAGCTTCAGCCTGGCCCAGCCCCGGCTTTTGTGGCCATTTGGGGAGTTAACCAGCAGACGAAAGATCTTTCTCTAACTCTCCCTCTCTCTCTCTCTGCAACTCTGCTTTTCAAATAAATAATAAATCTTTTTTTAAAAATTCTGTGTAGGAATACAGTACATACAATTGGTATTGGAGCTATTCATGGTAGAAAAAAGGGCCTTATGGGTATATTAATGAGTATACAAGGGATCCTTCCTTTCTCTCATGCCAGAGACTTTATGAGCTATCTCCCCTTGACTCTTGGGTTTCCACAGAATGCTTTTTGAAAATCATTGGGTTAGCTGGGAGACTGCTGATGAGAAGGTAAGTGGAGAAGTCATATTAATGTTTCAGGGAAATATTAATGAATAATAGGAAGAAATCCTCTTGTGTTAAAATTCATGTATGTTCTTTTTAAGAGTCTTGTTTTGCTCTGTTGTTCCCTTTTGCTTACAGGACTATCCCACCTACACTATTCTTGGTCAGAATCAGTACCAGACCTGCTATCCCAGCTCCAGCTTTGGAGTCACAGGCCAGACTAACAGTGATGCCGAGAGTACCACGCTAGCAGCAACCACATACCAGACGGAGAAGCCTAGTGTCATGGTACCCACACCTGCGGCACAGAGACTTTCCTCTGGTAAGAACTGCAGCTCTGAAAACAGGCTTGAGGGACTTCATCCTATAAGTGTTTTCTGAGGAAATCTATGGTCCTTTTCCCCCAAAGAAATGGCTAAAATTTAAGCCTACAGTTTCAGGAGTTTTACAGCTTTTAAATGTATCAGCAAATGCTGATGTCTAGGTGGAAAAGCTCTGACATACAGGCTTTATCCCCACATTCAATAAACATGTACTCATAACTTTGCATTTATCTCTGTATTTAATTCTGGTGATTATCTTCCACATCCTGTACTTTGAGGAAAGCAGTGTTTATCACTGGCATTGATGCATGTTTAAAAATGATGCTTTTTATATATAAACAGTGTGTGATGTATCTTGCCCTTACTAGGCCTAAGTGCAAATGGTTGCTATTTCAGACATACATAACTTTGAAATAATTATGTGTTGGTGCCTTGGCTTTGATTCGTTTCTCTATCTTTATTCTTCATAACAATTTTAACTTTTGAATAATGAAGAATTTCAAACAAAAACAAAAGCTATCAGAATAGTGTAATTAAGCCTTACTTATCCCTCATCCTTCTTTAGTATTACTAACTCATGGGCAACCTCATTTCAGCTAAACTTCATCCAGTTCCTTCCTCAGAGTCTAGGCATTGCCATCTAAAAGATAAGTACACATTAATGTAACCACAGTACCATTATCCCATCTTTTAAATACCTAGCAATAATTTCTCAGTATCATTAAGAACCAAAAGATGTTCATATTTCCAGTTTTCTCATATATGTTTTGTTTTCTACATTTTGTTTAGATTAGGATCCAAAGCATTCCATAATATATACATATTTTGAAATATGCTATAGATTATAAGTATATAAAAATTTTTATTTGTCAATTAAAAATACATAGGGATGGGAATTTAGCCTAGTGGTTAAGATACTGACTAGGACTCCCACCTGCCATGTCAGAGTACTTGGATTCTGATTCCACCTTCCTGCTGAACAGTCTCTGGGAGGCAGTGATGATGGCTCCAGTACTTGGGTTCTTGCCACATTCCTGGGAGACCTGATGTGAGTTCTCAGTTCCCAGAGTAGGCCCAAATAGGACCCTGGCAGGCATTTGGGGAGTGAACAAGCAGATGGGAATGCTTACTTGCTGTCTACCTTTTGCCTCTTAAAGAGAATTTGAAGAGAAAAAATTGGGATCCAGATAAGCTGTATATTATTATGATTGGTAGGGTTACTGAAGAAATAGGATTGCTTATCCCATACTGTGTGCCAGTGTGAATTTGGCTAATTGAATCATTTAGGGTAGTTTAGTTTGTGCTACTGCCCTCTTTATTTTGTCAGAAATTAGTAGATTAATTTAGAGCAGTGGTTTTCAACCTGAGGTCATTTTGCTCTTAGGAAACATTTGACAACGTGGGGTAACAGTTTAGTTGTCACACTGGACAGGGGATGCTACTGGCACCTCGAGGGTAGAGGTCAAGGATGCTGCCTGACTAACCATCCTAGAAGACAAGACATCCTCACACAGCAAAAAAATTATCTGGCCCATAATGTCACTTGTGTCCAGCTGAGAAACCCTGATCTGGAAGCTTGATCAAATTTTGGTTATTTTATGGGTTTTTTTTTTCCCCAATACAACTTCATAGGTGTTTTTTAATCAGAGCAAACTTAAAGTCTGATTTTTAGCTGTTTTTGTAGTATTAGCTGCTGTTGATGCTCATTACCTAGATCTACATTCCCTAATTGCTTATGTAAAGTTTGGTTTTCCAACCTTTATCCCTGCATTATGAATTGTTAAGCGCAGAGAATCTGTTACCCTCTTCCTACTCTGGTTGTTGTGGCCTGTTACTACCAGCAATATATGTCTTGCTTTTGCTTTACAGTAGATCCCTCTACAAGCCCATCTTTGTCCCAGACTACACCAAGTAAAGATGCTGATGATCAGTCCAAGAAAAACATGGCCGGCAAGAACCGTGGCAAGAGGAAAGCTGATGCCAGTTCTTCTCAGGACAGTGAATTGGAAGTATGGGAAGAAACTCATTTGGGTTGCCTGCTTGGTTTTTTCTGACTTCTTAAATCTTTTAAACATACATCTGAAACTCTTGAAAAACAATATCATTCTATGTTGTGTGCCCTTTAATTCCTAAGTTAAGAAGCTGAATTTGCCAAGAGGAAAGAAAATACATAAAAACTTTTTACTCTTTTGATGGTATCCTTTGATACACTAACATTTTTAAATTTGGTGAAAACTGAGTTTTTTCTAACTGCCATGCTTTTGGTGTAACAATTAAAAACTGACAACTATGAAGGTTTTCATCTGCTATCTTCTCAGATTTTCATTATGTAGCCCTTAAATTTAGACCTTTGAATCATTTTAAGATAATTTTGTATTTGATGTTTTTTGTTTTGTTTTGTTTTGTTTTGACAGGCAGAGTGGACAGTGTGAGAGAGAGACAGAGAGAAAGGTCCTCCTTTTCTGTTGGTTCACCCCCCAATGGCCACTGAGGCCAGCATGCTGCAGCCGGCGCATTGCGCTGATCCAAAACCAGGAGCCAGGTGCCTCTCCTGGTCTCCCACACGGGTGCAGGGCCCAAGGACTTGAGCCATCCTCCACTGCACTCCCGGGCCACATATAGATAGCTGGTTTTTCCAGTACCGTTTGTTGGAAAGACTTTCCTTTCCCCATTGGATGGTTCTGGCATTCTTGTCCAAAATCAATTGGCCATGTTTGTGAAGTTGATTTCTGGTTCTGTTCAGTTCTGTTCCATTGATGTATATGTGTTGGTCCTTATGCTAGTACCACACTGTTTTGATTATTGTAGCTTTGTAGTAAGTCTTGAAATTAGGAAGTGTGAATCCACAAGATTATTTTAGCTATTTGGAATCCCTAAAGATTCCATGTGAATTTTAAAATGTTTTTTTTTCTGTTTCTTTAAAAAACAATATTTGGGGGCAGGTGCTTAAGCAACCGCTTACATTGCTGTTTAGGGCACTTGCATCTCATATTAGAGTGCATGATCTGATTCCCAGCTATACCATTTCCAGTATAGCTTTATGCTAATGCATATCTTGGAAGGTAGAAAATGATGTCTCAGTTGATTTCCTGCTACCTACATGGGACACCCAGATTGAGTTCCAGTCTCCTAGCTTCAGCCAACCCAGCCTTGACTGTTGTAGACATTTGAGAAGTGAACCAGCAGGCAGAAGATATCACTGTCTCTCTCTGTGTCTCTCTGCCTTTCACATAAAATGAAAATCAACTGGACCAGTGCTGTGGCACAACAGATTAAGCTTCTGTATGCAATGCCAGCATCCCATATTGGTTACCAGTTCAAGTCCTGGCTGCTGCACTTCCAATCCAGCTCCCTGCTAATGTGCCTGGGAAAGCAGTGGAGGATGGCCCAAGTACTTAGGACTCTGCACCCACGAGGGGGACTGGAAGGAAGCTCTTGGCTCCTGACCTGTCCTAGCCCTGGCCGTAGTGGCTGTTTGGGGAGTGAACCAGCAGATAAGAAACGTGCGTGTGTGTCTGTCTGTCTGTCTGTCTGTCTCTTCCTCTCTCTCTCTGTAACTCTGCCTTACAAATAAAATAAATCTTGGGACTGGTGCAGTGGCATAGCCAGTAAAGGTGCCGCCTGCAGTGCTGGCATCCTATATGAGTGCCATTTCGAGTCCTGGCTGTTCCACTTCTGATCCAGCTCTCTGCTATGGCCTGGGAAAGCAGTAGAAGATGGACCAAATCCTTGGGCCCCTGCACCCACGTGGCAGATCCTGAAGAAGCTCTTGGCTTTGGATCGGCCCAGCTCTGGCAGTTGTGGCCATTTGGGGAGTGAACCAGTGACTCTCTATAGCACTGCCTTTCAAATAAATAAATAAATAAATAAGTCTTTAAAAATAAATACATAGATAAGGCCGGCGCCGCGGCTCACTAGGCCAATCCTCCACCTTGCAGCGCCGGCACACCGGGTTCTAGTCCTGGTCGGGGCGCCGGATTCTGCCCCGGTTGCCCCTCTTCCAGGCTAGCTCTCTGCTGTGGCCAGGGAGTGCAGTGGAGGATGGCCCACGTGCTTGGGCCCTGCACCCCTTGGGAGACCAGGATAAGTACCTGGCTCCTGCCATCGGATCAGCGCGGTGCGCCGGCTACAGTGCGCCGGCCACAGCGGCCATTGGAAGGTGAACCAACGGCAAAGGAAGACCTTTCTCTCGGTCTCTCTCTCTCTCACTGTCCACTCTGCCTGTCAAAAAAAGAAAAAAAAAATAGATAGATAGATAAATAGTCTATTAAAAAAACACGGTTGGGATTTTGATAAGAATTACATTGAATCTGTAGATTGATTTAGTAGTATTGTCATCTTGTAATATTGAGTCTTCCTGTCCACCAACATGTGTTTCCATTTATTTAGGCACATCTTCTTTAATTTTCTCACAGTATTTTATAGTTTTCAGTATGCAGATCTTATGCCTCCTTAGTTAAATGTATTCCTAAATATTTTACTCTTTTTGATACTATTATAAATGGAATTATTTTTTAAACTTCTTTTTCTGTTATTCATTGCAAGGGTATAGAAATATAGCTGATTTCTGAATTCATTTATTAACTCTTTAACAATTTTTTTTGGAAGTTCTTTGGGATTTTCTGCATATAAAATCATGTTGTCTACCAACAGTTAATTTTACTTCTTTCGTTCCTATTTGGAAGCTTTTTTCCCCTTTCTTGCCAAATTGCTCTAAGACTGCCCAGTACTGTGTTGTCTTACTCCTAATCTCAGGAGTGAAGCTTTCAATAGATTAGCTTGTATTTTTCCTACATGGCCTGTATCATACTGAGGACACTCTCTTCTGTTCCTAGTATGTTGAGCATTTTTATCTTGAAAGCTTGTTAAATTTTGCCAAATGCATTTTTTACATCAGTTGAGATAATCATTTACCCCCCTCTGTTAATGTGATACGTTCTATTTAATTTTTGTATGTTGAATGAACCACTTTTATATTCTGGGAACTAATCTCACTTGGTAATCATGTATAATTATTTTTAATATACTACTGAATTTGGTTTATTACTATTGAGAATTTTTGCATCAAATTTTATAAGAGAGTTTTCTGTTTTGTTTTTAATATTTATTTATTTATTTGAAAGACAGAGTTACAGAAAGAGATCAATTTTTGATCCACTGGTTTACTTCCCAAATGGCCTCAACAACTGGAGTTGGGCCAAGCTGAAGCCAGGAGCCAGGAGCTTTCTCTTGGTCTCCCATATGGGAGTTGAGGGCCCAAGAACTTGGTCTGTCTTGCACTACTTCCCAAGTGCATTAGCAAAGAGCTGGATCAGAAGTGGAGTAGTGGGACCTGGCGCTATAGCATAGTAGTCAAAGTAGGTTCGTGTTCTGGCTGTGCCTCCTCCTCCTCTTCTTCTTCTTCTTCTTCTTTTTTTTTTTTTTTTTTTTTTTTTTTGACAGGCAGAGTGGACAGTAAGAGAGAGAGAGACAGAGAGAAAGGTCTTCCTTTGCCGTTGGTTCACCCTCCAATGGCCGCCACGGCCGGCGCGCTGCAGCTGGTGCACCGCGCTGATCCGATGGCAGGAGCCAGGTGCTTCTTCTGGTCTCCCATGGGGTGCAGGGCCCAAGGACTTGGGCCATCCTCCACTGCACTCCCTGGCCACAGCAGAGAGCTAGCCTGGAAGAGGGACAACCGGGACAGAATCTGGCGCCCCAACCGGGACTAGAACCCAGTGTGCCGGCGCTGCAAGGTGGAGGATTAGCCTAGTGAGCCACGGCGCTGGCCTTGGCTGTGCCTCTTCTAATCCAGCTCTCTGCTTGTAGCCTGGGAAAGCAGTAGAAGATGATCCAAGTGCTTGGGCCCTTGCACCCACATGGGAGACCCTGAAGAAGCTCCATGGCTTTGAATAGCCCAGCTTCAGCTGTTGTGGCCATTTGGGAGTGAACCAGTGGATGGAAGACCTTTCTCTCTCTCTCTCTCCCTCTCTCTGCCTGTAACTCTACCTCTCAAAATAAATAAATAAAATCTTTATTAAAAAAAAAAAAGAAGAAGAAGTGGAGTAGTTGGGACTCGAACCAGTGTCTATGTGGGATTCCAGTGTTGGAGGCCTCAACTTAGCCTACTGTGCCACAACATTGGCCCAAAGTTTTCTGTTGTTAGTGTTTTCATGAACTGGTATCAAGGTAATATAGACCTCATTAAAGAAGTTTAAAAAATGTTCCCTCTTAGATTTTTTTTTTTTGGAAAAAAAAGTAAGAGAGATTAGTGTCAAATCTTTAAATGTTGGGCTTTTCCAGCAGAGCCATCTGTTCCTGGGTTTTTCTTTGTTGGGATATTTTTAGTTACTGATTTAATCTCCTTACTTATTATCAGTCTTACCAGATTTTCTATGCTTTGAGTCTTTTTGGTACTATATTCTATGTATTTTTAGGAATTTGCCCATTTCATCTGAGTTATCCAATTTTTTGGCGTAACATTCTTCCTAGTATTCTTTTTTTTTTTTTTTGACAGTCAGAGTGGACAGTGAGAGAGAGAAAGGTCTTCCTTTTTCCATTGGTTCACCCCCCAATGGCCGCTGCAGCCGGCGCACCGTGCTGATCTGAAGCCAGGAGCCAGGTGCTTCTCCTGCTCTCCCATGCAGGTGCAGGGCCCAAGCACTTGGGCCATCCTCCACTGCACTCCTGGGCCACAACAGAGAGCTGGACTGGAAGAGGGGCAACCAGGACAGAATCCGGCACCCCGACTGGGACTAGAATCCAGTGTGCCGGCACTGCAGGCGGAGGATTAGCCTATTGAGCCGCGGCGCTGGCCCCTAGTATTCTCTTAATCCTTTCATTGCTGTAAAATCAGAAGTGATATCCCAGCTTTCATTTCTACTTAAGTAATTTCAGTCTACACTTTTATTTTCTTTGTCATTCTAACAAAAGGTTGTCAGTTTTACAGATGTTTTCAAAGACCCAACTGATTTTGTTGATTTTTCTCTATTGTTTCATTGATGTTTCTCTATTGTTTTTCTATTGGCTATTTACCTTTGCTCTAACCTTTATTATTTCCTTCCTTTTGTTGCCTTTCAGTTTTTCTCTTTTTCCTAGTTCTTTACTGTGTGCAATTAGGTTATAGAATTGATATCTTACTTATTTTAATGTGTGCGTTGACTATTACATTTCCCTCTTACCACTGCTTTCACTGTATCCCATAAGTTTTGGCATGTTGCATTTGTTTTCATTTATCTCAGGTATCTTCTAATTTCATTAGTGATTTCCTCTTAATGCATTCATTCTTTGTTTAAGAATATGTTAATTTCTGTACTATTTGTGAATTTTCCAGTTTTCTTCCTGTTACTGATTTCTTGTTTCATTTCATTGTGATTGGAAAAGATACTCATTTTTTATATTTTCTTCCCTTAGCGGGTATTTCTTTGGGACTTGGATGAGACCATCATCATCTTCCACTCCCTTCTTACTGGATCCTATGCCCAGAAGTATGGAAAGGTAATTTGAATCTTCCTTTGTTCCTGTTCCTCTTCTGTCTGTCTGGGCAGGTAACGAAAATCATTTCCTCTGCCACTTCCATTTTACCCTGTTGGCTTTCAGTTTTCCATGTAAAATATCACCAGATGCCTCACACAGGCAGGCTTCATAATCAGGCAGAGTTGATGGTAAAGCTAGAGACTAGACATAGGACCATTGCAGAAAGCTGAATGTTTTCCAGAGTTGACATCTTATAAAAATTGAAGTGAGGCCGGCGCCGCGGCTCACTAGGCTAATCCTCCGCCTTGCGGCGCCGGCACACCGATTCTAGTCCCTGTCGGGGCGCCAGATTCTGTCCCGGTTGCCCCTCTTCCAGGCCAGCTCTCTGCTGTGGCCCGGGAAGGCAGTGGAGGATGGCCCAAGTGCTTGGGAGACCAGGATAAGTACCTGGTTCCTGCCATCGGATCAGCACGGTGCGCCGGCCGCGGCGGCCATTGGAGGGTGAACCAATGGAAAAAGGAAGACCTTTCTCTGTCTCTCACTCTCACTGTCCGCTCTGCCTGTCAAAAAAAAAAAAAAGAAGTGAAGGAATAAGCCTCAAGACAGAGCAGAGTCTTGGGATTATTCCAACAACCAATCTGATAGTTGCGTTTTTAGAGAGCCCAAATTGAGCATTTCATTTAGCCAAGTATATGCCAGATATATGAGAATACTTCAGAAAGTTGATGGTTATTAAAAAATGTAAAATAAGGGCATAGAGCCTCTAAATGAACTGGTTTATTGTAAAGCAACTCCCATTGGTTTTTCTGCAAATGTTTTGACTCTGGCCTTTCTTTACTTTCTTTCTGGTTTTTGAGACTGTCAGCTAACTAACTGACCTCTGGTATTATAGTGTGTGTTTAGGGGTGTACATGCAAGGAAGATGATGGTTTTACAATAATAGTATTCAACAATGTAAAATTTCATCTGGAACAGGAAATTTCTCAAAAACATTAAGTGGATCTTTTTTTTTAAAATGGAGAACACTGCAAGCGAATGATAAAAACAATTATTTACTGTAAAGTAGTGAGTTGTTTTTTAAAAACATTCTCTGGGGCCTGAACTGTGGCACAGCGGGTTAATAAGTCAGTCACAGCCTATAGGGTAGTCATCCCATGTGGGCGCTGGTTCAAGTCCTGGCTGTTTCACTTCCGATCCAGCTCCCTGCTAATGTGCCTGAGAAAGCAGTAGAGGATGGCTGAAGTTCTCTGGCCCCTGTACCCATGTGGGAGACCTGGAAAAAGCTCCAGGCTCCTGGCTTGCTTGACATAACCCTGGTCATTGTGATCATTTAGAGAGTAAACCAGGATAGAAGATCTCTCTGTTTCTCCTTCTTTCTCTCTGTAACTCCACCTTTCAAATAAATAAATAAAAATAGTTCTATGAAACTACTGATTTCTAGAAACTTGTCCTAAAGTTTTTCACTGTCTGCAGACTGTTCCACAATCCCACATTCTTCTGTGAATGAATTTGAAGAAGCACTGCTGTGTGGGTTTGTGTTGTTTTGGGCTTAATCCAAAATAATTTTGAAATATTTGAAGATTAGAATTAGTACTGTGGGGCCGGCACTGTGGCATAGCAGGTAAAGCTGCTGCCTGCAGTGCTGGCATCCCGTGTGGGCGCCAGTTCGAGTCTCAGCTGCTCCACTTCATATCTGGCTCTCTGCTATGGCCTGGGAAAGCAGTAGAGGATGGCCCAAGTCCTTGGCCCCCTGCACCCACATGGGAAGACTCAGGGGAAGCTCCTTACTCCTGGCTTCAGATCAGCGCTGCTTTGGATCAACGCGGCTCCTGCTGCTGAGACCAATTGTGGAGTGAACCAGTGGATGGAAGACCTCTCTCGCTCTCTCTCTGCCTCCCCTTCTCTCCCTGTGTAACTGACTTTCAAATAAATAAATAAATCTTTAAAGAAAAAAAAAGGGAATCATTAAGTATCAAGTCAAGCAATTTTTTTTCTTATTGTCTTCCAGGACCCTACAGTTGTGATTGGCTCAGGTTTAACAATGGAAGAAATGATTTTTGAAGTGGCTGATACACATCTATTTTTCAATGACTTAGAGGTAAGCATTTTAAATTGTTTCGGTGCTTCAATGAAATGCTTTGTTCAAGAATTATTTTGAATCTATGCTTAATGTATTTTTTAGACCCTATTGTTAGGGTAGGTGTGGAGAGGCCAGCTGACTACCAAGGCATAAATAGTCTTTGAGGAGCAGAGTCATGGTCGGATCACCTCTGGTGTGGCTCCTGGTACTCAGAGGTTGTTGCTGGGTTTTTTGTTTTTGTTTCTTTGTATTGTCTTGTTTTTTAAATTTTTATTTATCTCAAAGGTAGAGAGATAGAGAGACCTTCCATCTGGTGGTTTAACCCCCAAATTCCTGCAACCAGGGCTGGACCAAGATGAAGCCAGGAGCCCCAAACCTAATCCAAGTCTCCCACATGGGTGGCAGGGACCCAGAGCCAACATCACCTGCTACCTCTCAGGTGCTCATTAGCCAGAAGGTTGATTCAAAAGTGGAGCTAGAACTCAAACCCAGGCACTGTGGTAGAGGATGCAGGTACCCCAAATTTAACTGTGGTATCAGATGCTTACCCTGGGCCCTCAGTTGTGTTGTCTAAAAAATGTGATTTTGGTTAGCTTATTTGGAAGTGATCTAGCACAGGGGAAAATGTCAACCCATCAGGCAAAACACTGATATATAAAACATTGTTCCAATTTCATAATCCATATTAAATAATACATATTTATATATAAAATTAGTTTGATGATTCTTGACTGTTCTTCAGTTTTCTCCTCCTAAAAGATGGTCTCTTGATTTGTCCAATTTATAAAAGGCTGCTCTGACCTATTATAATTTAGCATATTTGTTGTTTGTGTATGGGTTAACCTTGAAATATAGAATCATTTTATTGTTAGATGCCAGGAAATACTAAGAGATTCATCGAGAAATTTTTTGACTTTGACGTTTGAGTTTGCCTTTGAGGTGAACAGACTGGGAGTCAGACCAGGGTGCAGGTCTCTGGGGAAGTTATGTTCCCATTCTTGGCTTCAGTTAAGCAGTTATTCTACACAAAAAACTACTGAAAGCTTTCGTATCTAGTTCTACCCAATAGACAATTCTCCAACAGATTAAATTAACCGATGGTAGGGTAGGAGAGGTGTGTTAGGCAAGCGTTCGGCATTAGCAGCTAAAATGCTACTTGGAATACCAGTGTCCCATATCAGAATTTCTGTCTCTAGTCTCATTTCCAGTTTCCTGCTAAGGTGTACTTCGTGAAGCATTGATGATGCCTTAAGTAGTTGGGTTCTTGCCACCCACAAGGAGACCTGGATGGAATTTTGACTCCTGGCTTTGGCCTGGCCCATTCTTGGCTACTGTGGGCATTTGGCAAGTGAACCAGCAGATTGGAGATCTCTCTATCTAGTACTGTCTCTATCTTAAATAAATAAGCTTTTTAAAAAGAAATTAATATATTCATAGGGCTTTAAACTCTAAACTCTATAATGTTTTAAACTTCCTTCAACTTCATATGTTGATAAATTAGGGTGTCAGAGTTTTTATTCAGCAAACATTTGTTGAAAATATATATGCTAATAATTATCACCAAATTGTATTTATAATGATTTTCTAGACATAGTCCTTCCCCAGGACTGAAAATTATTTGAAAAATTTGACCTTATTGAGTTCCTGTCACCAGATCAATGGTTCTCAACTTTAGTGGCCATAAGAATCACCTGGGGAGCTTCTTACAAATGGAGATTCTAGGATTTCACTTGCAGAAATAAAGATTAAAGTAGGTCTGGAATGGACCCAAGAATGCATTTTTTGAAAACCTCCCCAGATGGGCCGGCGCCATGGCACAGTAGGTTAAGCCTCCGCCTGTGGCACTGGCATCCCATATGGGCACCGGTTCTAGTCCCAGCGGCTCCTCTTCCAATCCAGCTCTGTGCTGTGGCCTGGGAAAGCAGTGGAAGATGGCCCAAGTCCTTGGGCCCCTCCACACATGTGGCAGAAACCGGGAAAGCTCCTGGCTGTTGGCCTTGGATTGGCGCAGCTCCAGCCATTGCAGCCAATTGAGGTGTGAACCAGTGGATGGAGGACTAATCTCTCTCTGCCTCTCCTTTTCTCTATGTGTAACTCTGACTTTCAAATAAGATAAATAAATCTTTAAAAAAAAAAAATCATAGACAACTTATAATGGCAGGATGACATGTGGAGAATCACTCTTACTCCCTTTACTATTCCATTTTTTTCAAAAAAGATTCATTTATGGAGCTGGTTGTTGTGGTGCAGTAGGTTAAGCTGCCACCTGCAATGCTGATAACCCATAAAAGCACCAGTTCCAGGCCCAGCTAATGTGGGTCCTGTCAGAGTTAGGCAGTGAGCTGCATTTTATGTCAATAGTAGCCTGGGCTTCAATGGAAAGAATCTTTGTGGGAAGAAGCCCAAGACCCAAGATGCTTTCTAATCTCTATCACTCAATGGTTATATAACCTTGAGGAAATCATGTCACCTCACGTTTAGAACATGAGGAGTTTGCTTAGATGACCTTTTCTAACTACCAACTGTGAATCTATATATTTGCTTCTTTTATTCTCGATTTTTTGTTTTAAGATTGATTGACTGATTTATTTATTTGAAAGGCAGAGTTAGAGAGAGAGGGAGAAGACAGAGAGAGAGGTCTTCCATCCACTGATTCACTACTCAAATGGCTGCAGCAGCTGGGAATGGGCCAGGCCAAAGCCAGAGCCAAGAACTCTTAACTGGGTCTCCCCAAGAACAGCAGGGGCCCCAGCACTTGGGCCATCCTCCACTGCTTTCCCAGGTGCATTAGCCGGACCTGGAACTGGTGCTTTTATGGGTTATCAGCATTGCAGGTGGCAGCTTACCTACTGCACCACAACAATCAGCTCCATAAATAAATCTTTTTTGAAAAAAAATGGAATAGTAAAGGGATGAGAGTGATCCTCCACATGTCATCCTGCCATTATAAGTTGTCTTTTTTTTTTTTTTTTTAAGATTTATTTATCTTATTTGAAAGTCAGAGTTACACATAGAGAGAAGGAGAGGCAGAGAGAGAGAAAGTCCTCCATTCACTGTTTCACTCCCCAGTTGGCCGCAATGGCCGGAGCTGCGCCGATCCAAAGCCAGGAGCCAGGAGCTTCCCCTGGGTTTGCCACGTGTGTGGAGGGGCCCAAGGACTTGGGCCATCTTCCACTGCTTTCCCAGGCCATAGCAGAGAGCTGGATCGTCGGGTCTTGAACCGGCACCAATATGGGATGCTAGCACTGCAGGCAGCAGCCTAACCCACTATACCACAGTGCTAGCCCCTATATGTGGTCTTATGTTATGTCATGATGGCGATAACACTTCTGCTCCCTGGATTGAAATAGTATGCTTTGTCTTTTAACAGGAATGTGACCAGGTGCATGTGGAAGATGTGGCTTCTGATGACAATGGCCAGGACTTGAGGTGATAAACACAGTGACGTCTTGAACATGAGTGGGCGTGTTATGTGAGAGATACAGATTAAGTTCAGATGGAAACAAAGATGATTAGGATATAACTCTGAAAGAGCTCACAATCTAGCAAAGGAGACAGAAGCAAGCGTAGTTAACCATACATACAATGTGAGGAGGTGACAATAAAAAACATGGTGGACACACAGAAGAAAATTGTGATATAAGTGGGAAGCAGTTTGTGCCAGCACTGGTCAGGCCTTCTTGGTGCAATAGTATTTGAGTAGGAAAGAGAAAGTCACAGTCATCTTAAAAGCATTCCAAGGCAAACAATGTATTAGTTTTGCTTTGGCCACATTTTCAGTGAGGAGAAAACATGCTTCCATGCTGTGAGTAGTTTATATGCAAATAATTATCAGGAATTTCACCATGAAAACTAACTGTGGATGTCTGATGGTATTGAGAATAACCTTCTGGAAGATAGTCTTTTTCTTTCTTTCTTTTTTTAAAGGTTTATTTATTTATTTGAAAGGCAGAGTTAACAGAGAGGCAGAAGCAGAGAGAGAAAGGTCTTCCATTCACTGATTCACTCCCCAGATGACCACAGTGGCTGGAGCTGAGCCAATCTAAAGCCAGGAACCAAGAGCTTCTTCCAGGTTTCCCACATACGTGTGGAGGCCCAAAGACTTGGGCCATCTTCCACTGCTTCCCCAGGTGCATTAGCAGAGAGCTGGATCTGAAGTGGAGCAGCTGGGACTCAAACCAGTGCCCATATGGGATGCCAGTGCTGCAGGCCAGGGTTTTAACCCTCTGCACAGCGCCAGCCCCTGGAAGATCGTTTTAAGCATTATATTATAATGTAAGCTAAACCAAGAGATCTCAGTGGCAAGATGCATACTCAGTATCTTCATTCTTCTCTTTGCTCCTGTCTAATGCTCTTAGCTAAGAAAGATCTGAAAATTTATCTAGCTTATACTTAAGATTTTTAAGGAAAAAAAGACTGTCATATTTTTCATGTTAATTTGTTTTAATGTTTATCCCTTTGCATGGATAGGTGTTCTTCCCTGTGACTGTACTAAAAGTCTTTTTTTTTTTTTTAAGAATTATTTTATTTATTTGAAAGAGTTACAGAGAGAGGTAGAGCCAGAGAGAGAGAGGTCTTCCATTCCACTGGCTCACTCCCCAAATTATTGCAGTGGGCAGAGCTGAGCTGATGTGAAGCCAGGAGCCGGGAGCTTCTTCCAGATCTCCCATGCGGATGCAGGGCTTGGACCATCTTCCACTTTCTCAGGCCATAGCAGAGAGCTGGATTGGAAGAGAAGCAGCAGGGACTTGAACTGGCGCCCATATGGGATGCCGATGCTGCAGACCGGGCCCCTCACAGCATCACAGCACCGCCCCCATACTAAAATTCTTGAATATAGAGTTAGGACATAACCACCTAATGCTGAGAGGACTGAAAAGTGCCTCCTTCTGGAGCAGCATCCAGTTGTGTGTGTCAGGCATCGCACTGTCCTGGAGAGCACTGTTGATATAAGATTTCACTGTGTGTTTTAGGAAAAAGCCCTGTATGAAACGGTTTATGGTCTACTCTGAACCCCAGTTGGTTTGTTTTTCTCTTACATGTGTGGTTATCCAATAATTATTCATCTTATCTTTTGGATCATTTACTTTCTTAAATACAGAATCTTAGACTTAATGTGTTGAACTATGTTTTAACTTTTGATTGATCCAAGTTGTCTCTTATTTTGTCATTTAAAAATCTTTACTTCTGAAGTATTTATTCTCCCCAGTGTTGGTGACTGTGTTATCTACTGTGAAATAACAAGTCTGCCGTATAACAAATAGACAAGTAAGCATTTCCCACTTCACAGTCTCTAGGTCAGGAGCTTGAAAGCAACCTGGCGAGGTAGTTCTTCATCAGTCTGTGAGGGTGAAATCAGGATGGTGACTGGAGCTACGCTGATCCAAAGGCTTGACTGGAGCTGGAAGACCTCCTTCTGGTCTCTCGCAGGTGGCTGATGACAGGAGGCCGAGTTGCTCACTCCATGGGCCTCCTCACGGAGGGGCGTGACATTGGGCAGTTGACTTCTTCAGAGCAGGTGCTCACGAGAGAACCAGAGGAGCTTAGTCTGTGAAGTATAACATCATCACGTTTACCACACTCACTTTATATTCTGAGTCCAACCCTTAACCAAGAAGCAGAAGTAGAAGAGAGTATAGAGACCAGCATTGTGTTACAGCAGGTTAAACCACAGGTTACAACACCTACATCCTACATTGGAATGCCAGTTTGAGTCCCGACTACGATGCTTCTGATCCATCTTCTGTTAATGCAGCCCGGGAATAGCAGGGGATGACGTAAGTGCTTGGGCCCCTGCCATCCATGCAAGAGACCTGGATGGAGTCTGGCTTGACTGTTTCTGGCATTTGGGGAGTAAACCAGCAGGTGGAAGATACCTCTCTTTCTCCCTCTCCCCTTTCCTCTATCCCTTTCTGCCTCATTCTCTGCCTTTCAGGTAGATGAAAATAAGCAAATAAACATCTAAAAATGTATGTTAAAAAAAAAAGTAGTATCCAAAGGATTTGTGTTCATATTTTACTGCAGTAACCTGTGAACTTAGCAGGTTGCTAAAGAAAAACCAGATGCCATTATCTTTCCATTATTAGCATTTGGGGTTATTTCCTTCCTTTTTTAAGTATTTTTCATTTTTACATAGTTGCAGTCATTTTGTGCATGTGTGAGTGGGTACACACAGATTTTTATGTTCTACTTTTTTCACCGTATGATATTCTATCATTCACAAAAAAAGGTGCATTATCTCAAGCCAGTCTGTAGGGGTGCTGGTGCTTGAATTGTGCATAACTCTCCTTTCCTCCTTCTCAGCCCTTAGATAGAGGGCTAGTGAAAGGTAGACTCCGACAAACAAAGACGAAAGAAGATTCTTTTACTTTTTAAGGTTTATTTATTTATTTGAAAGGCAGAATTACAGAGAGAGAGGGAGAGATAGAGATGTTCTAATTGCTGGTTCACTCCCCAAATGACCACAACAGCCAGGGCTGGGCCAGGCCAAAGCCAGGAGCCAGGAGTTTCTTCCAGGTCTCCCATGTGGGTGCAAGGGCCCAAGCAGTTGGACCATTTTCTGTTACCTTCCCAGGAGCATTGCAAGGAACTAGCTTAGAAGTGGAGCCACTGGGGCTCAAATGGCACCCAAATGGGTTGTTGGCACCACAGGCACCACAGGCACCATTGCCACAGTGCTGGCCCCAGGGAGAAGATTCTTAAAGCTTTGTTTATCAAATGTCGGGAATAAGTCAGATACCGGAACACAGGACAGAGAATCCCAGATGGCAATCAGTCAAAAACTCCATGCTGTATAGATTTTGATTTTTGTAATGCTCTCTCTTTGCAGCAACTACAGTTTCTCAACAGATGGCTTCAGTGGCTCAGGAGGCAGTGGCAGCCATGGTTCCTCTGTAGGTGTCCAGGGAGGTGTGGACTGGATGAGGAAACTGGCTTTCCGCTACCGAAAAGTGAGAGAAATCTATGATAAGCATAAAAGCAACGTGGGTGGTAAGTGTAGCATCCAGCCAGTCTTGTCAATGCTCTGTATCTTTCTGATCTCCTGCTTTCCTTTCCAGAAATTCCTTAGTCCCCTCTGGCAACTGCTTGTGTTTAAGAATTGGCTCAGCAGCATGTTAATGCAGTGGAGGTTTACTTGAAACCCTTTGGAGAGTAAGCTCTCAGTGTGACTTTGGAAAGCTCTCTTTAGACAAGAGCCGCCTTTTTATTTTTTTTAAGAGTATTTATTTATTTAAGAGACAAAATTACAGACAGAGAAAGGAAGAGACAGAGAGAGAGGTCTTTCATCTGCTGTTCACTCCACAAATGGCAGCAAAGGCCAGAGCTGGGCTAATCTGAAACCAGGAGCCAGGAACAACTTCTGGGTGTCCCACAAGGGTGCAGGGGCCCAGGGACTTGGGCCATCTTCTGCTGCTTTCCCAGGCCATAACAGAGAGCAGATCAGAAGAAGAGCAGCCAGGACTTGAACCAGCACCCACATGGGATGCCAGCACCACAGGCAAAGGCTTAACCTACTATGCCATGGCACTGGCCCCAACAAGTGCCTTTTTTATAGGAAGTGTGATCCATGGATGTTGTATAAGGATGTGTGTTTCATTCTTGAGTTAATAGTTAATAAGGTATCATAGGTTTTTGGCTGATTCATATAACCATCAAGACAAAAGACAGGTAGAACTAGGTGTTAAGCTTGTCATGAGTGGAAAACTAGGCCAAGGTTGTAGGCTGGCAGTATCCATGTGTTGTAATTTGAAGGACCTTGGAAATTCGTTTTATCCAGAAATACTACAAATGTCAGATGCCACAAAACCTAAAATTTTATTACTTGGAATTAATCATAAATTGATCAGATTAGAAGATCCAGTCTAAATCCCTCATTTTGCAGTTGAGAAAATTGATGTCCCTCATAGAGGCAGCAGGGGCAGCTTGCCCACAATTGTGTTGCAAGTTAGTGACCCTGACATGGTTGGAATTATATCCACTAACTTTGGGTCCAGTGCATTTTGCATTCTACAGTTTCCTTTTTAGTGAGTTGCCCCTGAGAGAGAATATTTAAAATGGAGCCATCACCCTCGGAGATGCACAAAATGTCGCCTAAACGTTTCAGGGACTGCAGAGCTTGCTAAAGCATATTGCTGCAGGTGCAGAGCCTTGGACTGTACTTGCTGCCTTCTAGTGTGGTGCAGAAGTAGAAACAGGGCTTTGAAGAACAATTTGGTTCATTCCTGTTACACTCCTCTAATACCAGATAAAAATACAGACTTGGGGGATCTAATTTACTTTTTTTTCATGTTCTTTTTATTGCTTGTTTCTTACAGTTTAGAACTATTATTTTATTTTGGCAACTCTAAGCCTTTTTAACTTTTCCTCTCATCGACACCAGGCTTTCTATTATTGTTTTTATTTATGACCTCAATCCTGATCCTTTCCTTGCCTTGTGCCATTACATGGTTTCCTGAAGAAATAGGAACAGGTGAACAGTAATGTCTACTTACATGTTTTGCACACTGTGAATTAACAAAAGTGTCACATTCTGTGTTAGTTCTTGTACTGTAAAGCCATCAGTATGACAGCAAATTCTGCTTCTTCCTCACAGATACCCTTTCTGCTTTTCTGGAGGGTTACTAATAGAATACAGGATTTTTTTTTCCTTACCTTCACTACAAAAAACTTCAGAGCCAGATTCATTATTTGAATATTATAACTCAGGTTATCATATGAGTTGCTTTCTTTATTTTGTGCTTAGTTGTATTGTCTTAGGCAGGGTTTTAATCTGTTACCACCTGGAGTTGTTTCATAGTAAGTACAGAACAATTGTTGGTCATTCATCCTGGAGTCTCAGGTTTAGCATTCCCGGGCAGGTGGAGGTGCAGCCATCACAGGAGGTATGCGTGGCAGTAGAAAGGCCTTTGTCACTATGAGGAGGCCCCTTCTCTCCTCCTGCTTTGATTTCTTTAGAAAGAAATTAGAAATGCAGAGGACTCTTGAGCTCTAAGACTTTGCCATTCAATTCTTTTTTTTTTTTTTTTTTTTAAGATTGATTTATTTATTTGAAAGGCAGAGTTACAGAGAGGCAGAGGCAGAGAGAGAGGTCTTCCATCTGCTGATTCACTCTCCAGATGCTGATCCAAAGCCAGGAGCCAGGAACTTCCAGGTCTCCCATGCGGGTGTAGGGGCCCAAGGACTTGGGCCATCTTCCTCTGCTTTCCCAGGCCACAGCAGAGAGCTGGATTGGAAGTGGAGCAGCCAGGACTCGAACCGGCAGCACTGCAGGTGGTGGCTTTACCCACTACACCACAGTGCTGGCCCTACCATTTAGTTCTTAATGTCGTGTTCTAAGGCAGTGCTGCTCAGAGCATGGTCCAGCAGTCTCCTGATTGTGTTACTGATTGGTGATGAAAAAGGGAGCCTGCACCAGAATCTTATATTTCCTTTGGCTGGTTTTGTTGTTGTACCCAATAGGAAAGCATTCAAATGAAGAAAGTCAAATGGCATTTTGAGTAGCACTAGTCCATGGTGTCTCCAAGAAGAGATACTTATCAGTTTGGTAGAATACTTCAGACTCACACTATTTCTAAATTGAATTTAGAAATTGTTTTCTCAGTGTCAGCAAGTACATGTTGTCAAATAATAAATGCATCTGCCTTTATTTCTAAAGGGCTCCTCAGTCCCCAGAGAAAGGAAGCACTGCAGAGATTAAGAGCAGAAATTGAAGTTTTAACAGATTCCTGGTTAGGAACTGCGTTAAAGTCCTTACTTCTCATCCAGTCAAGGTATGGAAATGATTTTTTGTTTGTTTATTTGAAAAACAGACACATACATATATAGAGCGATATCCCATCCTGGGTTCATTGCCCAAATGTCTGCAACAGCTGAGCTAAAACCAGGAGCCCGAAACTCAGTCCAGGTCTCCCACATGGGTACCAGGGACCCAACTACTTGATCATCACCTGCTGCTTCCCAGCATTTAACAAGAAACTAGAAGGGAGAATGGAGCCGGAACTTGAACTCTGGCACTTACATCCCGAGCAGCATCTTCACACCACACCACACACATCTCAGTAACGATTCTCATAGGTCTCATCCTCTGAGACTCTTTCCTATCCCAGTCCAGAATAGACCATTCCCTAAAACAGAGTTTGGGATAGGGGTAAGAAGTGGTTAAATCGTGCAGGGAAGTATTTAGGTTGGGAGAGAGACAACGATAGTTTATATTAAGCACACTTTAAAGTTGTAAGAGAATATTTATGTAGGAAACCCTTTTTTCTTTGTCCTTCCTTTTTACCCACTAAATTAAAGCTGAGTAATCATCCTCTACAACCTGGGGGATGAGTCTAGTGACATCAGAGGCACACGTAGGGGACATATCACAAATATCCTAAGTAGAGGAAGTGCCAGGCAGTATTCTCGGACCTGTTCAAGAAGGCAAGATTCAAAAGCAAAAGGTCCGTTAAGCAGATTAAGAGATTTCAACTTGAAGCCAGATTGGGAAATAAATACTACATCTGTGCCAATATCCTACAGCTCTCCTTCAAAACGGGAATTCTAGACCCACAGCCACAGCAGTAAACAGTGAGAGTGACCCCAAGAGGTGGAGGTTTAGTGAAGCTGAAGGACATGTGAGATTACTGTGTTGTTAGTTCATTCCTAAAGAGTTGGCCCATTTGAATTCTTGCTCCTAGGTTGGTTTAATTTCATTTTTTGCTTTTTCTTCTTGCTCTCTTATAGGAAGAATTGTGTGAATGTTCTGATCACTACCACCCAGCTGGTTCCAGCTCTGGCCAAAGTGCTCCTGTATGGACTAGGAGAAATATTTCCAATTGAAAACATCTATAGTGCTACCAAAATTGGTATGGTTTCTGTTCTGTTTTGTCATTAACCTTACAATCAAACGTCCTATTCGTGCTGCACCTGTTACCGCCCCCCACCCTGTGTCTATAACCCTGCCTCTCAAATAAATAAATAAATCTTTAAGAAAAAAAAAAACGGGGCCAGCACTGTGGCACAGTAGGTTAGTTAATCCTCTGCCTGCAGTGCCGACATCCCATGTGGGTGCCGGTTCTAGTCCTGGCTGCACCTCTTCCAATCCAGCTTTCTGTTTTTCCTGGGAAAGCAGTAGAAGATGGCCCAGGTCCTTGGGCCCCTGCAACCATGTGGGGGACCCGGAAGGGGCTCCTGGCTCTTGGCTTTGGATTGGCCCAGCTCTGGCTGTTGCAGCCATTTGGGGAGTGAACCAGCAGATGGAAGACCTTTCTCTCTCTCTCTCCCTCTCACTGTCTGTAATTCTACCTCTCAAATAAATAAATAAAATCTTTTAAAAAAAAAAATCAAGGATTAAACTATATACTTGAAAATTATTAAAATCCCTCACATTCATTAAGAAAGCTGCTTAAAATAGCTAATTTGCAGAAAAGGAAAAACTTATAAAATTCTGAATAAACCCTTAAGTCCCCAGTTAAGGGGACTGCAAATTTAACTGTGATATATTTACTACTGGTTAGATGCACAATTTAAGTGTAATGATGCTAACTTTTGTTAAGATAATGGGTATTCTTACTCTGCAGATGGAATTGAAAATGGGTATACCTATTTTAGAAAACATTTATTAATGTCTAATAAAGTTTGAGATATGCATGACCCCATGGCCCAGAAATTGCACTTTCAGATTGGAGGTGCTTCAAAAAAGTCATGGGGAAATTGAATGAAAAATTTATTTTGGTGTAAAATAGTTTTGAAATCCGTGCCTAATTTTGCATGACATGTTTTCCAGGAACTTTTTGAAGAACACTGGTATGTTTACTTTAGAGCAGGAGTCTTCAGATTACAGGCCAATCCTGCCCCCTGCCTCTTTTTATGTAGTTGTGTGAAACAGCTGTGCCCATTCCTTTTTGTGCAGCTGCTTTCATACTCCAGAGGCAGAGTCTAATAGTTGCACCAGAGACCAGAGGGCCCTCAAAGCCCAGGCTGCGCACCAGCTACACAGAACAGGTTACTGACCTGCCCTGCGTGCTTCTGATGTGTGCAAGTACTTCTGAGTATACACAGATGTAGGTTCTTAGTTCTGATTGTGTGTATTGGTATATTTATTACAGAAATTCTCCAGCCGATGGCAATCAAGTGTCTTGAGGAAGAGGCACCTTTATCTTTTTTTTTTTTTTTTTTTTTTGACAGGCAGAGTTAGACAGTGGGAGAGACAGAGAAAAAGGTCTTCCTTCCATTGGTTCACCCCCCAAAATGGCTGCTACAGCCAGCGCAGTGCACTGATCTGAAGCCAGGAGCCAGGCGCTTCCTCCTGGTCTCCCATGCAGGTGCAGGGTCCAAGCACTTGGCCATCCTCCACTACCTTCCCGGGCCACAGCAGAGAGCTGGACTGGAAGAAGAGCAACCGGAACAGAACCTGGTGCCCCAACTGGGACTAGAACCCAGGATACCGGCACTGCAGGTGGAGGATTAGCCAAGTGAGCCGCGGCGCTGGCCGCACCTTTATCTTACATGAGAATCCTAGTGCTAAGTCCCTGGATATGTCAGAAAGATGAGATTCATGGAGTTAGATGAAGAAGGAAGCGAAGTTACAACCTTACTTACCTGAGGAAGGTGGCAGAAACAAGGAAATAAAATATAAAACATGTGGAGAAACAACCAGGAATATAGTTTCCTTTTATTTATGCAAATGAAGTATCTTTCCCACAGTAGAATCATCTGTGTGTGTTTTAGATGTTGGTTCCGGATATTGTGATCCATTATCACGTGTGTCAGAACTGTCTGCAGTGGATTTAAATCATGCACCCCCCCAAGGTCACTTATAGTGATACAGGATCTCCGCTGGAGCTGCATGGGGTAGTAAATGAGGAAACTCCAGATGGGAGCGACGATGCTGCCACATTGATGAGTCAGTCACTTTTCTCAGTCCTGCTCAGGCTCCTCCCCTACTGAAGAACATAAGACCCATGTCCAAGACTATTTCTGGAAAATGAAGAATTGGAGGGAAATGGCTGTATGTCTGCTACTTACTTCTAACAAGAAATCATGGCCTTATGCTTCCACTCTCCTGTCCTGCCTTAAAACATTTCTCCTCAGAAATCACTCATTTGTCATGGCCCAGTGGCCAGAATTTGGGTTTGGAATTGGATGGCATGTCTAATGCTAACTAATAGCTTGTGTGTGACCTGAGGCACGTCACTAGACCTGTGAGTCACCTGTGAGACAGAGAATGGTTCCTGCCTCACTGAATTATTGTGAGAATAAATGAAGGAATAAGTGGAAAGTGTTTTATAAACTATAAAGTACAGAAGATGTGGAAGAGGAGGTGGTACTCACAGCTGTCTCACACCCCATGTCCCTTAGTCTCCCAGTTGTAGAAATTTCCTTGATATGAGGGCTAAAATAAGTTACCGTTGTAATGGCCCAGTGTCACATTCTTTTGGGCAGTGGGCCTGCTGAGTCTCTGTTCACTACCTTTGCTCCCAACCAAGCAAACTACGTGGGCTGCCACGTGGTCTGTCCGAGTACAGGCGGGTGAACCTGACTGTTGCAGCCTTTGTCTTTTAAGTTTTTTGTTTTAATTTTTAGTTAGCTTTTAGCAGATTCAATGTACATGTAGATATAATGCTAAGAACATAATGATAGTCCCTTCCTCCTTCTCTCCTTCTCACTTTCTTTCTGCATTTCTTTTTTTGTTTTGTTTTGAGATAACATTTTTAAATTACATTATAGTAAAGACTTAATACTTGATAAATTTAACAAGTGAAAAGCAAAGAGACCCTAGTTTAATGAGAATATAGACAACAAACAATAATTGAATGGAGAAATGGCCATTTCGCCCGTATACACTAAATTTTAAAGTAAACACGGATCATTAAAACTGTAGTAATATGGGCTGGCGCCGCGGCTCAATAAGCTAATCCTCCACCTAGCGGCGCCGGCACACTGGGTTCTAGTCCTGGTCAGGGCGCCGGATTCTTTCCCAGTTGCCCCTCTTCCAGGCCAGCTCTCTGCTGTGGCCAGGGAGTGCAGTGGAGGATGGCCCAGGTGCTTGGGCCCTGCACCCCATGGGAGACCAGGAGAAGCACCTGGCTCCTGCCATCGGATCAGCGTGGTGTGCCGGCCGCAGCGCGCCAGCCATGGCAGCCATTAGAGGGTGAACCAACGGCAAAAAGGAAGACCTTTCTCTCTGTCTCTCTCTCTCACTATCCACTCTGCCTGTCAAAAATAAATAAATAAATTAAATTAAATAAAAAAACTGTAGTAATATAACATTTTTGACCACTGGTTTGACAGTTTGCAGCCTTTTTCTTTTGTATGGAAAAAAGGGAAGAATATTCTCATAGGAAATTTCTTTTTCTCATCAGGTAAGGAGAGCTGCTTTGAGAGAATTGTGTCAAGGTTTGGAAAGAAAGTCACGTATGTGGTGATTGGGGATGGACGCGATGAAGAAATTGCAGCCAAGCAGGTAACCGGCAAAGCGGATAAGCCAGAGGTTGGGCATTGAGCAGTCAGAAAAGAGGTTCAGACTTCAGAATCCGGATATGCTGCTGTGCAGCTACAGTGCTGTGCTGTAAAGAGGAGAGTGGTTCTCTCCCCAGATGAAATTCTCTGTATAAGCTGACAGACCACCTCATCCCTGCCAGTCAAAAATCTTAAAATCTTTGAAGCCTGTTGCAAGGAGCCTCATCATTAAACCTGTTTTCACTGTAGATGGCAGTGCCTTTCTCAAGAATATCAGCCTTGACCACAAAAAGCACAACTCATTCTGACTTTTCTAGGCTCAGATTCTAAGAAGAAAGAAAGAAAAAATATATATACAGTACGGTTGGGACTGAATTGCTATAAAGAATGTCCTTTCCAATTTTGAGCCCTGAACAGTGGTTCTGATATTAACGCCATAGCTATACATGTCCTGACACCAGGTCATCCCTTCTCACTACAGGGAACAGTAGGTGAAAGAGTTTTGGCTGTAGAATCTACAAAGGCAGGTTCGGTTCCCATGTGTTTATAAGCTGTGCAACTTTGTACAGTTCACTTGTTTTCTCTGAGTTTCCTCATTTACTAAATGGATCTACAGAAGTTCTTTCCTTCCCTACCTCAGTTTATTTTCTTCCAGCAGCTCTGTTTCTTAGATTTGTATTCAGTGGGTTACCAACTAGAACCACCTGCCTTGAGTTTCTTCCCCCAGGTAACATAGAAACCTTAGCAACTGGGGACGGTGTTGTGGGGTAGCAGGCGAAGCAGCATCCCATGTGAGCACAGGTTCTTATCCTGGCTGCTCCACTTCCGATCCAGCTCCCTGCTAATGTGCCTGGGGAAGCAGCGGAAGATGACCCAAGTGCTTGGATCCCTGCCACCTATATGGGAGACCTGGTTAAGTTCCAGGCTCCTGGCTTCAGCCTGGCCCAGCCCTGGCCATAGGGGCCATTTAGGGAGTGAACCAGTGGGTGGAAGATCCCATTGTCACTCCCTCTCCACTGTAACTGCATCTCAAGAAAATAAATAAATTTTAAAAAGAAAAAAGGGCTGGCGCTGTGGCGTAGAGGGTAAAGCCACTGCCTGTGGCACCAGCATCCCATATGGGTGCCAACTCAAGTCCCTGCTGCTTCACTTCTGATCCAGCTCCCTGTTAATGTTTCTGGGAAAGCAGTGAAAAATGGCCCAAGTACTTGGGCCCCTGCACCTGTGTGGGAGACTCGGAGGAAGCTCCTGGCTCCTGGCTTTGGACCATTGTGGCCATTTGGGGAGTGAACCAGCAGATGGAAAACTTCTCTCTGTAACTCTGCCTTTAAATTAGATAAGTAAATCTTAAAAAAAAAAAAAGAAGAAGAAGAAGAAGAAACAAACTAATGATGAATCATGTGATTTGTGATCAGTTGGTGTTAGCACCTCGTGATGGTTTCATTTGTCACTGTATGTAGCAGTTCAAAGACATTTGCTTTTTTCACATATCTCGTCACAGAAGCTTTCATTACAGAGTTTCTTGTTGCTCTCTTTGGGAAAGACCCAAGTGTCAGCTTAGTGCTTCCCTGTCTGAAGAAGGGAGTGGGGAAGAGAAAGAACCATTTGAGTCATTAGCAAAGTTGGTGTAGTTACCGTGCTGCTTGTAATCACCTACTGAAGACTAACCCCCTGGCAGACGCTGTAATGCTTTGTCTGATCCGACTTCCACCATGGGAGGGATCTTTTCTGAAGACTTGCTGGTCCTTCTTTGAATAAACCCAGGTGTGCCCAGGTAGCCTATTCCACTGTGGAGTCCAGCCTTCCACTGAATAAAACGTTATCTCTAAGTAAGTCTAGCACACCTGAGCATAACAAAACAAGTTTGCTTCCTCTTCTGTATATTAATGGCCTTTTAAATATCTAGTGTGAGCGATAGGTGCTTGATGTAACTGTTAAGTCACCTCTTGGGATGCCCACATCACACATCAGAATGCCTGGTTTGAGTCCTGGCTCTGCTTCCCATTCCAGTTTCCTGCTAATGTGCACCATGGGAGGCAGCAAGTCATCACTTGTGTCCCAGCAGCCCACATGGGAGACCTAAATTGAGTTCCAGGCTTCTGGCACCAGCCTGACCCAACCCTAAGTGTTTTGGGCGTTTGGGGAATAAAGCAGAAGATGGAAGATCTCTCTATGTCTCTTTCTTTCTGTCCTTCAAATAAACATTTTTTTAAGTTGGTGGAGAATGAGATTAAAAGATAAGTTTACTTTGGTGTGGATAATCTTGAAATCCATGCATAGTTTTTTCATGATACACATTTTTCATGAGCTTTGTGTAGCTAGAATAGTGTACATATATTAATATAATAATATAATAGTATATCTAGAATAGTAGCTAGAATAGATATATCTCTTACAGTAAAAGCAGAGTTTACCACTGAACCCATTTCACACGTGTGAAGTGTCCTATAACATGCAAAGTTACTCTGATCCTTATGACTGCTCCGAGGTGGGGAAGGTTACCAAGTACCCTGGGAAGAGGTCTGTGGAGGGTTGGGTACGGGTGGATAAAAACCGCGAAAGCAGCTGGGCTGACCGTTCACCTTCCGTTCTCCAGCACAACATGCCTTTCTGGAGGATCACGAACCACGGAGACCTGGTGTCCCTGCACCAGGCCCTGGAGCTGGATTTTCTCTAAGAACTGGAATGAGGAGCCTTTCTGGTGAGCTCCTTTCCACTCCTGAGGGCAGCCAGAGACTGGAACCAGCTGGGGACTCTCTGTCTTTGCTCCATGGAATGCTGGCGAGAACACAATCAGAACAACAGCTGCAGATTTGGCCGAGAGTCAGCCCCAGCCCGTGTTCATCCTCATGCAGAAGCGGAGACAGCTGGATAGAGAGAACAATAGGCTCGTTGCAGCTACTGTGCTTTTAATTCTTCTCTTTTGTTTTGTTTCAAAAAAAAAAAAAAAAAGAATGGAAATTCCTGGAGCAGAGGTGCGCTCTTAGTGGTGGTCAGACTGAGAACTGCTGTGACCCTGTGGTGAGAGGATAACGCAGCAGACTTCTGGGACATCTCTTGCAGTCTTTAGAATCTCCTTAGCCGTAGAACTTACTTCCAGTGAATGTGTATGTTATTTTTATAGGTGAGGGTCTCTGAAGCAGGTGTCCCCCTTTCTTTTTCTAGCAAGAAAGGGTCATTTAAAGTTTCCTTGAAAATAGTCATTGAAATGTCTAAATACCTCTGTGTGACGGTAGCCCCCCCGTAGCTGCTCCCAGGGGTCTGCTTCTCTCCCGTTCTTCCATTTCTTACTTGGCCGAACTGTGGGGTGCTGGACACTGATGAACTTTGGACTTGGCATTTCCCATCCTTTTAAAAGTCTTAGTCCTTTTTCCAGTCCTTCTTCCCCTTTAATCAAGTGACACAAACCAAGAAACTGCTTCTTTCAGACGGTAAATTCTAAGCCTTCAGCTTGACTCTTAATTCAGAGACTACATGCCAGCAGGCTAATCCTCCCACCTGGAGAAAAAGGATTGAGGCTTCTTAGGAACTTCAGCCTCTTTGGCTCTCAAGACAGGAAGACGCCATCCGATCCTCCAGCACAGAAGCAGCTTTTCCCGTCCACTGCCGACCTTGCGGCCCCCTCTGCTTGTCCATCAGCTGCTGGGCCTAAGCCTTCGCTGCTGTCTCCATTCAGCTCTGACCAGTCCACACACATTGGTCCCAAGAAGTCAAATCAAGTCTAAGAATAGGCTGGATAAGAATTGGCCCAAACTTCCAAAGTATTGGGCTTCCTGTGAAGAAGCCCATAAGTTGCCTGTGGGGTATCTGGGTTCACATTCCCCCCAAGCCTCTGCCTGAAACTGACAGCAGACTGCTCTTACCTTCCCCAGCAATACCCGCTTCTGGTGTTCACTCTGCAGTAGGAATCCAGAAGGCCAGTCTTTCCTGGTTTAAATGAGGATGCGGGCTCCCCTACTTCACACCTGAAGACTTAATCCTGGACCAAATGCAGGAGCATCTCTCAGCCTGACCCCTGGGAAATTGGTGGATACCTCAGCACTGGGGCCAACCTTCCAGCCTGGATGGATTTCTTGGATGTGCCATCCCTCCAGGACCAACCTGGGTACCTGCTCAGCCAGGCCAAATTCCCAGGAGCTGACAAAATTCAGACTGTCCCAGGCAGCACCAAGAAGGGTGACAGTCCCTCAGAAAGATCAGTCTTGGTCCTCAGGAGGGGGCACCTTTGACCAACCCCAGCCGTGCTTGCTTATCCCCAGAGAGTCCGTGTGCCATTCCTGAGAAGTTGCAGCACAGAAAGGTAGGACGCCTGCCAATGCCAGGGCACCCAGACAGCAGCACACCAAGGCTGGTGCACACATTCCTTCAGAACTGTCTGACAAGTGCTTCGTGTCTCACAACTGTAGGAAGCAAGTGTTTGGAGAGCAGCTGAAGCAGGTGCTCCATGACTGAGGTACCGCTTTGCCTTGTTTGCATTTGGGGTAGAAGAGACAGATGGCGGAGGCAGGCCCTCCCTTGGTCTGTATTCAGCCTTGATGCCCAGATGCTGTTGCTCCATGATGGTTGATCCCAGAATAGTCCAGGATGTACTTTACTTACAGGACTCAAAACTCCCCCTATTGCCAGTCTAACTGTTGGCTTCCGGCCCTGGCAAAGACCACCCTGTTGGTACGGTGCTTCGGGCTTGTGGGGCTACAGCGCAGTAACCCCATCACATACCAACACTTCCCACCGCACACCCTTTTATCTTTAGAATACAACTTAGACTGTTTCAATGGCCTTTTTCATCCTGCCCTGACTACCCAGCTTAGCTTTTTCCAAAGGGAACTTGAACTTGGCCAAGAGAGGCAGGGAGGCTTTCTGAGCAGAGCAGAGCAGCCCCTGCTTTTTTCTGGTTGCTGCCACCCTCATCTAAAGGAAGACAGGAGGCAGGAGCTTCTTGGCTCATCTTTGCCAAAATGAATTAGTTATCCATGAGACATTGCCCTCTCACCCCATCTCCCTGTTCCCCAGCACAGAGATCTGGGAAAGAGCTGTGGGAAGCAGAGAGCCAGGGAGCCTCTTTTCTGGAGAGTCCCCATGAAATTAGTCACGTGGTAAGTCGTTCCCCAGCTGGCATCATGGGCTTCTTGAGATGGGCGTGTGCACTTCCTGCGAGGACCATCTCTAGTGGAGGGTCCAGAGTGGTCAGGTGTGTCCTGGGCTTAGGAGGCGGCTTGACTTCGAATGTAAAACTGACTGTGCCTTAGCATCATTCTGTCCAGTGCCCCTGGGGCCTGCTCCAGATCTAGATGCCTGTTTAGGCTTTTGTTTGATTTGGGTGTTACTGTCTTCTGCTCTGCAAATTGGGGGGCAAAGCCAGTGTCCCAAGACTTGGGCCATGGCTTACTCACATTTACACAAACTGGTCTTTAAAGCTCCAAGTAGAAGCAGATTGGCAAACTGCAGCCGCAGCTTACGGGGCTCCCAGATGTTCACTAGCTTGAATGGGTGTCAGTGCCACTGAGCCACGAGGGAGAGAGTGTGGACCGTGGCTCCCTCTTCCTGGGAGAGGGATGGTCTAGACCAGGAGTGGTGAGCGTGGGGCCTCCCTCTCGTTCCTGCGCAGGGGGCCGTGAGGGCCGCCCTCAGGCAGGCTTCTGTATCTTACCACTACATTGGCTTCCTTGTTCATCTTGAAGTTAGAACTCCCCAGATGGCCACACTATAGAGGCCAGATCTGAATTCTGAGATTCTAAAATACCTTAAACTACAAGAGAGAAAACAGTTCTGACGAGCAGGCCGCCTGTCCCGTCCTCTCCTCTGAGTCACACGGCTCCAGCAAGCCGGGCTCCTTGGCTAGTTCCTGATGCGCTGACAGGAGCCATCTCATTAAGCACGACTTCTCCTCACAGCACGACTCTCTTTGGACTTCAGATGCCTCTCTCGGCAGGAAAAGGCGTTCAGTGGATTGGATATATTTATGTGACTGCGGGCATTCGTGGCTGTAGTATCCTTGACCATAATGTTATATGTAATGGGAACTATCTTATAAACTTGAAAAAAATAAAGTTTTTATTTTCTATACAGCTTGCTTCTGTGTCTTTCCTGAATAGGATTGGCCCAGCTGCCCAGCCGTGTGGGGTTCTCATTAGAGCTTCATAAACACTCTGCAGAGTTCACTAGAGAGGTGTCACCCCTCCAACAACTGGCTCAGCTGATCTCACTAAGCAAAGTGAAACAGTGGAACAAATACCTGTCCATTTGGTATAATTAAATATACATGGGAAAATAAGTATTTTAAAATACTTTGTAATGGAGATTTTATTTTTAATTGTTTCTAAAATATATGGCTTTGTAAAGTCTAGAACTGGAATGGCAGTTCTATATCAAATCTTACTTGATTTGGCCTAATTTCATGTCGTAGAGATTACTTTCCTCCGGACTTGGGTGTGACTACTGCTGCTCTCTGGGAAACAGGAAGGCTTTCATCGCAGTGAAACAAAGTAGAGCTTGGCTCCAGCTTTCAGACACCACATGTGTCAGACCTCTCAAGGTACTTTCCCCATGTTTCTTGAGAAAGAAAGAGGTTGGGAGCCAGTGCTGTGGTACAGCAGATTAAAGCCATGGCCTGCAACACTGGCATCCTATATGGGTGCCGGTTCAACTCCCAGCTGCTCCACTTCCAATCCAGCTCCCTGCTGTGGCCTGGGAAAGCAGTGGAAGATGGCCCAAGTCCTTGGGCCCCTTGCACCCACATGGGAGACCCAGAAGAAGCTCCTGGCTCCTGGCATTGGCCTGACCCAGCTCTGGCCATTGTGGCCATTTAGGGAAGGGAACTATTGGATAGAAGACCTCTCTTTCTGTCTCTCCCTTTCTCTCTCATATGCTGTCTTTCAGATAAATAAATCTTTAAAAAAGAAAAAAGAGGTAGCCCTGTAGTCTATTAATTAAATCTTTTCATCATTAGATACAGATTTTGAGCCACACTGTAATGGAAGCAAACCTATTAGTTGCCATATCCTGAATTAAAAATACAAATATTGGAGCCAATATTGTGGTGCAGCAGACGGTAAGCCATCACTTGCAATGCTAGCATCCTGTATTGGAGTGCTTGTTCAGTCCCGGCTGTTCCAGCTTCCTGCTAATGTGCCCAGGAAGGAAGTGAAGGTGGCCCAAGTACTTGGGTCCCTGCCACTCATGTGGGAGACCAACATGGACTCCTGGCTCGTAGCTTTGACCTGACAGCCCTGGCTACTGTGGCCATTTGGGAAGTAAACCAATAGACAGAAGGGTTGTGTATGTCTTTCTCTCATGCTCTGCCTTTCAAATAAATCCTAAATATATGTGTGATATATTTACATACACATGCTTTTGATTGATTTCCAAGCCCAGAGAATAAATACCTGCATGTCTCCCTACAATTAATATACCACACATTTCCCTTTAAGCCTTTGGAGGACAGATAAAAATTAGCAATTTAGGTTTTTACTTTTTCCTTATTTTGAAAAAAAATCTTTTATTTGAAAGTTACAGAGAGAAAATTCCATCCGCTGGTTCACTCCCCAAATGACTGGAACAGCTGGGGATGGCCTTGGCCAAAGCTAGGTAGGAGCCAGGAACTTCATCTGGTCTCCCATGCAGGTACAGGGGCCCAAGGGCTTGGGCCATCTTCCACTGCTTTCCCAGGTGCATTAGCAGGGAGCTGGATTGGAAGTGGAGCAGCTGGAACTCCAACCGGCACCCATATGGGATGCCAGCACTACAGAAGGGGCTTAACCCATTAATGCCACAGTTCTGGCCACAGGTTTTTATTTTTCAAAAACAAGGTTCTTGGCATTAAAAGTTTTTTTTTTTTTTTAAAGTTTATTTGGGAGACAGAGCTATAAACTGTCTTCTGGTTTACTTCCCAAATGCCCAGACAGGTCAAACCCAGGAGCTGGGAATCCAATCCGGGTCTTCCACATGGGAGGCATGTTCCCAGTTACTTGAGCCATCACCGTCACCCCCACAGTAGCAGGAAGCTAGTCAGGAGCTGCAGCCAGATGTCAAGCCCAAGTACCCTGAGATGGAACACTGGTGTCTTGAGCAGCATTAACCACTAGGCTAACGTCCATCCCTTAAAGATTGACGGGAATCTTCAGGGAAAAGTTCTTACTCTAAGCACTGTCAAGTGTCACTGTCACCTTTCTAAACTCCTGATTCTGTGAACTCTAAAAATGTATACAAATGAATCAACTGCTAACATCCACAGCTTCCTAGGCGGTACACTATATGTATAATGTTGCTTGTACATGGTTCGAACTTAATTACATACACGTTACCACATTAAGTTTCATCTGGAGAGCATAGCCGAAAGCAGAGTACATCTTTTTTGGATTTTCTTGTGGAAAATTTGGTGATTTTGGTGAAACCCTCAACATCTATTGCCAAGGCTAGGTTGGGCACTAAACTCGGAGACTTGTAAGAACCAAGCCCATCCTCTGTAGGACTCAATCTTGCATGAACGGGAGAAAACAATGATCTCTGTGTGTCTGTGTTTAAAGGTATTCAGTGAAGAGAATGATCCTTTATTCTGAGATTGCCATATTCTTTCATGAGATGATAAAGTAACAGATGGGGATTTTGGGGGTCTTTAAGATTTTATTGGGGCCAGTGCTGTGGCATAGCAGGTAAAGCCACTGCCTGCAGTGCTGGCATCCCATTCGGGCATTGGTTCAGGTCCTGCTGCTCCACTTCTGATCCAGCTCCCTGCTGATGGCCTGGGAAAGCAGTAGAAGATGGCCCAAATCCTTGGGCCCCTGCACCCACGTGGAAGACCCAAAGGAAGTTCCTGGCTCCTGGCTTTGGATCAGCTCAGCTCCAGCCTTTGCATTTGGGGAGTGAACCAGCAAATGGAAGTCTCTCTCTCTCTCTGCCCCTCTTTCAAATAAATAATCTTTTTTTAAAAAAAGATTTTACTTATTTGAGAGGCAGAGTTACAGAAAGGGAGAGACAGAAAGGTCTTCCATCCACTGGTTCACTCCCCAAATGGCCACAATGGCTAGAACTGAGCAGATCCGGAGCCAGGAGCTTCTTCCGGGTCTCCCACGTGGGTGCAGGGGCCGAAGGATTTGGGCCATCTTCTACTGCTTTCCCAGGCCATCAGCAGGGAGCTGGATCAGAAGTGGAGCAGCGGGACCTGAACCAATGCCCGAATGGGATGCCAGCACTGCAGGCAGTGGCTTAGCCTACTATGCCACAGCCACTGGCCCCAGTAAAATCTTTGTGGCTTTACCCGCTATGCCACAGCGCTTGGCCCACATGGGGATTTTTTGGTTAACACTGGGTTGGCCACCACATGGGTCATTCTACAGGTTCATGAAATTTATCTGGAAATCACTGGACTGGATGTCTTGTGGGATCCTTCCTGCCTGTTAACATTCTGCATGTGTGGTCTTGGTAGCACACACCCCCCCCCCAACACCCACCCCCAGCCTGCCATCTCTGGGCCAGTGGAGCTACATTCCTGTGCTGCATTGTAGCCCCAAAAGGAAGAGTGTTGCAACTTTCCTTCCTGCCTGCAGGATGTTTCAAGCCCGCAGTGAGTAAGCCAACCGCCCCCCCTTCTCTGGGATGACACCACTGCCTACCCTCTGCTTGCCCTCTGTATTGTCTCGATATGAATGACTAACAGAACTGAGACCATCCTGGTTCCCTTCATAGCAGTGACTGGAACCTTCTGTCCCAGCACCCATTTCTGTTGTGTTTCTGCAAAAGCACAGACCTCCCAAAGCAGCAAAAGCTTCCACTGCCCACGTCCCCATCCCCTGCGCCACCCTCCTCACAGACCCTCTCCGAGGCCCCAGCACTGTTCTCCAGGAATCTCAAATCCAGTGCCTGCCCGGCCCAGCAGCTGGTGGTTATGAGAAGCCTCCAGAATCTGTCCACATCTGGTTTGTGAGGCTCACCAGCTCCTGAAACTGCAAATGAGGCTGAGAAGTCCCAGCCAAACCAGTCCTGTGTCCCAGGGGACACTGTCAGTTTTGAGGAACCTCGTGTCCCTGATCCCTTCATTCTAGGAGGTTTTGAACTTGAAGTTTCATGTAATGGGGCCCACGCTGTGGCATAGCGGGTAAAGCCACACCCCCGTGGGAGACCTGGAAGAAGCTCCTGGCTCCTGGCTTTGGATCACAGCTCCGGCCGTCTCGGTCAACTGGGGAGTGAACCAGCAGATGGAAGTCCTCTCTCTTTAACCCTGACTTTCAAATAAATAAATCTTTAAAAAAAAAAAGTCTCACTTAATGACCAGACTTGGAGGATTCCACGAAGCTTTACTAAAAACCTAATAATACTGTAAAACAACACTTAGTGTCTGTCACGGGCCAGGACGGAGGTGCATACTCTGAGGTAGGCAGTACACTGGCGAAAGGAAAAAAAAAAAAAAAACACTCAATGGCTGTGCCCGGCCAGACCACAGGTCCCCCCCATGGCACTGGTGGAAAGGCAGCCTCCTGCGAGCAGAACAGGGGCTGGGCCAGCTGCACCAAGCCTCTGGAGGGGCCGCCAGGGACTACCTAGCACCAGGCTTTCCCGGCTTACAGGCTTTGTCGGAACAGGTAAGGGATGAGGCCAGGATGGCAGCCGCTGTGGTTCTGGGTTTCAAGGATCGAATGACGTTCCTGACCCAGAAAATGCTCTCAATAGAGAACTGTTGAAGGCACCAAATGGAGGTGTGGAGAGGGAGAATTCTAGAGAGCATCCCCTGGGGGTCCTGGGGCCCCAGGATGGGACGGCACCTCCACTGGTTATTTTAGGAGTGGCTGGGAGACGGGAGTGCCAGCTGTGGGGCGCTCTGGGGCCCCCGCTGCTCTGGTTGGGGGAAGAGAACAGGAACAGGTGGTCTTCTCTCCCTAAGGCACCCTCTAGACAACTGGGGCCCAGAGCCCCGTTTCGTTGTATGCATGGCAGGCTGCCGTGGCAGGCTCTCACCCTGCCTCAAAGGACCCCATTCACTTCTCCCTTCCCCGGCAAAGCAGCCTCATCCTTAGCCTTGGGGAAAAAGTTCTTAGCCAGCTGGGTCATGCGCCTGTTCTGGGGCAGCGGACCCAGCTCAGAGGAGAGGAGGCTGCGGGCCCCATGGGCCCCGTCCACCCGGTCAGGATCCCAGCTGCAGCGAGGGTGCAGCCAGCAGTAGTAGACAAGGCGCAACACCAGACCCAAGAGGAAGCAGATGCCTCCCACAGGCAGCCATATGTGCAGCGGGATCCCGCCGGGCAGCCAGGGGCTGTGAGTCACCCAGGTGGCCACCAGGAGAATACTGTCACTCAGGAGGAACGCCAGGTGGATGGTGGCCCGGCCTCGGGTGTGGCCCTCAGCCACGTTGAACCAGGAGAAATAGAGGATGGTGGCCACCGTGGCCCGGTACAGCCACTCCGAGCCAGGGTCTGGCATGAAGTCTGTGCCCTGAAGCCACACCCAGAGCAGCAGCACCAGCCACAGCCCCAGGAAGTGCAGGGCCACGTAGCGGGGGAAGAGGGCCGAGAACAGGGCCACGGCCAGGACCCGGGGCCCCAGCAGCAGCAGGTTCCACAGGAAGTAGACGGCGGAGGAGCGCAGGCCCAGAGGGGACTTGGAGGGGAGGCAGGTGCGCAAGGCCTGGTGGTAGTCCAGCAGCGCCCACGAGATGCCCAGGAAGGACGTGCAGATGCCGACCCCTGTAGGAGGAAGAAGAAAGCGGTGAGCCCCGTGGGCTCCCAGGTACTGCAGGGCCCTCCCAGTGACCCCGAAGCAGGGATCTGTGGCAGGAGAACTTTAAGCTCACACAATAGACACCAGGGTCAGGACTCAAACACGGAGCCTGCCCTTGACTGGCTTTCCAGTGCTCTCACGAGGAGAGCGCGTGGCTGGCAGCCGTTCGCCAGCACACAGCACTGGTGCAATGCGTCCAGAGCCTCTCCCAGGGCCCCAGAACCCTCCCTGTCCCGAAAGAGCCTGAAAATCACCAACTCCAGTGCCCCAATTCTCCCTCCTGGAGAGGGAGGCAGGAAACCCCATGGGAGGCTGCAGCTGCCCTCCCGTCTCCTCCCTGCTCAGACCAGGCCCTGGTCTCCACTGTCCAAGGTCCAGGAACTCCTGTCCCACCTCCCGGTCTCCCAGCACCAGGATCTCCAGGAAGCACAGGAGGTCCCTAGGAGGCCTCCCGCTCTGCCCCCTCCCTGGCTCCTGGCATTCATCCAACAGATGCTCGCTGGAAACCCCCAGTCTGGCCTCAGATCTGCAGCCAGCCCCGCCCCAGGCCCCAGCAGGGCTGCAAGCTCTGACCTTGCCCAGGCTGCTGGGCTGGCCGCAGCCTGACCCCCTCCTCCCATTCAGCTGTGTCAGGCGCCCCCGGAACTCCCCACCCACTCCTGCCTGAAGGCTCATCACCCAGGAATTCTTTCATTTCTGGCTCCTGAACACTCATCTGGGATTCCCGTCCAGTGTGTGGCACATGATAAATGCTTGCTAAGAAAAAAATTGGGAAAAAGATAAAAAAGAACTAAAAATTAAAAAAAAAAAAAAAGAAGAAAAAATTGGGGAAAATCTGCCTCCCCACCCCACCTGCACGCAGACCGTCTCCACTGGGCCCTGGGGCTGGCACCTTCTGCTCTCCCACAAAGCCGGGCTCAGGGAGCGCTCAGTGACCGGGGCAAGGCGCTCTGCCTCCCTCTGCTCTTCTGGAAAATGGAGAGGAAGACGGCAGCGACCCATAGCTTCTGTGAACACGAGCAGTGGGGACTACGGGCCCGTTCCACAGAGCCCGGCCAGCGGCACGTGCTCAGCCGCTATGGCTTCTTCGGAGAATGGTGCAGGCTCCCACCTGCAAGGTGAGAGGGCCCTGGAAGCTAAGTCCAACCCCGTCTCGCACAGCCGCGGAAATGGAGGCCCAAGGAAGACCCTGCGGTCACACGGGGCGTGACAGGTCGGGGTGCCACACGAGGCCGCGGCATGTGGGGGCAGGCGTTGTGAGGTGCCGGGAGGACTGGAGGTGGGCGGGTGCTGAAGCGGGGCTGGACCCCGCGCCAGACGTGAGCAAGCATCCCGGCCTAGCGTGACCACCAGCTGGGTCTGCAACCACGAGCCAGTTCCTTCCCTTGCACGGGCAAAACCTTTCCTGTCCCTCTGCGTGCTGCACTGTAACTGCCCGGCCTTCCTGGCGGGGCAGCGGCTCTGTGCATCTTGGTCACTGCCATGTGGGCGGCACGGGGACAGGCACAGCAGGGAGGCCCTGTTCTAACCCGGGCGGAGGAAACCGCCTGAGCAGCACACGGTCTGTGATGCGTCAGGCTCTCCACACGCTCCGATCTCTGCAATCTTCAAGACAGCAAAGACCTCGGAGGCGCTGTGGCGTACTGAGCTAAGCCTCTGCCTGCGGCACCAGCATCCCATATAGGCGCCAGTTCAAGTCCCAGCTGCTCCACTTCTGATCCAGCTCCCTGCTAAGGCACCTGGGAAAGCAGCGGAAGATGGCCCAAGGCCTCTGGTCCCTGGATCCACGTGGGAGACCCAGATGAAGCTCCTGGCTCCTGGCTTCAGTCTGGCCCAGCTGTGGCCGTTGTGGCCATTTGGGGAGTGAGCTAACAGTTAGAAGCTCTGTCTCTCCATCTCTAACTCTGCCTTCCAAATAAATAAATATACATCTTTTAAAGACAGCACAGATGACAACCGAGACTTGCTAAGTGCCAGCCACTGGGCTTCATGTGCACCCTTCCCCCACGCCCTGTATCCACCCGACAAGGTAGGAGTGTGTCTGGCTTCCATGTTTCAGCTGAGACCAAACTGACGCTCCGAGAAGTCGTGCCGTCCATCCCAAGTCCTACCACTCAAGAGTGACCAGATTTGAAGCCAGGTCTGCCTCCCTCGGCTGCCTCAGTACAAGAGTGAGCCGTCAGTGGCGTGGGAGGGGGACGCCTTGTCAAGGCAGGGCGGGGCAGTGCAGGGCACTCACACTGGAAGCACTCGGCCCCGCCGCTCTGCAGCACGATGGCGAGCAGCAGCGTGAGCTGCGGTGTCGTCTCCAGGAAGGTCTCGAAGAGCCGCAGCATGCTGATGTCCAGGGACAGGAAGTCCGCGTAGGCCTCGTGGAAGTCGGAGGGCGCCTCCTGCCGCCACACCCGCAGCCCCTGCTGCAGCCCCTGCAGGCACCTGGTGGCACACACAGATGCCCGAGGGCCAGGTCAGCACCCTGGGGTGCAGGGTGCCTCAGAGCCCAGCTCCCCACGTCCCTGCTGTGGGGCCTCGGGCAGGCCACGTAACCTCTCTGAATCTGTTCCTTCCTCTGGAGAACGGGGATAAATGCAGCTTCGACTCTGCCTGCACAGTCACTGCCTTCAGATCCCTGCGAGCCTTGACCTACTGACTCCCCCAGAGGAGCCCATTTCACAGATAGGCAAGGGGATCTAGAAGTTACTCAGCTGGGGCAGTGCTGTGGCCCAGTGGGTAAGCTGCCTCCTGGGACTCCCGCGTCCCAGGGAGTCCTGGCCACTCCGCTTCCCATCCAGCTTCCTGCAACTGCACCCTGGGAGGCAGCAGGGATGGCTCAAGTACTTGGGTTCCTGCTACCCACAGGGGAGGCCTGGATGGAGGCTCCAGGTCTCCAGGCTTCAGCCTGGCCCATTTTCAAATTAATACCCCATTAAAAATTTTATATATATATATATATATATATATATATATATATATATTTACTGGCAGAGTGGACAGTGAGTGAGAGAGAGACAGAGAGAAAGGTCTTCCTTTGCTGTTGGTTCACCCTCCAATGGCCGCCCGAGGGCGACGCGCTGTGGCCAGCGCACCGCGCTGATCCGAAGGCAGGAGCCAGGTGCTTCTCCTGGTCTCCCATGGGGTGCAGGGCCCAAGCACTTGGGCCATCCTCCACTGCACTCCCTGGCCACAGCAGAGAGCTGGCCTGGAAGAGGGGCAACCGGGACAGAATCCGGCGCCCCGACCGGGACTAGAACCCGGTGTGCCGGCGCCCGCCACAAGGCGGAGGATTAGCCTATTGAGCCGCAGCGCCGGCCATAAATGCACATTTTTAATAACAATAGCTTTAAGAAAAAAAAGCGGCATCTAAGAAGCAGTGGAATCAGACTTGGACCCAGAGCCCTACATAGGCTATACACTGCAGTGTGTCTGAGTATCTCTCGGGATCCTCGGGGCAAGCGGCTGAGCCAGGGAGTTTCCGAGCACAGGCAAGGCGGGGCGAGATCCCGTGGATGGCGGAGGACTGGAGCGCTGGGCTAGGAGGCTGCGGCTGCCGCACAGCTCAGGGAGAGGCCTGGCCCGGAGAGGCGGGGCTGCGGGTTGGGGCACAGTCCAGAGGGTCCAGAGGTTGCGCAGACTGGGGAAGCCACTGGCGGGGGCGGGGCGAGGGCGGAAGAGGCACAAGGGCTCTCCCAGCCGGAAACGGCCTCCGCAGGCGACGGGGAGGTGAGCCCATTCACTCACTGCAAGCTCATTCATAAGACGCTGTCACTTCCCCTGGCACACTGGTTCCCCCCAGGCACAAGCAGGAACACTGACCCCACTTTTAAAGCCGAAACGCAGTCCAGGGTCTGACGCAGGCTCAGCAGAAAACAGGAGACGGGCAGAGGCAGGAGGAGGTCACGGGTTGAGGGCTCGGCGAGGCCAGCCTGGGGCTGTAATACCCGTCACTGCGCCCCTTCGTGCCCGCCCGAGGTCCTACTGAGGCCTGGACAGTGCCCCCGGCGACTGCCACATCCAAAGCTCCTCTCGCGGCCACTCTTGCAAACTGTGCTGCTGTGCCCCGCAAGATCCAGGGCGGCGGGGGATGTGAAAATGGATCCAAGGGCTGAGCCCGCCCGGGCGACCCCTCCTGACCCCATCGCAGGGCAGGGCTGTGACGCCCTCCTGACCCCATCACAGGGCAGGGCTGTCACACCCTCCTGACCTCATCACAGGGCATGGCTGTGTGACACTTTCACTTTCCCCTCTCCGCAGGACCCTGCCACACCCATCTCACTGCCAGCTGTGCCCAGCAGGCTCCATGGATGAGTCAGAGGCCACCTCTGCCCTCAGGCTCGAAGTCTGGGGGTGCGCAGCCCAGGTTCAGGGCAGAGGCACAGCTGGGCAAGTGAGGCGCCCTGTGCACTGCTGCAGGCGGTCAGGCTGCCGGGACTCGGGCGTGGTCCAGGTGACCAGGCAGCTCCCTCTGCGCCAGGACACTTTACAAGTGGCATTTAATCCTCACCAGAGGGGCAGGCCTTCCTGCCATCCCCACTGGAACCCTGGGTACACTGAGAGCTGGGGCAGTCGGTGCCTTGCCAGAGGTCCTGCTGGTGCTGAACTGGGTGAACTCTCACGCAGGTACCTGTCACCGGTCACTCACTCTCGACAGCGCCGCCCACAATACATGTCTGCAGGTTACTGCCTCCACTGGGTTTTGTTTTGAGAAGTAGAGACAGAGAATTATTTTCATCCAGTGGTTCACTCCCTAAATGCCTGCTACAGCCCAGACTGAGCCAGGCTGGAGCCAGGAGCTAGGAACTCAGTCCAGCTCGCCAAGTACCCAAGCCATCATCTGCTTCCTCCAGGGGTGAGCGCTAGCAGGCCGCTGGAGCAGGAAGCCGAGCAGGGACTCCAACCCAGGTTCTCCGATATGGGATGCAGAATTCTTAACCACTAGGCCTCCTTCTGCCCTCCCTGCTTTCTATAGAGGAGTAAACCAGAAATGAAGCCACAGGTGGCAAAGCCAGAACTGGCTCCAGAGAAGTCTGACTCCAAAGCCATGCACCTGCCTTTCTCTTCACCTGCGCCAGGAAGGGCAGGGCTGGCTGAGCTCCGAGGGCGTCTGCCAGGGTTAACCTCTCCTGAGGCCATAGTGCCCACAGGGGCGGGGGTCTCCTCCCACGCCCCTCCCCGGTGTCAGGAATCTCACCGCTACTGGCAGCCCGGTGGAAGGGCAGTGTCGTTCCCCCCCACCCCGAGGGCGGGGCGCTCACGTGTCCGGGTGGCCCAGCAGCCGCAGGTACCACTTCCCCTCCCCCTTCCCGAGGGCGGGGCGCTCACCTGTACAGGTAGCCCAGCTGCAGGAGATGCAGCAGCGCCAGGCAGCGGCCGGGGGGCTGCGGCCCGTGCAGGCCGGCGGGGTCGGCGCGCAGCCAGAGCCAGCTGAAGAGCTGCAGCGCGACCGAGGCGAGGGCCAGCAGCGCCAGCACCAGCGCGGCCCACAGGTAGCGGCCGCTGAGCACATACTGCACGGCGGCCCACAGGTCGGCGCCCAGGTCGAGCAGGAAGACGAAGGTGCCGAAGGCGCCCAGGACCAAGTCCCACAGGGGGCTGGCGTGGGGCGACCAGGGCATGGCCCGCCTGCCTCTGCCCCCTGCTTGCTCTTCGGGCCGCTAGGGCCCGGGGTCGCGGCGGCAGGAAGGAGGCGGGAGCAGCAGCCCTCGGGGCAGCCCGTGGCCCCGGCCTGCTGGGCGGGACTTCCCCGACCCGCCCCGTCCGGGGTGGAGCGAGGCGCGCGGACGTCCCGGGTCCCCCACCCGGACCCGAACACCGCCCCCGCCCTGGCGGCCGCAGCTCCGCAGGCGTCGGGGTTGTACCCTGGAGGCCCCATGGGGTGAGACTGGCTTGGAGCTCGGGCTGCAGGCACGCATTCTGTCCCCGCGCGCCCCCAACTGGGGCCCCAGCCAGGGCTGCCCCCAGGAGCGCAGGGGGCCCCGGCCGGTGGGCCCCGGAAGGCGCGCCGTAACTGCAAGGGAGTTCGTTTCGACATCCTTTATGTCTTAGGACGGACAACTCGCAGGATAAGACGCAGGTTTTGCTTTGCGGGCACAACATGAAGCTTGAGAAGGAAATGTGTTTCTGGAAGGGTCCCTGGGGCTTTGTGTCTGCATCCGGCTACTGTCCCCTCCTCACCCCCAGAGGAAAATGGGGGTGACACTGCTGCACGTCACCGGGACGAAGCCGAGCCCCGGTGGCGCCCAAGGTCACCAAAGAAAGAGCAAACTCAGGCCCAGCAGCGCGGCCCACAGGCACGAGAACGCGGGCGCGGGCGCAGCTCCCGCGGCGGCGTGCAGGCAGGCGCTGTAGGCCTCGAAGGCCACGTGGTTTATGGCACACACGTGTTCGGCGCGGCAGGCTTCGTCGCAGGGCCGATCGTCGTAGCTGACCGAGTTGTAGAGGTAGTAACGCTGCCGCACGCCCTGGTCACTGGCGATGCGGCCCAGTACGCTGTGCATGGAGCGGGCGCTGGCGTCGGGCACCCCGTAGGCCTCGGTCAGCCGGTACTCCAGCCCCCAGCGCGGCTGTCCCTGCTCGTTGGCCAGGCTCAGGTTCAGGAAGTAGGTCACCATGTCCTGGAGGGGGCGCGGTCGGTGAGCAGCTGTCCGCCCCACCCCCATTCTCTGTAGCCCCAGCTGTGACCTATAGGGTTTATTTAGCATATTCCACGACTGTCTCTGGCAATTCTATGAACCCCACTGCACAGATAAGGAAACAGGAGGCCAAAAGCAAGTTAATTCACTTGGCCAGGGTCTTAGGGGAGCTGAGTTGCAGAGGTGAGCTGGGACTGGGGTCGCTTGCTCCACTTCCGGTGCGTTTAGCGTTTAGTCCTTGGGCACATGGAAGATGCCCCATAAATATTCTCAGGGTGAATGGATACCATTCATGCGTCCTGCGTGGACTGCAGGAGGAGCAGGGTGGACCGTGAGGGCTGCCTGGATGACAGGGAGGTCCCCGCTGAGGCTCTCAGTAACTTGCCCACGCCCCTGTGCAGTGCAGACACCCCGGGAAGCAGGCGTGGGAGGCAGGCTCGGGAAGGGCAGCCCCCAGTCTAGCCTAGCCTAGCCTAGCGATGGCCTGGGGGCCAAGCCAGGGCCTGGAGAAAGGCGAGGCCCCGGCTGGTCACCGGCTCTTAGAGCGCCCCGTATGGCTTTGCTCCTTCGCCCCAATTCTAAGTTTAAAACGAATTGGAGGCCGGCACCTCGGCTCACTAGGCTAATCCTCCGCCTAGCGGCGCCAGCACACCGGGTTCTAGTCCCGGTCGGGGCGCCGGATTCTGTCCCGGTTGCCCCTCTTCCAGGCCAGCTCTCTGCTGTGGCCAGGGAGTGCAGTGGAGGATGGCCCAAGTGCTTGGGCCCTGCACCTGCATGGGAGACCAGGAGAAGCACCTGGCTCCTGCCATCGGATCAGCGTGGTGCACCGGCCACAGCGCGCTGGCTGCGGCGGCCATTGGAGGGTGAACCAACGGCAAAAGAAGACCTTTCTCTCTGTCTCTCTTTCTCACTGTCCACTCTGCCTGTCAAAAAATAAAAAAATTTTAAAAATTAAAAAAGAATTGGAAAGAAACTCGCTAATTGCTGTGTCTCCAATCGAGTGTCATGACAGGGGTCCCTGGGTTCTGGACAGATGCTAGAAAGCGCTCTTGGCCCATGGCTCTTAGCAACACTGGAGAAAGCTTTGACTCCCGTCAGAACAGCCAGGATTCCTTTTGGTAGATGCCACTGAGGGCAAAACATGCCAGAGAAAATCCAGGCGCAAGCCGGCATGGAGGCAGAAGAGCCTTGCACCACGACTCCACGGCTGCGGCAGCGCTGAGCCCAGTGGCTGAGAAACTGGTCAGACGCCCGCCTGCCCCCCCAGGGCCCGGGTTCCACACCCCGCTGCGGCTCCAGACGCCAGCTTCCTGCAGTGCAGACCCTGGGTGGCAGCAGTGATGGCCCAAGTGACTGGGTGCCTGCCGCCTCCCGGGGGAGATGTGGATTTAGTTCCTGGCTCGGGCTCCTGGCCCTGGCCCTGGCCCAGCCCTGGCTCATGCAGGCCTTTGAAGAGTACACGAGCAGGGGGAGCTGCCTCTGCCTCTCAATTTCACAGACAAAAGAGCAGTGGGGCGGAAAGGCGGTTCTATAGCTCAGCTCTGCCGCCTCCCAGTTGGGCAGCCTTGGGAGGGGGCCCGCACCTCCAGGGACCAATCCCCCCCACCCACCCATGGTGTAAAAGGCTGACATCAGCCACCTCCCAGAGTTGTGAAAATTAGATCCGTGCCATGCTGACATCTGGACCTGACACACAGGCCAGCAGGGCCGTGGGGTCTGAGGACAGGTGCTCCTTCAGGACTGGAAGCCGAAGGGTTTGTGGGTCCAACACTGCAAGCTGAACTTGTGGACCTGTTTCAGGTCGCTAGAGGTGGGGTGGGAGGAGCTGCCCGTGAGGAGCTAATGCTCCCATTTTATAGACGGAAGCAGTGAGGCACAGAGCGGTCAAAAAGCTTATGAGTGGTGGAGCCAGGACTCAGGCCCAGGTCTGGCTCCCCCCACCCCGAGAAGGCTGTGAGCCCCACAAGGTGGGGTTAGGGGTGGGGGCTTGGCCAAGAGACCGCTGCTCAGGTTCTCTGATTGGCCGGCCGGGCGGACAGGGCCCGTGCTCCCGTAAACAGCCGCAGCCGTCTTATCTGCGTTTACTCCCTAGAATCCAGGCGCTGGGGTAGCTCGGCCTGTCCTTGGCCTTGCGTGTCCTCTCTGCACCCCCCGCTGAAGTCTCCACACCCACCTCTTTCTGGAACTCGAGCTCCAGCTCACGTGTGTGTCAGCCTTCTCAGAGTTAACAGACCCACAGCCACACTTCTGATCCCCCCTCCAAAACCGGGTCAGCCCCCCGCCATCACCCCATCTCCACTGCTCAGGCCCGAAGCCGTGGAACCCTCCTCGAGCCCTGTCAATGTCCCCAGCGCCCATCCTGGCGCTCCGCCTGCAGAACACATCAGAATCGGAGCTTCTCACCATCCCCCACACCACCCAGTCCCAGGCCGCCCCAGCTCTCAGCCATGTTGGCAGTGGGCGACCGTGAGACATTGTAAGTCAGAATATCCCTGCTGCTGCCCCCAGATCCAGAGCCCCGGCCATGGCCGGGGTGTCCTGTCCAGTTCTCTAGTCCCTTCCGCTGCACCTGCCCCACACCTTGCCTTCCCCTGCTGCGCCAAGCATAGCGCACCTCGGGGCCTTGGACCTGCCGTCCCTGCCGCCTTCCCCAGGCAGCCCCCCAGTTCACACAGAACCCACTGTCCCTGTCTACCTGTGGAGCACAGCACAACCTCCCGTAGCCTTCCCCGCCCCGTCTCCCAGCCCTTAGCTCTTCTCCCTGAGCCACCCAGCTCAGCCCGACGTCTGAGCGTCTCCCTGTAGGAACGCCAGCTCCAGGAGAGTGGGCACTTTGTGTTGTTCACTCTGGATCTCCTGGCACATGGCAGGTACACTTTGTAGAAGGCAGGCAGGCAGGCCCTGTGTTACCTTGTCATTGCAACAGTCTCCAGCACACGCTACAAGGTAAGGGGTTGCCGGAGCCTGACTGGTGCGTGGGGAGAGGCGGGCAAGGGGCTGAAGTCAATGCAGGGAAAGCCTTGAATACCAGGCCAGGGAGACTGAACTGTACCGTGAGGGCACTAGGGAGCCATTGAAGGTCTTCGAGCAGGGAGAGAGGCAGGATAAAAGCAGTGCTTTAGAAAGATGAAGCCCATCTGTAGTGTGCAGCAGAGGGGCCGTACAGGGCAGGGCTGGAGGCAGGGAGACCAGCCAGGCGGCTGTGACAGTGACCCAGGGACAGGGAGAATTGACCTTACTTGATGGCCGGGTTCTGAACCGAACTTCATCTCCCGGAAGCTGAGCAGTCAGCCGGGGCAGGCAAAGCTGAGTCAGGAGTGGGAGTGATACAGGCAGCCCCTCCCCCCCGGACCCAGGCCGCTGACCTGCAGGCGCAGCGTGGCTCGGTCGTACTCAAACACCCGGATGCCGGGATTGTTGGCGCCGTTGACCACTCCAGGCAATGTGGTTTTCCACGGAGTGACTCCAGGTGCAAGGAACATGACGCTGATGGGGGTGCCTTCCAGGGGGGAGAGAGAGGAGCTGAGCAAGAGCTGCTGGCAGCCGCCCACCTCCCGCCCCGCGCCCCCGGCCCCGGCTTGCTTGTGCACCTGCGTCGTCATAGAACATCCGGAAGCTGTCGGTGTGGTGGTGCCCGAAGAACTGCCCAGCGATGACGTGGTGGTACTTCCGGACCAGCTCCAGGTACTGCTCGTTGAAGCTGGCCCGGAACCACGCCTTGTCCCGCGTCTTCTCAAAGAACCCCGGGGGCACGTGGCCAATGATGTACACCTGCGAGGAAGGGGTGTCCTCGAGTGGCTCAGAGCCACCTCCTCCAGTTTCTCCCAAAACCAGCCTCTGGGGGCCGGCGCTGTGGCGCAGCCGGTTAAGCTGCCACTTACAATGCCAGCATCGCACATGAGTGCCAGTTCAGTACCCACTGCTCCACTTCCCATGCAGCTCCCTGCTAAGGGCCGGGGGAAGCAGTGGAAGATGGCCCAAGTGCTTGGATCCCTGCACCCATGTGGGAGACCCGGATGGAGTTCTAGGTTCCTAGCTTCCGCCTGGCCTGCCTGGCCATTATAGCCATTTGGGGATGAACCAGC